TGTTTTCTGAAACCATGCAGTTTTTGGCTGAAGATAGGTATAGGAAAGTATTATTTAAAAACAATCATAAAGTATTAGCGGACCTGAAAGTATACGTGGTGTAGCATTAAGAATTGCAACATTCATGTTACTTTTTCGAAGAAGCGGCAACGTCGCACCGCTCTTTATGGAACTAACAAAACTCTGACCAATATAGCGATATAGGCCGCGAAGCGTTTGCCGAAATAAAAATTTAAATTTCTGTTTAAATTGTAATTTCAAGTGTTTCAATAAAATTAACGTTTAGACAGGTATAGTCATAGAAACTGAACACGAAGATGCTTACGTCACAAACCGCAGTTTTCCCTTACTGGAGTCTGGAAATTTCATTCAAGTTCCACTAATACTGGGCACATCTTCGGCGGAGGCGCTCACATTTTTCGCTTTTATGGGCGGTAAGTTACAAATATTCATTAATTACAAAAATTCAATAGCAGTTTCTCGACGACATTGCAACATCGCGTTTCCATTGACTCTGAAATTAAAAAAAGTGCTGTAAAATGTTGCAATACCGATTTTAATTTGAGTACTTCTGTTTGGGCGATTGAGCTTAACTCAAACTGACTCGCATACTACTCGGTACCAGCTTATATATTGTTTGAGGGGGGCGGAGCATCAACATGTCTTCCCATGGTGATAGGATGGTTTGGTGATGGATTGATGGATGTATGGAATAAGATTTGATTTCCGGTTTCCTGATGGTGGTCGGCAACTGCTGATGAGTTGATTTATCATAGTCTTCAGGTTCTTTCATGTTCTGTGAGCCTAGATGATATTTTTGTCCTGGCTCTTTACTCTAATGTATTCTTTTCCACATATACATGGAAAGCTCCAAACTGCTGGTATCTCAAACAGAATTCCTTTCATTTCATTAAACAACTAAAGTACCTGTTCTTGAAACTCTCAACATTATTTCAAATATTTTAAAATCTGAGTATCTGCAACCAAGCCACCTCATCATTATTGAAAAATGTTTGTCATTTTTCCTGTAACTGTCAAACTCATGAATAGACGTCGGGAACAGCTATGGGTTCTGCATTATCACCAGCTATCGTGAATATATTTATGGAAGTGTATGCAACCTAACATAAGAAACTAATAATAATCTAATATTCTTAGATATCCTTATCAATAGAAAATAGGACCTAACCTGGCATTGTCACATCACCAGCAATCCTAAAAATTATCGGTTTGTCACTGAACTCACAAAATACAATTCATCACAATCTTCCAAAGAAGATGAGTCCGATAGCAACCCGGACTTGTCACATTTGTCCTTCCTTACATTCAAAACATCACTGACCACATATCAAAAGTTCTTAAGAAATATAACGTCAAAACCAGATTCGTCAAAGACAAAATTCCATTTGAGATACCAAGAGCTATGTCACGCCCCACCTTTAGCTCCGCCCCCTCCTGTAACCATAGATTTGTGTTAGCTACTTTAGGTCTTACGTGTAGGGGGCGCTACCTAGATGTCATGTACTATATTTTTTGTTTTAATTGTGCTTTGGAATTGTTTAGGAGTACCTCTAATCACCGCCATAGGATTAACTTATGATCTAAATCCGAGTGGTCTCTTGCCTTGGGATCTAGAGCTCTTGCCCGGTGCCAACGTTACCGAGGTGGGATCTATAATTAAAGAGGCATACGTTGGTCCTAACGGCTCGTTCACTGAAAACTTGGCTGCCGTTGTAGAAGTAAGTCCGTTAAAACGCTAAGTGTATAATTGTTTTTTTAATTTTTAAGTATTTAATTAAAGAAACTGCGATATCCTAATTGGTAGCGTAATTGAAGAAAATACTAGGCAAATCAATTCAAAAAACATTTTTTTTTATCTAGTTATTTTTCTCGCACCTGAAGCAATAGATTAGATTAAATTTTTAAAACGTAATAATACCAAATATTCTCAAAACTAATTACCCACAAGTATTTTGTTATTACAACAAAGGTCATTAATACCAGTTGCTTGAAATTGAGGTACAAAAAAGTTACTTACCTGAATAAGACCTAACACATACGCTCTTTGATAAAGTTTCAATAAATATTCTTCACAAATTCTTTGAAAGAAACTCTGGAAGATTAGGAATATTCGATGTTGGTCTCTAAAAGATAAAAGTAAAAGTCATAACAAATTATCTATCCAATTTTATTTTGGTATTAAAGCAGTTGAACAATTCCATTTGTATAACAAAATTATTACCTGCAGGTGATTTCTGCAACACCCTGTATACATAAAAATATATCTTGCAAATAGCTTACAATTTTTTGAATAAATTTTGCATTTGACGTTTTTTTTCCCAAACTGTAAATAAGAAAGTTAAAGGTAGGGACATTATAAATGATCATGCAATCTGAATCGAAATGCATTTTCAGTTAGTCAGCGACCAAATGTTCCTGAAATCAACTTTGAAGCAGGCCGAAATACAATCAAACTTTACCCCCGTATATCTCTATCAATTTTCTTTCGAGGGTTTCTTAACCCTGTTTCTTCCCAACATCGAAGGTAAGGCTGAAATTTCGGAAAATTAGCGTCTCTAAATAATTGCTTTAGGCACGGGCAGGGCCGGCCACGGAGAGGAATCCCCTTATCTTTTTGCCACGATGCCGTTGCTCACCGATCGAGAAGTATTGATCAGTAAGCAGATGGTCAAACTCTGGGCCAACTTCGCCAAAACCTTGTAAGTGAAGTTTTCTCAATTATAAGGAATTTAAATAACTTATAGTCTCGCTAAGTGAAGTCTTTATATATATATATATATATATATATATATATATATATATATATATATATATATATATATATATATATATATATATATATATATATATATATATATATATATATATATATATATATATATATATATATATATATATATATATATATTTGCACGTTATTCATTGGAAAAGCAAATAAGGTTTTTTAAATATTTGAAAAAAAAATAAAATCATCAATATCCAAAAGGCGCCAAAAAATACAGCTTGTACATGGACATTTAAATTGTCTTATAAACCGTTTATCTTTATTTTTAATATTTTGGCCCCAATCTTCTCCGAAATCTGCGAATTAAAAATATAGAGTTGCTATTTTCAGGAATCCCACTCCTGATGCATCGGACCCGCTGTTCAACCTCACGTGGCCGCAAGTTACCCCCACCAACATTCAGTATTTGGACTTCGACGATCAGATCGCGGTGAAACCCAACAGAAAGGCAAAGGAAATGGCAATGTGGAATTACGTTTATTACACTTATGGTCAGCAGCCCTTCAAAGGATTCTAAATACGTTGAAATATATATTAATTTGTATATTATGTAGTTTTTATTTTTGTGGGAGAAGGAAATGATTTTTAATTAACGGTGCTCACAAATGCCCCGTTAAATAAAAATTGTGTTTTTGGGACTTGATATAGTTAGTTTGCATAAAATGTTGCAAAACCAACGCTAGATATATCACTGTCTTGTGCTTTAAAGAAAATAGCGGTGATCTGATAAAAGAGGCCTGGCTGGACAACTCGTATGATCAAGATAAGCGTCAATATATAATTGAGAGCTGTGCAAAAATTGCAAAGCAGGATGTAATAAGCTCTGCAGCTACAAGAAGTCTAACATACCGTGCTCCAGTCTTTGTGCCAACTGCAATGGTATATCATGTACCAACTCAGGAATTGATTCGGGCGACCCGGATTTAAATTAATTCATTCATGTTTTTTTTCTATGGAAATAGGGGCTTGTTATTTTAGTTTAAGTATTTTCCAAAGATTTTTGACATGTCAGTTATAATATTTCTCATTTGTGTATGGTATTTTGTATTTATTGATAGATGTTGTAGTTTTCTGATATCACAACACAACTGTTGCAAATTTTTACAATTAAAAAAAAATTGTAGCTATTATATCTTCAATACGATTATATTAGTAAAATGCTGGAAATACATATTTCCTAAGTATTTTTTTATACTCTCTTGAAATATTTTTTCATATATGTAATAGATATAACAAAATTTTGTCCGATTTTTAGGGTGGCGGACCTTTTTTGAGGCCCTTTTAGTATGTTAAAAAGGGAGTAGAGTAACACCTCTTCTAGGCAGTCCCAGCTGTATAGAAATTTGTTCCACCTAAACATTTATTTGTATTTTACTATTCGGGAAAATCGAACAAATAAAATAAATTCAATATGTGCGTCACGCCAGGCACTCGGCAACTCGTGATACACGGACAATGAGGTTATGTCTTAAGTAATTCTTTATACCAGAAAGCCTTTTATTTGTTCATTTGTTATTTCTCTTTGATAAAGGCCGACGATGTGAGTGAGTGAGTGAGAATTCTCATTGCACAAAAAGACACTCCTGACTGGCTGACTGACTTGCTTTGTAATGTATGGAAAGTTTTAAAAGACCAATCGCCAATCTTTGCTGCTCTTGCAGAGCAGTTAGAATTATAAAATTGGAGAAAACCTAATAATTTTATCTAGCAATACAATTTACGTTATGTCATTAAATTTTAAAGAAAAAGAAAATGCAAAATCATGATTCAAATAGAAAGCCTAAAAAAACTGTTCAAAATTGTCACCATTAGGTTTGTCACTCATAACTGTTTGTGCGACTTTTATCTGAAAAGAAAAAAAAAAGGAACATAAAACTTATTTTATTAACAAATTGTACGATTTACTGGGTTCTCTAAGTGTATGGTAAGAGTTTCGGCTTCTTCTTCGTATTAAATACAGTTTTCGCTTAAATACCTTTATTTATCGATTAACATATATATTTCTTTTTGAATTTGCAAGAAAATATTATTTGAGAAATTTACTTTTTATATAAAGTCCTGTCTCAGCTTAAAGGAAACCCGCATTGCATGATTACCATTCTTGTGTTCTTTTTTAACACTTATTCCATTTTTTTGTATTTTTCGGAACTTTATAAATATCTATTACCAATAAATACGAAAGGCTTTTGTTTTTTGCAATTGCCGTTGAATAAAACACATCTTTAATTTGTAACTAAACGTTTAATACATCTTAAAATCCATTAAATGGCTGTTGACTGTAAGTGTAATAAACGCGATTCCACATTGCGATTTCTTTTTCCTTTCTGTTGGGTTTCACCGCGATCTGATCGTCGAAGTCCAAATACTGAATGTTGGTGGGGGTAACTTGCGGCCACGTGAGGTTGAACAGCGGGTCCGATGCATCAGGAGTGGGTTTCCTGAAAATAGCAACTCTATATTTTTAATTCGCAGATTTCGGAGAAGATTGGGGCCAAAATATTAAAAATGAAAAAAAAATCATTTTGATTTGCATTGCCTAAAGATAAACGGTTTATAAGACAATTTAAATGTCCATGTACAAGCTGTATTTTTTGGCGCCTTTTGGATATTGATGATTTTATTTTTTTTTTCAAATATTTAAAAAACCTTATTTGCTTTTCCATTGAATAACGTGCATATATATATATATATATATATATATATATATATATATATATATATATATATATATATATTCGGAAAATTAGCGTCTCTAAATAATTGCTTTAGGCACGGGCAGGGCCGGCCACGGAGAGGAATCCCCTTATCTTTTTGCCACGATGCCGTTGCTCACCGATCGAGAAGTATTGATCAGTAAGCAGATGGTCAAACTCTGGGCCAACTTCGCCAAAACCTTGTAAGTGAAGTTTCCTCAATTATAAGGAATTTAAATAACTTATAGTCTCGCTAAGTGAAGTCTTATATATATATATATATATATATATATATATATATATATATATATATATATATATATATATATATATATATATATATATATATGACGACACTATATTCCGGGATATCATCCGTTCGCTCGTTGAACTCCGACTGGAATCCTGCAGACGTTTCGCCAAAATCTCACTTGGCATCTTCAATGCTCGCGCTCCGAAAACACTTCGAACACTATATATATATATATATATATATATATATATATATATATATATATATATATATATATATATATATATATATATATATATATATATATATATATATATATATATATATATATATAGACTGACAAATACTGAATGTTGGTGGGGGTAACTTGCGGCCACGTTAAGTTGAAAAGAGGGTCTGAAGCGTCAGGAGTGGGATTCCTGGAAATACCGACTTGGTGTATTTATTCGGAGGTTGAGGAGCAAAGGCTAACAAAATGAGGAAAATATTAAAACTAAGTTGCTTCTAACTAAGCCAAGCCATTTTAGTACAAAATCAAATATAAGCTATAAGTTATTTAGATTCCTTATCAGGAGTTTGTACTTACAAGGTTTTCGCGAAGTTGGCCCAGAGTTTGACCATCTGCTTGCTGATCAATACTTCTCGATCGGTGAGCAACGGCATCGTCGCAAAAAGATAAGGGGATTCCTCTCCGTGGCCCGCCCTGCCCGTGCCTAAAGCAATTATTTAGAGACGCTAATTTTCAGAAATTACAACTTTACCTTCGATGTTGGGAAGAAACGAGGTTAAGAAACCCTCGAAAGAAAATTGATAGAGATATGCGGGGGTAAAGTTCGATTGTATTTCGGCCTGCTTCAAAGTTGATCTCACGAACATTTGGTCGCTGACTAACTGAAAATACATTTCGATTCAGATTACATGCACCGGCTGATCATTTATAATGTCCCCACCTTTAACTTTTTTATTTACAGTTTGGGAAAAAAACGTGTAATGCAAAACTTGATCAAAAAACAGAAAGCTATTTGCAAAAAATATATTTTTATGTATACAGGTTGCCGCAGAAATCACCCACAGATTAAAATTATATATTTTTTAATAGAGCATCCTGTATATTATATGCTTAATAACATTCCCTAAAAATTGTGCCGATTTCTTGTAAAATATGTCACAAATGAAATAGTTCCTGAAATATATGCGCTTTTAACTTAAAATTAGCAAAAATTAAAAATTATTCTAGAATTAGTAATTAATATGTTAGGTGGCTGTGAAGTAGGTCGTCACCAAACAAAATGCTTGTTTACAACTGAGGGTGACAGTTACCGTTCGTATATTAAGCAAAACTCATGTTATCTTCATTATGAAAGAGAAAAACTATTAAGTGTGAATTGCTGAGTTGCCAATTGTCAATAACCGTATTTGTTTTTAGTATTAAAAAAAAGTTAATCTGACTGGTGCAGTTATTTTACTATGCTTAACCTAAAAAGCATATTAAATTGTCTTTCAATCAGCATTAGTAGTATCTAAAAAAAAATTAAATTGAAGTCAAACGTTCACAATGGGCCGATTTCTAAGCACGCAAGTTTATTTGTTAGCATAGAACCTATAACTTAGGTACGTATAAAATAATACGTATGTAATTAATGGTACAAATGGAATTTGTAAATCTGGTGTAGGTTTTCTAACTAAAAGTTATCAAACGGAAAAATCGGTTTTCATTTACTGCACCTAATTTTGTTTTAATTTTAACTTTCATTTTTTCTTTCTTTTAAATTAATAGAAATAAACTAGCACAGAATTTGTGAGAAATATTTATTAAAACTTATTATTATTATAGATAAAAAAGTGGCGAAAACATGGGCGTTCGACATTTGCTTCAATTACACTACTAATTAGGTCATCACAGTTTCTTTTATGGCGATAATGCTTTGTGGTATTATTTTTAATTAAATACTTAAAAACTATAAAAACAGTTAGACACTTAGCGTTTTAACAAGCTTACTTCTACTACGGCAGCCAAATTTTCAGCGAATGACGCATTGGGACCAACGTATGCCTCTTTGACTATAGATTCCACCTCGGTAACGTTGGTGTCTGGCAAGACCTCTAGATCCCAAGGCGAGAGACCGCTAGGATTCAGATCAAACAATGATCCTATGGCGGTGATTAGAGGTACTCCTAAACAATTCCAAAGCAAAATTACAGTATAGTGTAGATTCTTTTTTCAAGTGAACATATTCTCCATTAAATCACTGTTTTCTACAATTGGTTATGGGGGTTTCACGCCAGAAACCCCAAAATTCAACCAGCTAACAAGTCAGCGAGAGTCAGTCGTTTGTAAATCAAACTGCTTGGCTAAACTGAAAGCACCTGCTTATATATTGTTCAGAATGGAATTTTAGGTTGAGTTCTGAAAGAGAAAGAATGATATTGACAAGACGTCAGCAAGTTTGTTCACTGTCACTGTCACTAGTCATCGAGAATATATTTATGGAAGCCTTTGAGAAGAAAGCTCTCTACACCTTTTAACTAAAACCAAAATTATGGAAACGCTACGTCGATAATGCATTTGTTATTTCGCTTCATGCTCAGGAATCCCTGGTATATTTTCTTAGTCATTTAAACTATATACACCCTGACATACGTTCTACCATTAAAATGAAAACAAGCAACAACCTTCCATTCTTAGATATTCTTATCAATAGAAAATCAGTCCTAACATTTTGTCATTGTGTTTACAGAAAACCTACGCACACAGACCGATACCTTAACGCCTTGTCACATCACCATCCGTCCCAAAAATCATCGGTTATCAACTCTCTTGTTTACAGAACCGTGAAACTATCTCAGCCAGAGTCATTGAACTCAAAATTGGAACACCTTACCTCTGCTCTTCTCTCTAATGATTTCCGTTAAAGATATTTAGCGTTTTATCACAAAATACACTTCACCATAACCTTCCAATATCAATGAAACCGAAAGCAATCCCACACTTGCCACTGTTGTCATTCCTTATATTCAAAACATCAGTGACCACATATCGAAAGTTCTAAAGAAATAAAACCTCAAAACCAGCACTCCATGTGGAGGAGAAAGGTGTCCTTGCTCCACCACCATTTAACGGGTTGATTTGTTAGGGGTGTGGACCGTATTCTTGCGGGGCCGGTTTATTTTAAATGATAGCCGTTTAACACAACACAAACTATATTCAGTCACAACGCGACGACGATACAAAGCTAAGGCGTTTAACAAATCACTTTATTCGAGTTAATCACAAACACACAATTTTTGTTAAAATAGAGATTAAATTTCCTCGAAAGAAATCGTTTGAGAGGCTAGTCCAAAGAGGACACCGACTTATAAAGAAATATAGTAATAGCGAAAACGGCTTAAAGGGGGGTTTAGCGATAGGGCGATTTTCACATGCTTATTGTCAAGGGCGGCCGCGGTCAACTAGCTGCTTCGCGCAACGCATGTCTGGAAAACAGGCGCCGTCGCACTGTGGGCCCCATGCATAAACAAGGTTGCAATAAATCATTATTAAAAATGCAAAATTTGTCAATGTTTTTAAATTAAGAACATACTGAGGAATGAAAAAACAGTATTGCTTTCTAAAAATACTTTACCAAGAATTTTTTATGAAGGCACAATATCAGATGTTTAAAAGAAAGTCTATTGTTATTGCAATCGCTTCAATAAAAATAACGAAGTTTTCGTACTTTTTAAATGGCTTAGTAGGCCTTGAAAACAAATGCCGCTTTAAGTATTTATATTAGTTTAGACCTGTACATGCAATGTAGAATGTTTGTGTTTTTTCTGCGATTTGACAAAAAGTGACTGGATAAGTACCATTGATATTTAATTTTTCAAATTCTATAGAGTAAAAAAATATGAAGGCCAACGAGTGCCAAGCAAAAATATACATTTTTTATTAGGCAAGGGTGTAAACTACTAATAACTGTTAGCCAAAAATGTCGCAAATGGTCGCAAAGCTTATGCCAGTTAAAAATGTCAACCTCTGAGTGATAAAAATATTAACAATTAATATGCTCTTAAAGTTGTTTATCGCATGTACTGCTTGCGCAATGAGCAAATTATAATGCATTATTTTTATACATATTGTTTTCATTTTATACACACGTTTAAACTCAAAATTGCAAGACTACTTTTGTTTTTTCGATTTTAGAAATGTACGAGATATCGAAAAAAACGTTGTATCAATTTTGGAGTGTCTCTATTAAGAAAAACCGTTGTAGAAGAAATATTTAAAATATTTAAGTCTTTACTCATGGTATTATATGCCCATAACCGTCCAGAAACTGCTATAACATTCCACAGATATTATTAAACATTGTGTTGTGCCTATTGGGCAGCTCTCTGAGGAGGCCCAAGAGGCACGTCACAAAGATTGTCGGCGATATCGGGAGCATCATTCCCAAAAAAAATCGCGCATTGCCACGAATAAAGACTTGATGCAAATGTTATGTGTGTCCTTTGACCCCATTATAGCCAGTTACCAACAAAAAACTGTAAGACCAAAAAACCACTATCACCTGATATATTGGCTCTACTTAGCCCAGAGCATCTATACCTTACAAAAAATGACTATTTTTCTGAGACCTCCGAATATGACTGTGAGTGTATGGGTAGTGAGTCTGACATGTCATGACAGCGAGAATGACTAAAATTATAATTTACCTAGTGGGTTTCAGGGTTAAAAAAAGGATGTTAAGTAGAAAACATCTCTGCAAAAAGGTTATTTATAAGCCAATTCTGAGGCTTTTTCTTATCCTTTAAGTTTTTTGTGTTTTGTATGATCTCTTGCTTGCTGTGATGTTTTAATAAAATAGTTATATTTTCAATAAGTTAATTTAATTTAGGTAAATAGTTCATATATTTGGCATTTGTTAACCAGTGTGTTGTCTGTTTCCTTAAATACAGTTAAATTATTTTACATGACTGCAGAAGCTTTTTGAATAAAACTGTGCAGTAATTGCAAAATGTTTCCAATTTTTTTTATTCTAGTTTTGATATATCTTTCAAATATACTCCGAAAAATACTGATGTGGCAACGCTGGAAAATTGAAAAAAAAGTATTATTATTTACCGGTAATGTATAATAATAATATATAATAAACAATTTTAAGGTCCTTAAGTAACTAGAAAATAATCGAATTAATGCAACCTAGTTTGGGCAATGGACCCGCAGTGCGTCAGTGACGTCTATGCAGCGTGATCAAAGCAGGCGAGAGACGTTACCACGTCTAACGCAATATCAACGTTTCGAGGGCATTGGGTTGTTTTATCAACACCAGACCTGACGAACAATTTCAAATAGGCTCAAAGAATATAAAAGAGACTTAAGAATAAGAAAAATAAACTCATCAGCAGTTGCCGAACACAATCACGAAACAGGTCATAAAATTTTATTAGATAAAACTAAAATTCTTGCATGTTATCGGTTCTTCTACCCAAAAAAATCCGAGAGTCTATAGAACTCTATGAACAACTTAACAATCTTAACCGCTACTCAGGTCAAAATAAATAAGAACTAAAAATTCGGATTTTCAAAAAATTAAGTACAACAGGATGATTGGCGAAGTGTTAGCTACTTCAACTCAACAAAAACCATTAGGAATCCAGAATTTTCATAAAAAGCATTACAGTAGCTTGTACAAGTTTATAGTAGCATCATTTAATTTGTAAAATCATAAAAAAATATTTTGAAGTAGTAATCTTCAATGCAAATTAAAACACCCAAACAAAAGTGGTCAGATTAAAATTGATTGTACCCACGACATTTCACAGAACTTTTTTTATTTCAGAGTCAATTGAAACGCTTTTCCTATCAACTTACCACCCATGAAAGCAAGAAAGGTGAGCGCCTCCGCCGAAGATGTGCCCAGTATTAGAGGAACTTGAACGAAATTTCCAGACTCCAATAAGGGAAAACTGCGGTTTGTGACGTTAGCATCGTCGTGTTCAATTTCAATGACTATACCTGTCTAAACGTTAATTTTATTGGTAGCGAGATACAAAGAAACGCAAGCAGCGAGATACATAAATTTAATTTTTGAAAATTTATTTTAAAAAGAAAATGATTTATGATTTCTGAACAAACAGAAATGTCGCCCTCAAAGAGGCGGCCTAGATTGTTATTGTACGACCAAAAATATAGTGCATTTATTACTTTGGAGTTTTAAGTATTTTACAGTACCTTAACCTTGCCTGAGATGAACCGTAACGAATATTTGTAGAAACTTGAAATTTTTATTTGAAACGTAAATGGGCCGTTTTAAATTTGATTAAGCATTGATGCTGCGGAGTATTTTCGAATAAGTAGAAGCGTATTTTTTTAACATCAGGTGATAGGTATCGTTCTTAAGAGTTTAATCTAAATTGCAATATGTTAGTATGAGGGCTGCCTTTTATATTCCTAAACTAGTCGTGCCATCTGGCGACTAACGCTTTTATAGGGAAGTTTGACATTTTGAGGTTAGGTTTACTCAGTAAGGTTTTGGCGAAAGAGTATTGTTTGTGCTTTTTGTGATAAATTGTGACTGTTAAAAATGGAACTCAATGAGGAGCATTTTCGTGAAATAATTTTTTACAACTTTAGACGTGGAGTAACTCAACAACAATGCATCGATTAACTTAGTTCGACTTTTGGAGTTAAAGCACCATCTAGAACTACTGTTTGTAGCTATTTTTTCGACTTTAGTCTTGGTCGCACTTTTCTTAGGGATGAATTTCGTGAAGGTCCTCCAAAATCGGCGGTTCTCCAAGAAAACATTGATCCAGTGCGGAAACTAATTTTGCAGGATCGTCATGTGACTTACCATTAGATTGAAGTATTTTTGGGCATTAGTGGGACCAGCATATATACGATTTTGCATAAAAATTTGACATCAGCTCGAAAAGAGACTCGTGTTGATTGGTCGAAGGAGATGCTAAAAAAATACGATTGCGGTGAAGGCACGTGAACCTGAAAAGAAGCAGCAGCCGACTGTGTGAGTCTATCAGAATGAGATTCAGAATGAGATCGTGGAATAAAGCAGATATTCACCTGTTATTAGAAAACATGCAAACTAATGCAGAATTTGAAGACATAATAACATTTGTCTTCAGATGCTAAACAAATTGTTTTGAATGTTTACAATTTTATAAGAAATTCAAAAGGGAAAGTAGGATTAGCAATAAAAACAAGTGACATGACCAAAGTTCCAAAGTCAACTGCAAGAAAAATTGTTGCAAATGGGTTAGGCAAGAAAAAATAGAGAGAAGATACTGGTACTTCGCGCGAAATACTTGAGGACTGGTTGGAAAGACTGGTGCCAGAACTATCGCAAAATACCGTTATTATGTTGGATAATACCTCGTATCATTCAGCTCAAATTAAAAAAAAATCCAAATACTTCTTCAAATAATGAAGAAAATAAAGAATTTGATATTTTGAAGAGAGCTACACGAAAAACGACTTCTTTAATTATTCAAATTAAAACATTTTAATAAGGACTATTCAAGCGATAATTAGAAGACATTATCGATAGTGACGATTTTTTAAATGACTGATATTTTATTAATATTATATTTAATATTTTGTATATTAATAAAACATATTTATATCCTGCTTGTTAGTGTACGTAGATAAATTCCTAGGACGGTCCTGGCATGGTTACGGGTAAGGGTCTGTTCAATAGGGTGTCCTATAAGGGGCTGCGGTTTTGGAGTAATAAACAGTAGGCAAAGTTAATCACGGGGTCGGTTGTAAAAGCACTATAATTCTGGTCGAAGTATACTTTCGACATCATGAACCGCCATGTCAGTAGTAGTAGTTCCATAAGCAGTGCCGCTCTATGGATATAAAATATTGTTAACGCTGCGACATTGCCATCTTCCGGTCCGTTAATAATAATGGTAATAACGTTTATTATTATGCATAAGTGTAAGTAAACTAGGAAAACATGCAGCAAAAGGCTTCAAATAAATCGTAGCCACTCAGGCAAATCCCAGATACTCTTAAAGCCTCATTTAAAAAGAAAAATCATTGTTTCAGGTGACAACAATAGGCCTTATATATAAATGGAAATCGTTATGATTTGCACAAATTTTTGTATTTACCAGGCAGAAGTGAAAGTCACCTTATACAGGGTGAAATGCACAATAAAATTACGACGATTTTGCGAAAGGTGAAATACAAATATTATTTCTTCTTTCAATTATTTCAAAACTTGTTACAATAAAAAAATATTTACTGCCGATTATCCTCGCCAAGAATTTTTTTAAACATAACTGCTTTTTTTCACTATTATATTTCAGCACCATATGTTTGACTTCTTAAACGCTTTTATCATTTGCTTGTACACTTATTAATATTTTTTTTGCTCAAAGTATTTTTTTATGCAAATTTTTTGTTTCATTTTTTTTTGACGGCAGAAAATCGCCGATCACATGAAACACGTCTCACAAAAAAAAGCAAACTGGCTGACACTGTACACGTTAGGGACAAGTGTACCAACATAACAAATAAAATATCGAAGATCGAATGTACGTCGGCCGTCCAAGTACAAAAGTCACCTTACTTTTTGAACACACCTCGTAAACATTTACAATGGGAGAAGTAGCGTTTACCGAGTTTTAAACACCGCGAGAGTTTTCTATCAATATAGCCAATCGTTAGCCAAAGGTTAAAGCGTCCGGATTCGAAGAAAACACTATTTATTATGTTTTGTCTTTATTTGATTCTAGGTGCTTGAAGTTTTTGATACTACAAACTAAAGAGGTATTACATGCATAAGAATGACTGTAATAAATACAATACTGCATATCATGCAATATTTGGTAATTTTCTATCGTTGTGCTTATTAACCTAATCTAATTAAGCAATTATAAACAATGTAAAAATGCTCTAATTCAACAACTGACGCAAATTGTAATAAGTGACGAATGAGGCTATCAATCGATCAAGTATCATATCATATAAACATCATATGAGGCAGTATGGGGACATTATATGATAATTCTGGGAGTATGGTATTGGTGTGCCATATAAGTGGAATTTTGCTACGAACCTAAGAATTTTCTAGCTTAAGATTGCCACATAAGTGGAATTTTGTTACGAACTCAGGTTTCTAGGCCAATATCCAACTCTTGGTCAGTAGAGTTTTCCATTTAACCTAAGAGTTTTCTAGCTTAAGATTGCCAGATAAGTTTATTTTTGTTACAAACTCAGGTTCCTAGGCCATTATCCAACTTATCGTCAGTAGAGTTTTCCATTCAACCTAGGAATTTTCTAGCTTAAGATTGCCACATAAGTGGAATTTTGTTACGAACTCAGGTTCCTAGGCGAATATCCAACTCTTGGTCAGTAGAGTTTTCCATTTAACCTAAGAATTTTCTAGCTTAAGATTGCCACATAAGTTTAATTTTGTTACAAACTCAGGTTCCTAGGCCAATATCCAACTTTTGGTCAGTAGAGTTTTCCATTCAACCTAGGAATTTTCTAGCCAAAAAATTAAAACAAGTGTAGCAATCCCAAGGGGAAAATAAGGTTAATTTTTAAGCCACATATGTGGAATTTTGCTACGAACTCAGGTTCCTAGGCCTTGGTCAGTAGAGTTTTCCATTCAACCTAGGAATTTTCTATCTTAAGATTGCCACATAAGTGGAATTTTGCAAAGAACTCTGGTGCCTAGGCCTTGGTCAGTAGCGTTTTCTATTCAACCTAGGAATTTTCTAGCTTAAGATTGCCACATAAATGGAATTTTTCTACGAACTCAGGTTCCTAGGCGAATATCCAACTCTTGGTCAATTTTCCATTGGTTAGTTGGTTGGTTCCATTTAACCTAAGAATTTTCTAGCTTAAGATTGCCACATAAGTTTAATTTTGTTACAAACTCAGGTTCCTAGGCCAATATTCAACTCTTGGTCAGTAGGGTTTTCCAATTAACTTAGGAATGTTCTAGCTCAAGCTTGAGTGGAATTTTGCTACGTACTTACGTTCCTAGGCCAATATCCAATTCTTGGTCAGTAAAGTTTTTCAATTAACCTAGGAATTTTCTAGCTTAAGATTGCCACATAAGTGGAATTTTGCTACGAACCCAAGTTCCTAGGCCAATATCCAACTCTTGAGCAGTAGAGTTTTCCATTCAACATAGGAATTTTCTAGCTTTCAAAAATATGCGGTTGTATAAATTTATTTCAAAAACTTATTAAAGACAAGAATTAAATTCAACATCAGAAATGGTAGGAATCAAATACTGAACGAGGTTAATAAATATACTAAAGTTGTTACTTAATGTATGCGATAGACGTGCAAGGTTATAAATAATTTTACTGTGTGTGCAATTCACGTCGGAGAAATTTATCGTTTTCCAGAAGAAATCCAAGAGAGTTTTGATTTTGAATCGGTATATTTATTGATATATAAATTAAAAACATAAATTAAATAATTAAACTAAAACGAGAGAAAATGAAAAAATTCTTACTAGCAACAAATCAATCTATGTAATTACAGGGATTATTAAAAATGGTGGACAACCTATACCGTAAAGTGCACATAAATATAATCAATATTACATATTATTTATTCAGATGAAATATAGATATAGAGGCAAGGATAGTATGAAAAAAGACAAATTGTGATAAAAGTTATTGTACAACTTCTATTATATTAGTCACTTTTCGATAAGTCAGACTAGAAAAATAATAGGAGGCTCTACAGTGTTTTCTAGATGTTATCAGCTTCCCACATTCTTGCTTCTACTCTTTTTCTTCAATCACATGTTCAACACATTTCGTTTTTCACAATTCACTGTTTTTATTTCGCCTTACAAGATGGTTGCGGCGTTTTTCATTTCAAAAATAGAGTTATGTCTTAATTTTTCAAAGACACTTCCACAGGCTACTGTAATACTTTTTACAAAACTTCTGGATTCCTCCGGCGTCGGTTTTTGCTTGGTCGAAGTTGCTGACGTTTCGCCAATCATCCTATTGGCTTCTTCAGTTTCAGTTTCAGTCAAGCTCTTATATTTCTTAAAGGGATTGAGTTCTTAATTAAGAGATGTAATAAGTGTATACTTTGTTTCTTTAATATTCAGGTCGGGAAATTTTGGCACTGCCCTTGTATATTATCGGATTTTTTTATGATTCATCATACGACTTGGTCCTTAGAACTGAAACTAGTTGTTTTTTTGTATTTTCAAAATAAAGATCATGTTGACTAAGGAACTCTTGCAATACCGCTTTTTTGCGTTATTATTGCGCTATGATAGCACTATCACAAACTATTACGCGGAATATTTGGAAGAAAAGAATTTTTTCCCCAATTTACTAAAAGTGTGCTTGTCACGTGGTGAAGGTAGTTTGGCCACCCAATTTCGAGCCACAGTGAAAAATAGATTTTCCTTTTTCCTGTAGATGCAGGTACCTCCAAAATGCAGTTAGATAAAGACTTCTGCAACCCTTTTCTTTCAGACAAATTTCCTCAGAAATTCTGCAGACATCTTTACATGTTACACATAGCTGTAATTCCAAATCAGTATGACCTCGGAATTATATCTTAGGACATTAACAAACATTTACACATTCAAATGTACATAGTTATACTAACCATACGTACATTACATTACCTACATAAATTTTTCATGTTTTGTCTCTACAATATTTTAATATATTTTTTAAAATCTGTGATTATTACCGCCTTTTGATATGTTATGAATGAACGAGTTGAATTTTTTAATACTTTTATTCATAGAATTATTCAGTCCTACATTATCTGTGATTCTGTTTGTTATTTAAAATTTCATAAATAAGTTTACTCTGTTCTTGTTTGTGGTTGTGTGTTTTCATATACTAAACCCGCTGGTGTTTTATAATCGAGAAAAAATAAAATTTTTACCAGTTACGTATTTTTTGTGAATAATACTTGAACATAATAGTTAAAAATATCACCTCCCTTGAAATAATTTTAAATTGCTTATCCCAACAATTTTTAAAACTTTTGTATTTATTTTGAGATAATGAACTTTACTCTACCTTTGACTCACCCTGTACTGTGGTTAATATTTCGGCCAGTAGAGTTATGTTTTATGTAGTCCTGAATAATAATTCGCTGATACTTTATTCTTGAAGAAATGCCTAATAGACATTCTGGATATTTGGTATTAACAAACAATCTCAGTTGGCCATTAGTTCAGATTGAATCAATAAGTAAAATAAAGTGCATTTTTAAGGGATCTATCCAACAAATCAAAATCTAACCACAAACAAAAATTTTACAAGCTTACCCAGTTCATAAGTGGGACACACTGTATATAATTTTCCTCTTTTAATTATTGGGTACTAAATTTGACAGCAGTCAATGCATTTAATATTTCAACGTGTATTTTCAGTTAGTCAGCGACCAAATGTTCGTGAAATCAACTTTGAAGCAGGCCGAACTCCAATCGAACTTTACCCCCGTATATCTCTATCAATTTTCCTTCGAAGGTTACTTAACGTCGTTTCTTCCCTATATCGAAGGTAACTAACAGGTTGGACTTTTGGAGAATTAGTGATTCTAAAAAATTGCTTTAGGAACGGGAAGGGCTGGTCACGGAGAAGAAGATCCGTACATTTTTGCATCGATGCCGCTGCTGACGGATCGAGAAGTGTTGGTCAGCCAGCAGATGGTCAAACTATGGGCCAACTTCGCGAAAACCTTGTAAGTGTAATTTCCACAACTATCAACTGAAACAAACATTACAGTTGAAAAGGATAAGCAGACAATATTCTATTATAATAACAAAACGAAATTCTGTTCTTAAAATCGTTGGTGCTTCACATGTTTATGCGCGACTACCATTGGAATTTTCAATTGCCTTTTAAACCGATACCTTTTACTAGCTTTATATTTTAAGAAATACAAAAATGCACAAGCCATATCAAAATAGTGCCAATGGCTTTATCCGGCACCATGCATGAATAGTAAGGTTTCTTTGAAACTCCGGGATACCATGGATATGCCACCAGTAATACACGAAAGATTATTGACATTTTTGTTTGTTTTTAAACGATTTATTTCTTATAAATAATATCACAGAGCTATTAGCTACTACTAACCTACACTTTGCACTATTTTCCCTCTAAACAAAGATTTTCACAAACGATTTCATCGATTTTTCGAAAGTATACGCACTCCTCACTAAACTCGAGATTTCGGTAACGGTAGGTCCTACGGGGCCCCCATTGGTACGCAAATGATCAGCGTCGAAAAAAAATTATTTTGTCTGTCCGTTCTCCGTTCTCCATTCTCCGTTCGCTGTTCCAGAGTTTTTCGACGATAAGATCCGAACGGTTTGAGCTACATGCTTCAAATTTTGCTCATTTTTTACTCTCCACGGGATGCATAATATATGTAAAAATTGCTGCGTTCAAACTTCAGCGTCCATCTTTTTTTTGTCGATTTTCGACTGTTTTTTGGACGTTGCTATGAAACATGATAAGTGTCCGAAAATTGAAGCTTCTTAACTTCAAGTTTGGCAGGCGAATTACGCTTGGTCCCCTAACGGAACCTATTGAAATGGGGGTGGGGGGCGAAAGTATTAAAAAAAAAATAAAAATCGCGTTTGTAACGGTCTAACAAAAAAATCATTTCCCGAAAACTGTTTATGCAACAGAAAAAATCTTGAACGAGAAGACGCACAAGATTTGGCTCCGAAAAATTTTATTCCAAAACTGTACAGGGTGGGCCGCATTTTCAAAACAACTAAAAAATGTGAAAATAGTGAAAATTGGCTATGACTAAAAGACAGTATTTTAGATATTAGTTTCTTTTACATGACAGATAAAACTTTTTTGTTTAAGGTTTTGTTCTATTGTAAAGGGTGTTCCCGATATTCCGTGTTATATAAGAAATGTCCTAAATTTGCAGATGTCGACTTTAAATTTAGCAAAGAAGTAAAAGTCCATGCCCACATTTAAACAGTGGAAATTTTGCGCAATCAAACTTCACCAAGTATTTTTTAAAAATTTATGTTTTTTTTTTGGTTATTTTGGGTTCCAGAAGAACATGCTCTTCTGCATAACCATTGACCGGATCGTCAAAATTCTTTAACCAGCAGACGTGGAAAATCCAGTGTTATAACATTTATTTTATGCATTTTTTCTATTATATGCAAGGTTTTCCAATTATAGACAAAAATCTAAAAGACCCAGAAAATTGTTCTTTTCCAGAATAAATTATTAATGGGAATCAAAAATCGTAAAAAATATAGCCAATCGGTTCAAACAGTGTCAAAGGCCACATCAAGGGCTACATTTTTTGTATTGACATTTTTCGTCACGCTGCTCTAGATACTTGAAAAAATCCGTATGAAAATCACTACACCTCGGGTTCAGTCAAGACGCGATGACGTCATTGATTATTACGGCGCACTGCATGGTTTCAGAAAAAAACAGGAAATGTGGGAGATCCAGGGCTATAACCTATATATCCAAAACTTTTTCAATTATGTACAGGGTGTGTCGATTATGGGCAAAAATTCAAAATGTCTCGGATATATAATTGCCGTTTTCGTTGGTTGAATTATTAGCCACAAATGAAAAACTATTAAACATAAGATAATTTGGTTGAAGCAGTATCGTGAATTATGTCGACAGAGAGTGTCGGGTCTCGTCTATTCTACAGGGTACGCGAGATACTTGAAAAAATATCATTGGAAATCATTTGAACAAATTTTTATATTTATCATAGTTTGCAGTGTATTTGAAGTTTAGCGATAAGTGAAATACTCTTTGTACTGGGTGTATGCACAATTTAATTATATCAATTTTGCGAAAGTTCTATTGTGGTCCGCAGGAGCGGGTTCTTTTTGAAATCTACTTCGCGCTACGAATTTGGCCCGCCCAGCGACGATTTTTCGAAAGCAATCTTGTTTTTCTAGGTTGGTGGTTAAATTCCGCAAAGTCATTGGTTATAAACGAGACTTTAAATCCCTCGCATGCCAAGCTGAGCACAGTTGCTTCATAAGTTCTTTTATTATCGGCATAGGCATGGTCAGTATACAGAGTCATCAAATTGAACGCCACTGATTTCTTTTAAAATAAAAATTGTACTTACAATCTCCAATAATTTCTAAAGAAATTTAATTTCTTGATTTTTTTCACTTAAAATTAAAAAAAATTCTCTGTATGGTTCTGTAGCTGCAGAATTTAATAAATTATTTGATTGGATCCTTTTTAATGAAAGAAAGGCTTAAACGTCATAAAAAACCTAGATATATTATGGCGACCTAATTAACCAAAATATTATTTCTCCATAGACAATTAGTGGCACGCCACTGATTTCCGTTAATAAAATAATGACACGCATTCATTTATGAGCAAATTTTTTTTTAGCCTGTGGCACGATTTCCTTTTTTAAAAAAATGCCAAAACCGTACATCGTATTGAAAAAATCAAGAAATAAAATTTCTGGTGCCACTGGTGCATTAAAAAAAAAGTGGTACACTAAGTAATGCCCCTTGATATATAATACATGTGCGCCAAGCTTCATTAAAATATCTAAAGTGGTTTTACAGATGTTAAAAAAATATATTCTATTTTTGAAAAAATTATCACCCTGTATATCGAAAGTTGAAAGGTTTGGGACATATTTTCATTTGAAGTTTTTTTTTAAACGGACACAAACATTATTGACATTTAATTTAATACATTTTTCCTCTGTCCAAATTTAAAAACACTTTAATCAACCTAACCTTATTTAGGTATGTGTTTTTTACGTAATAAAAAAAGTTTTTCGTTTTATGCCTAGGATTTCCTCTTACATTTAGCTGCTTTGGCAAACGAGTGATTGATATTTTATTATTGGAAAATAAATGCCTTCTCCTTCTAGTTGACATTTAGCTAATACCTAATTATAATTAGAACTATTAGATACAAACCTCTTGACCAGAGACTGCATGGCAATAAAAGCTTTCCTTGCATACCTAGTAATGCTAAAATATTCAATAATTTTGTCTATAAATAATCTAGATAACTATAATTAACCTGAAATGTTCTATACTTAGTTTACAGGATATATATTGGTGCTAAAAAAATATTAATGGCGACTTTTGACAATCCAAATGTGTCTTCGAAAATTACAATAGTGCCAACTGTCAATCGCGAAAATACCAACGTTATTTTAAAGGTAAAATATAGAGAAAAATACCGTTTATGGAAAATTCCATACGTCTCCGACAAACTCCATTCTTCTTTACCAGATCAAAATAATTTATTTTATACTAGCATAATATATTTTATTTTAATGGTCCTTATGGAGCAACTTAATTTTGATACTTTTCGAAATACGCGCATTGGTATTTTCAGGAATCCCACTCCTGATGCATCGGACCCGCTGTTCAACCTCACGTGGCCGCAAGTGACCCCCACCAACATTCAATATTTGGACTTTGACGATCAGATCGCGTTGAAACCCAACAGAAAGGAAAAAGAAATGGCAATGTGGAATTACGTCTATTACACTTACGGTCAGCAGCCTTTCAAGGGATTTTAAGTTGTGCTGAAAGTAAATTACAAATTATGTGTTTTATTCTTCTTCGAATGCCATTCATCATTCTTCAATGATGAATGGCATTTGCAATAATCTCAGCGAACCTCTATCCTGGGCAGTTCGAATTTACTACAAAAATGGCGGGAAATTCAAATCTTGTGTTAATTTGGCTTACAATGGTAGCAGTAATCAACCATTATCATCATCTTTGCATATATAATTTGCGAGACGGTGATTCATGTAAAGAAAATAATACCCACAAAATAAATTCAAGAGTGCAGAATTACGATCCTTTTTTGAATAAATATAATCAATAAAAAATAACAAAAACACCATCTTGTGTTTGGTGATGGCTTTTCAACTACTGCATCGACTGTTTCGTTTTTATTATCACATCCTGTATCATTCCAACACAAAAACTCCCTGGTTCCATATTCAGCAATTCCTTTACCATTCATTCTTGTTTTTCAAAACGCCTCTTCAGTTTTCTCTAACATGTTAAAATATTCATTTTTTTACTATTCTGTTCCGAGAATTTGTACAGCTTGTACTGTTCCTATTCCAAAAATGACATTTTTTTCTCGTCTTTATCGGTCCTTTCCTAAAATTCTCCGTCTTTTCAAATTTGTTACCAAGTGTTTTTGCAAATGAACTCCACAATGAAAGCAAATATTATTGGGAATGCATGGTGGCCTTTCTGATTGACGTACCATTTTTAAATTTTAGTTCTCGTTATCAGTAAAGATCCATCAATACTGAGTGCCTGATAAATAGCCGAGCACGCCTTTGTCACTGATACTTCAAACTGATGATGTGGAAATGATTAGAGAGAAGAGCAGATGTAAAGTGTTTTAGTTCTTGTGGCAGTTATTCGAGTTGAGGTAGTTTTAGGGATCTGTAAGCCCGAGAGTTGATAACGGATGATTTTTGAGCCTCATGGTGATGCCTGTGTGCGTAGGTTTTCTCTAAACAAAAATTTTCCTATTGATAATTCTAATTCAATGAGAAAACTTTTGTTAGGGTGCATAGAATTTAAATCTTGGAAAAATTCTTACCGTGAGGCTAAATAATAAAAGTATCATCAAGGTAGCTTGTCCATAATTTTGGTTTTAGATGGGGTCTACGTCGAAACTGGCAAAAGTATCGTTTGGATTTAAATTAGTGGCTTTTAGTTGTTCCATGAAATAATGAAACGAATTGAATTAAGTACGAATGAATGAAATGAATCAGTTGGAATATATTCGAGAACCAGTGATGTTGGCAGTAGGTCGAAGGGTAATCCTGATTTGTGAATCTTCACTAGTCCATAGAGAGAGGAATTTGAGAGTCATGAGGGGTGACAGACATTTTCACGGATTCTAATAGATAAGAAGCCTTAATAACAGATTTAGGGTTGCGATCCAAAGATGACGTAGGATCTTTTTTAATTAAGATCCGCCTGAAAGAATATCTTTACTTTTTTCCTGATATTCACTTGGGTTCATGACCACCGTATCTAGTTAAAGAATTCCGATGTCGGTATTTATTTTAGAGATTTTAAAGCAATTCGTTAGGCTTTTTGATATTAGACTTGGGAATTTACGATTTTATCAAACGATTGTGAACGGTTATGATGATACGAAATGCAAAAATGTTCGCTGATAAAGAGAAAGATGACATCTAATCAGTGTCCTTATAAATAATATAAAATCAGAAACTGTCAGTACCATCCCACTAGTGAAAACGAAAATGCGTCGACTTCTGAGTTTGATATTTGTTTCAGTCGCGGTAAGTCATATAAAACAATGGCATTTTATGCTTAAAATTCATCTCAATATATTTTGTTTTAATTATATAAGTTTGTACCTATCCCGGAAATTTAAAATAGCTTAGACTCAATATACATAATGTAAAATACGTGGTATTAAAAAATCCAAAAGGAAATTAATAATGAAATGTGATTTTGAAATACAGCAATTTTGCGAAATATTTATATTGCTTGTTGGTATGTTTGGTATTTAAATTAGATCTCTAAAACTGTTGTTTCAATATATCCTGATAATGTTCCAGAATTGACAACATTTTCTATTTTTTTTAAAAGTCATATTGCAAAAAAGGAATGGTTGGAGTTTTGATTGCCGTTCGAGTTGGTGGTGACATTTCAAAGTTCTCCACTTACACAATTTCAATTAAACTTTATTTTAACGTTTGTTTTTAAAATTTGGATTTTCCTATTATCAGATTTTTGAAATATTTTTGTTTTGGATCTGACTCAGAGAGCGATACTCATTTTTTTGGGCACGCTCGCCTAGCATCTCCTCAGCAGAATAAACATTGCATGGTGCTGAATTAAAACTAAAGTTACCTCATATTGAGTGAACAGAAAAAGAAAATTCGCGTGCCTTTATATATTGAGTGTGCTTAAAGTATGATGATTTTAAATTAAATAGAATTTCTAAAATGTTTTTACTAACAATTTTTATAACTTATGTATTTAACATTTTCCCATAACTTTTGAAATCAATATATAATATATACTTTTCAAAAAAGTTCAGTTTTAATTAATTAAAATTTTCCCTTATTGAACAATGGGGTTTAATACAAAAGGTTGCAAATTTTTGCTTACACTTTTCCCTTTTACACGTATGTCTTAGGCTCAAAGCAATTTATTTTGTTAATTAATAGAATTGTGTCGTATAGCAACGTATTAATATTTGTAACCATATAATATTTGAGGCATTAGATAAAATTTAATTCGTTCAACTGGCATTCAGTGTAGTTGGTATTTAATTCGGATCCAAATTTAAAATATTTTCGGTTTCAATAATTGTTTACCTTTTTGTTGTTAGTTGGCCTTCACTTTAATATTAAATTATCTCACCTTTCCGGATGGCTATGACATCATTACCTCCAATGGCAGACGCGCTTTTGTTCTATATTAACCGTTCGATGAAAATGTGTTTTTTTAAACAAGCCATAGTTATCTACGTCGGAAGTTTTGTTGTTGCTTTAACAGTAAAAACGCACATTAGGATGTTGATCTATTAAAAACTAATTTTCGTTTCAAGTTGGCAGCCGATTTAATCGTCGACCTCCCCGATGGTACAATCAGGGGATCCGAAATCACCTACGATAACAAGAGTTACTACGCTTACCGAGGAATTCCCTTCGCTGCCCCTCCGCTGGGAAAACTAAGATTTCAGGTAAAATATATCTAATATACTAATACTTTTATAATTCTGGATACTTGATTCGTAGTTTTACAACATGTTTGAGTCATTTTTTAAATAAACTTGACTTGGTTTTCTATTTAATTTGGAATAATTTCCCAACTCACCATTTATTAAACTGAGGTGAATTTTACTTGGTCAATTATTATTTAAAAGGCTTCTAGATTCCTTCTGCTAGAGAAATTACCGTAATTAAAATGAGTAATGGAGCTTACTGGCATTTCGGAAAAAAATTACTAAGAAAATATAAGTATGCATAGCTTCCCAAAGAACCGCTAGAAAATGAACTACACATCAAATCTAATAAAGAGACTCTACATATAACTGTAAAGATACATTGCTTTATTTTACTTGTAGTACAGATTCTTACAAATCTATATAGTAATTGTGTCCTCAACACAGTCTTGATTGTTTTAAACTACACAGTCGTTCACAAAATAATACTGACAACAGCTACAAACGTAGTAAATACCTTGATGGGATGATAACCTTAACCTTAACAAGTACGTTATAACAAATGTGTCATTTGAAGTAATCGAATTAAGTTTTATTACCGCTTTATTAATAAAATAAAAACATTAGATGTTCGATTGTGCTGCCACCATATGGAAAATTTGAATCTTAACGTGTCCTGGAGATGCGGCGTTGCCGAGGTTTACTAATTTCTGGTGGATTGATTGTAGCAGTGAGAGGACGGCACAATATCGATGCTGCTGATGATGATAACTTAGTTAACATTATACGAAGTTTAAGTGGGGTGTAAAACTACTAAGTTTTACGGTTTTAGCAAATTACATCCACCGTGAATGCGTAAAGCGAAGTCTGTGGATATCGGTAAAAAAAAACAGCATATCCAAAATAACAAAACATCGATGAATAACTTTGATTTAAGTCGCCCAGTCATAGAACTAAATTTGGGATAATAGCTGACAATAAGTAACAATAATTACGATTATAAACTCTATAGAGTACATCATAGTCAAAATTTCTCAAAACAAAAAGCAATAATTTCCATGCAAAATATAATTTGTGATTCTAGATCATTAAAAAGTATTTGACGTTTCGACGACATTGTAGCTGCTGAAATGGTTGTGTAAATAGAGAAACAAATTTGTTCTCGCGACGAATTTTATATAGCTATTATAGAGTTATATAATATTATATTTTTTTATATAACTAATTTCAAACGCAGTTTAATTTTGTCGGTATGTCGTAAGGAACAAAACTGATTAATTCAAATCGCCATGTTTTTTATTGTTGATATGGAAATGAACCATCTTATCATAAATAGGCAAAATCACATTAATATCGATGAAGTTTCAATTGTACCTTCGGATTTGGAATTCAGAATGTAACAGAACGATACACTGTTTTTTTAATTTTATTAGGAACAAAAAATGTTTAAACGTAATTTCCGTTTGTTTTTAAATTTTGGTAAGGGTATTTTTTTTAGTCATAAAATTGTATATAAAGTGATTAGATACCTATTCAATTTAAGTGAAAAATTTGTGAATTTCATTAAGGCACTAGCAACCAAATAATCTTGGAAAGCATCATAAGAGCATTTAACAAATCATTTTTGTCGGTATTGGTATCCTATAAAAATAAAAATATTTTTTTTCGTGATTCTTAAAAAAATGAAAATTTTATATTGATATTTTATAAGTATTCTGTAGTGGTGGTGTACCGCTAATTATCTTTTGAAACGATCCTTATAAAATAATTTTATGGTGTTGTCAAAGAACACAGAAATGTTATTTAAAATAATCGATGGCACCTCACTTTCAGCTCTATTTAAGATTTAAATCTTAATTTTAACATTAAGTTATTAAAAATTAAATTAATGTATCTGTAAGCCTCCAAGCAAAAAATTATAAATGCAACAAGAACAAAAAAAATATGAAAAAAAAAAAAAATACAAGAATAAATGACAAAAGACGGGAAAATGTCTAAAATAAAAAGACTAAGGATTACATGTTAGATTTGCTCGTTTTCAATATCAAATTTAAAGTATCATTTGTGTTTAAAATTTTTGTATTATGTATTAAACATTTGTTAACATCAATATGCAGCAGTGTAAATTTATGATATGTGATCCCGCACAACTTAAGGGTTTCAGGGAGCATTTTCATTTGTTTATTTAATTTATATTTGTCGTTGTCGTAGAATGTTATTATTATTATTATTATTTTTATTATTATTACTATTGTTATTATTATATTAATATAATAAGGTATACTACAATTTTTAGGGCGTTTGTGCAACTTGGGTAAAAAACAAAATAATTCTCAAAAGCTAACTTATCTCACTGACAATTTTAATGAAACAAAATTGCAAGCAATTCTAAAGAAATTACAAAACAGAATAACATGGATAGTTTAAAATTATAAAAAGTGTTTCCTAGTTAGATTGCTAACTGATTTTTCCAAATTACCATAAGTGTTGGATAATAAACGCAGTTTTCGGTTCCTAGGCTCCAGTACCTCCTCAACCATGGGATGGTGTGCTAGATACCAACGCAACAAGAAGCTGTTGTATATCCATGACGCCGAGCATAGAATAAGCCGGCCTGGAAGATGAAGATTGCTTGTATCTTAACGTATACACACCTCCACGAAAGGCGAGTATGATTTTAAACAGCAAATTTATAGCACCACAAGAAAATCGAGAGAAAATGGTTATTTTTCACTACTTCTAGATTACCGAGAAGTTGCCGGTAATGGTCTGGATATACGGAGGTGGTTTCAGCACCGGATGCATCTCCGATGTTACTTCTGGCCCCTTTTTCCTATTAGACCAAGACCTGGTCATCGTTTATATCAACTATAGGGTGGGATTGTACGGGTTCCTGTCCACCCAAGACGACGTCGTTTTGGGCAACGCTGGCCTGAAGGACCAGCTGCTGGCGATGAAATGGACCAAGAATAATATCGCCCTTTTCGGGGGAGACCCGGAAAAAATAACCCTTTTTGGGGAAAGCGCTGGTGGCATTTCGGTGGGAGCTCATGTCGTCAACAAGAAATCGGCAGGGTTATACAGGGCCGCCATTTGCCAGAGCGGCTGCTCGCTGACTTACATGGATATCACCAATCCGAAAGACCCTAAGCAAGCGGCTTACGACTACGCGAAATATATCGATCCCACGATTTCCGAGAAAAATACGACCACGGAAATTCGCGACTTTCTGCAAAGTGTGCCAGCTGACGTGCTGACACCTGCTTATAACGTAAATAGTCAAGTAAGTACTAAAAGAAAAACCTTTAGACGCGCGTAGCTGGGATGGAAAAATGAGACGAATATTGCGATTGAACAAGTCCGCCAGTAATACTCTTTCTTTTGCTCATATACCGAGTGACAACCAAGCTACTATTCAAGATAGCTTGCGATAGGGTTGAAGCTTCTGAACATTTGTACAGGGTGTTCGGAAATTGATTTCGGAAACTTGAAGGAAAAAATCAACGTGGTAAATTGATGGTAGTGCCATGTGACGAAAATTCGAAATCGGAATATTTTCCGAGTTATAGCTCGCCAAAAATCATTTTTTAAAATTTTATTTTTAACGCAGTGGGATTAGTTTTCTTAAGCTGGTATTTTACACACAGTCCTGATTTAGCAAAAGTCATCGTTACAAAATTAAATTGTTTCAGAAATCTGCCACCATGAAAAAATTAATAAATTTAACAAAAAAAGACTACTATGAGAGAAAAAATTTAGAGTCAGATAATCAAAATAAAACTGCTTAATCGGCCAAAGAATTTTGAGATTAAGAATAATGTTAATATGTAGCATTAGCCAATTTTATGAGCAACTTTTTTATAGAAGCTCCTAATAAAATAGTAGACAAAATTAAGGAGTCATCAAACATGCACAAAAATTGGAAGCTTCCCTGAAAGTAGAAAGAAGAAATATCGAACTTAATAAAAAATAAAATAAAAAACAAAAATTCTTATGGCCCTGATAGTGTGCCGTTTGTAACATTCAAAAAGTGTGCCGGCTACCTGAGTCCATTGACTTCCCTGATCAATCTACATATTGGGCTTGCGATTTTTTAATTTGACACAAGTTGCTCCTCTCCTGCCTTATTTCAACATACTGCCTACGACTTGTTAAGAACGATCTGAACCAGTTCAGAGCTATTCAACGAATTCCGTATTGTTCCATCCTCTTCAAAAGAATTTCGCGGTTCATACAGTCAAACCGTCCTGCTAAGATCAGAAAATATCCCAACAGCGTGCTCTCCAGACTCAATGTAGTTGATAACATGCTTCAAAAATGAATGGATCGCTGTTTTTTTTTTTGTTTTTACTTAAATAATCGATCAAGCCGTCAAGCATGGCGTATTCAAATATTTTAGCAAAACATGATGTGGTTGCTATTGGACTATAATTTTCTGCAGAATGCCTGGCGCCCTTTTTAAAGATGGGGGCCACACGCGGAACTTTCAGGGCTGTAGGAAAAACTACATCTTTTAATGATGCATTTATCAGGGAAGTCAATAGACTCAGGATATAGTCGACACACTTTTTGAATATTACAAAAGGCCCATAAGAATTATTGTTTTTTTATTAAGTTCGTTATTACCTCTTGAGGGAAAGTTCTAATGTACATACTTTCAGGAAAGCTTCCAATTACATCTAGAAATGAATTTTTGTGCATGTTAGATGACTTCTTAATGTTGTCAACTATTTTATTGGGAGCTTCTATAAAAAAGTTGTTCATATTAACATTAATCTTAATCTCAAAATTCTTTGGCCGTTTATTCCTTCCACTTATGTCAGACACAATAGACCAACAGTTTGATTTTGATTATCTGACTTTAAAATTGTTCGTGCCTTTTTGTGTTAAATAGATTAATTTTTGATGCAGATTTATAAAAGACTTTTATTTTGCAACTATGACTTTTACTAAATCAAATATTTCGATTTCGAATTTTTCTTGCATGACTTCCTACCATTATTTTACCAATTTGAATGTTTCCTCAAAAGTTTCCCAACTCAATTTCCGAATACACAGTAGAAGAAAAACGATTGAATTGCGTTTCCTTCAACTTTGTGATTTCAAATCCAATACTAATTTTTTTATGCAAAAACGAAGTGTGCCAGATTACGAAATTTTACGGTTACTTACTTCTCATTCAAAGCAAAGTAAAACATTAAAAACAAAATTTGTACCCATTAAAAAAAAACACAGTTATCACGAAAACTTTGATTGTATGAAAACGATTTAACTTTTTTATTCTACATACAGTTAAATTCCATAAGCATTTGCAAAATTAATAATAAGACAATGTTATTTCAACAAGTTTTGAAATAACTGAAAGAAAAAACAAGATTGCTTTCGAATGATGAGTGCGTCGCTTTAACAGCTATGATTTTTTTTTCAATAGAGTAAATGGTTTTCGAGAAAATACTTGTTTTCTGAAACCATGCAGTTTTTGGCTGAAGATAGGTATAGGAAAGTATTATTTAAAAACAATCATAAAGTATTAGCGGACCTGAAAGTATACGTGGTGTAGCATTAAGAATTGCAACATTCATGTTACTTTTTCGAAGAAGCGGCAACGTCGCACCGCTCTTTATGGAACTAACAAAACTCTGACCAATATAGCGATATAGGCCGCGAAGCGTTTGCCGAAATAAAAATTTAAATTTCTGTTTAAATTGTAATTTCAAGTGTTTCAATAAAATTAACGTTTAGACAGGTATAGTCATAGAAACTGAACACGAAGATGCTTACGTCACAAACCGCAGTTTTCCCTTACTGGAGTCTGGAAATTTCATTCAAGTTCCACTAATACTGGGCACATCTTCGGCGGAGGCGCTCACATTTTTCGCTTTTATGGGCGGTAAGTTACAAATATTCATTAATTACAAAAATTCAATAGCAGTTTCTCGACGACATTGCAACATCGCGTTTCCATTGACTCTGAAATTAAAAAAAGTGCTGTAAAATGTTGCAATACCGATTTTAATTTGAGGACTTCTGTTTGGGCGATTGAGCTTAACTCAAACTGACTCGCATACTACTCGGTACCAGCTTATATATTGTTTGAGGGGGGCGGAGCATCAACATGTCTTCCCATGGTGATAGGATGGTTTGGTGATGGATTGATGGATGTATGGAATAAGATTTGATTTCCGGTTTCCTGATGGTGGTCGGCAACTGCTGATGAGTTGATTTATCATAGTCTTCAGGTTCTTTCATGTTCTGTGAGCCTAGATGATATTTTTGTCCTGGCTCTTTACTCTAATGTATTCTTTTCCACATATACATGGAAAGCTCCAAACTGCTGGTATCTCAAACAGAATTCCTTTCATTTCATTAAACAACTAAAGTACCTGTTCTTGAAACTCTCAACATTATTTCAAATATTTTAAAATCTGAGTATCTGCAACCAAGCCACCTCATCATTATTGAAAAATGTTTGTCATTTTTCCTGTAACTGTCAAACTCATGAATAGACGTCGGGAACAGCTATGGGTTCTGCATTATCACCAGCTATCGTGAATATATTTATGGAAGTGTATGCAACCTAACATAAGAAACTAATAATAATCTAATATTCTTAGATATCCTAATCAATAGAAAATAGGACCTAACCTGGCATTGTCACATCACCAGCAATCCTAAAAATTATCGGTTTGTCACTGAACTCACAAAATACAATTCATCACAATCTTCCAAAGAAGATGAGTCCGATAGCAACCCGGACTTGTCACATTTGTCCTTCCTTACATTCAAAACATCACTGACCACATATCAAAAGTTCTTAAGAAATATAACGTCAAAACCAGATTCGTCAAAGACAAAATTCCATTTGAGATACCAAGAGCTATGTCACGCCCCACCTTTAGCTCCGCCCCCTCCTGTAACCATAGATTTGTGTTAGCTACTTTAGGTCTTACGTGTAGGGGGCGCTACCTAGATGTCATGTACTATATTTTTTGTTTTAATTGTGCTTTGGAATTGTTTAGGAGTACCTCTAATCACCGCCATAGGATTAACTTATGATCTAAATCCGAGTGGTCTCTTGCCTTGGGATCTAGAGCTCTTGCCCGGTGCCAACGTTACCGAGGTGGGATCTATAATTAAAGAGGCATACGTTGGTCCTAACGGCTCGTTCACTGAAAACTTGGCTGCCGTTGTAGAAGTAAGTCCGTTAAAACGCTAAGTGTATAATTGTTTTTTTAATTTTTAAGTATTTAATTAAAGAAACTGCGATATCCTAATTGGTAGCGTAATTGAAGAAAATACTAGGCAAATCAATTCAAAAAACATTTTTTTTTATCTAGTTATTTTTCTCGCACCTGAAGCAATAGATTAGATTAAATTTTTAAAACGTAATAATACCAAATATTCTCAAAACTAATTACCCACAAGTATTTTGTTATTACAACAAAGGTCATTAATACCAGTTGCTTGAAATTGAGGTACAAAAAAGTTACTTACCTGAATAAAACCTAACACATACGCTCTTTGATAAAGTTTCAATAAATATTCTTCACAAATTCTTTGAAAGAAACTCTGGAAGATTAGGAATATTCGATGTTGGTCTCTAAAAGATAAAAGTAAAAGTCATAACAAATTATCTATCCAATTTTATTTTGGTATTAAAGCAGTTGAACAATTCCATTTGTATAACAAAATTATTACCTGCAGGTGATTTCTGCAACACCCTGTATACATAAAAATATATCTTGCAAATAGCTTACAATTTTTTGAATAAATTTTGCATTTGACGTTTTTTTTCCCAAACTGTAAATAAGAAAGTTAAAGGTAGGGACATTATAAATGATCATGCAATCTGAATCGAAATGTATTTTCAGTTAGTCAGCGACCAAATGTTCCTGAAATCAACTTTGAAGCAGGCCGAAATACAATCAAACTTTACCCCCGTATATCTCTATCAATTTTCTTTCGAGGGTTTCTTAACCCTGTTTCTTCCCAACATCGAAGGTAAGGCTGAAATTTCGGAAAATTAGCGTCTCTAAATAATTGCTTTAGGCACGGGCAGGGCCGGCCACGGAGAGGAAATGCCTTATCTTTTTGCCACGATGCCGTTGCTCACCGATCGAGAAGTATTGATCAGTAAGCAGATGGTCAAACTCTGGGCCAACTTCGCCAAAACCTTGTAAGTGAAGTTTCCTCAATTATAAGGAATTTAAATAACTTATAGTCTCGCTAAGTGAAGTCTTTATATATATATATATATATATATATATATATATATATATATATATATATATATATATATATATATATATATTTGCACGTTATTCAATGGAAAAGAAAATAAGGTTTTTTAAATATTTGAAAAAAAAAATAAAATCATCAATATCCAAAAGGCGCCAAAAAATACAGCTTGTACATGGACATTTAAATTGTCTTATAAACCGTTTATCTTTAGGCAATGCAAATCAAAATGATTTTTTTTTAATTTTTAATATTTTGGCCCCAATCTTCTCCGAAATCTGCGAATTAAAAATATAGAGTTGCTATTTTCAGGAATCCCACTCCTGATGCATCGGACCCGCTGTTCAACCTCACGTGGCCGCAAGTTACCCCCACCAACATTCAGTATTTGGACTTCGACGATCAGATCGCGGTGAAACCCAACAGAAAGGCAAAGGAAATGGCAATGTGGAATTACGTTTATTACACTTATGGTCAGCAGCCCTTCAAAGGATTCTAAATACGTTGAAATATATATTAATTTGTATATTATGTAGTTTTTATTTTTGTGGGAGAAGGAAATGATTTTTAATTAACGGTGCTCACAAATGCCCCGTTAGATAAAAATTGTGTTTTTGGGACTTGATATAGTTAGTTTGCATAAAATGTTGCAAAACCAACGCTAGATATATCACTGTCTTGTGCTTTAAAGAAAATAGCGGTGATCTGATAAAAGAGGCCTGGCTGGACAACTCGTATGATCAAGATAAGCGTCAATATATAATTGAGAGCTGTGCAAAAATTGCAAAGCAGGATGTAATAAGCTCTGCAGCTACAAGAAGTCTAACATACCGTGCTCCAGTCTTTGTGCCAACTGCAATGGTATATCATGTACCAACTCAGGAATTGATTCGGGCGACCCGGATTTAAATTAATTCATTCATGTTTTTTTTCTATGGAAATAGGGGCTTGTTATTTTAGTTTAAGTATTTTCCAAAGATTTTTGACATGTCAGTTATAATATTTCTCATTTGTGTATGGTATTTTGTATTTATTGATAGATGTTGTAGTTTTCTGATATCACAACACAACTGTTGCAAATTTTTACAATTAAAAAAAAATTCTAGCTATTATATCTTCAATACGATTATATTAGTAAAATGCTGGAAATACATATTTCCTAAGTATTTTTTTATACTCTCTTGAAATATTTTTTCATATATGTAATAGATATAACAAAATTTTGTCCGATTTTTAGGGTGGCGGACCTTTTTTGAGGCCCTTTTAGTATGTTAAAAAGGGAGTAGAGTAACACCTCTTCTAGGCAGTCCCAGCTGTATAGAAATTTGTTCCACCTAAACATTTATTTGTATTTTACTATTCGGGAAAATCGAACAAATAAAATAAATTCAATATGTGCGTCACGCCAGGCACTCGGCAACTCGTGATACACGGACAATGAGGTTATGTCTTAAGTAATTCTTTATACCAGAAAGCCTTTTATTTGTTCATTTGTTATTTCTCTTTGATAAAGGCCGACGATGTGAGTGAGTGAGTGAGAGTTCTCATTGCACAAAAAGACACTCCTGACTGGCTGACTGACTTGCTTTGTAATGTATGGAAAGTTTTAAAAGACCAATCGCCAATCTTTGCTGCTCTTGCAGAGCAGTTAGAATTATAAAATTGGAGAAAACCTAATAATTTTATCTAGCAATACAATTTACGTTATGTCATTAAATTTTAAAGAAAAAGAAAATGCAAAATCATGATTCAAATAGAAAGCCTAAAAAAACTGTTCAAAATTGTCACCATTAGGTTTGTCACTCATAACTGTTTGTGCGACTTTTATCTGAAAAGAAAAAAAAAAAGGAACATAAAACTTATTTTATTAACAAATTGTACGATTTACTGGGTTCTCTAAGTGTATGGTAAGAGTTTCGGCTTCTTCTTCGTATTAAATACAGTTTTCGCTTAAATACCTTTATTTATCGATTAACATATATATTTCTTTTTGAATTTGCAAGAAAATATTATTTGAGAAATTTACTTTTTATATAAAGTCCTGTCTCAGCTTAAAGGAAACCCGCATTGCATGATTACCATTCTTGTGTTCTTTTTTAACACTTATTCCATTTTTTTGTATTTTTCGGAACTTTATAAATATCTATTACCAATAAATACGAAAGGCTTTTGTTTTTTGCAATTGCCGTTGAATAAAACACATCTTTAATTTGTAACTAAACGTTTAATACATCTTAAAATCCATTAAATGGCTGTTGACTGTAAGTGTAATAAACGCGATTCCACATTGCGATTTCTTTTTCCTTTCTGTTGGGTTTCACCGCGATCTGATCGTCGAAGTCCAAATACTGAATGTTGGTGGGGGTAACTTGCGGCCACGTGAGGTTGAACAGCGGGTCCGATGCATCAGGAGTGGGTTTCCTGAAAATAGCAACTCTATATTTTTAATTCGCAGATTTCGGAGAAGATTGGGGCCAAAATATTAAAAATGAAAAAAAAATCATTTTGATTTGCATTGCCTAAAGATAAACGGTTTATAAGACAATTTAAATGTCCATGTACAAGCTGTATTTTTTGGCGCCTTTTGGATATTGATGATTTTATTTTTTTTTTCAAATATTTAAAAAACCTTATTTGCTTTTCCATTGAATAACGTGCAAATATATATATATATATATATATATATATATATATATATATATATATATATATATATATATATATATATATATTCGGAAAATTAGCGTCTCTAAATAATTGCTTTAGGCACGGGCAGGGCCGGCCACGGAGAGGAATCCCCTTATCTTTTTGCCACGATGCCGTTGCTCACCGATCGAGAAGTATTGATCAGTAAGCAGATGGTCAAACTCTGGGCCAACTTCGCCAAAACCTTGTTCGCTCGTTGAACTCCGACTGGAATCCTGCAGACGTTTCGCCAAAATCTCACTTGGCATCTTCAATGCTCGCGCTCCGAAAACACTTCGAACACTATATATATATATATATATATATATATATATATATATATATATATATATATATATATATATATATATATATATATATATATATATATATATATATATATATATATATATATATATATATATATATATATATATATATATATATAACTAACAAACTAACAAAATGAGGAAAATATTAAAACTAAGTTGCTTTTAACTAAGCCAAGCGAATCTAGTACAAAATCAAATATAAGCTATAAGTTATTTAGATTCCTTATGAGGAGTTTACACTTACAAGCTTTTCGCGAAGTTAGCCCAGAGTTTGACCATCTGCTTGCTGATCAATACTTCTCGATCGGTGAGCAACGGCATCGTCGCAAAAAGATAAGGGGATTCCTCTCCGTGGCCGGCCCTGCCCGTGCCTAAAGCAATTATTTAGAGACGCTAATTTTCAGAAATTACAGCCTTACCTTCGATGTTGGGAAGAAACGAGGTTAAGAAACCCTCGAAAGAAAATTGATAGAGATATGCGGGGGTAAAGTTCGATTGTATTTCGGCCTGCTTCAAAGTTGATCTCACGAACATTTGGTCGCTGACTAACTGAAAATACATTTCGATTCAGATTACAAGCACCGGCTGATCATTTATAATGTCCCCACCTTTAACTTTTTTATTTACAGTTTGGGAAAAAAACGTCTAATGCAAAACTTGATCAAAAAACAGTAAGCTATTTGCAAGATATATTTTTATGTATACAGGGTGCCGCAGAAATCACCCACAGATTAAAATTATATATTTTTTAATAGAGCATCCTGTATATTATATGCTTAATAACATTCCCTAAAAATTCTGCCGATTTCTTGTATAATATGTCCTATGCACAAATGAAATGGTTCCTGCGCTTTTAATTTAAAATCAGCAAAAATTAAAAAATATTCTAGAATTAGTAATTTATATGTTAGGTGGCTGTGAAGTAGGTCGTCACCAACACACCAAAATGCTTGTTTACAACTGAGGGTGACAGTTACCGGTCGTATATTAAGCAAAACTCATGTTATCTTCATTATGAAAGAGAAAACTATTAAGTGTGAATTGCTGAGTTGCCAATTGTCAATAACCGTATTTGTTTTTAGTATTAAAAAAAGTTAATTTGACTGGTGCAGTTATTTTACTATGCTTAACCTAAAAAGCATATTAAATTGTCTTTCAATCAGCATCAGTATCTAAAAAAAATTAAATTGAAGTCAAACGTTCACAATGGGCCGATTTTTAAGCACGCAAGTTTATTTGTTAGCTTAAACGCAACATTACAAAATATTCTAGAACCTATAACTTAGGTACGTATAAAATAATACGTAGGTAATTAGTGGTACAAATGGAATTTGTAAATCTGGTGTAGGTTTTCTAACTAAAAGTTATCAAACGGAAAAATCGGTTTTCATTTACTGCACCTAATTTTGTTTTAATTTTAACTTTCATTTTTTCTTTCTTTTAAATTAATAGAAATAAACTAGCACAGAATTTGTGAGAAATATTTATTAAAACTTACTATTCAATTAAGTAACTATTATATTATAGATAAAAAAAGTGGCGAAAACATGGGCGTTCGACATTTCCTTCAATTACACTACTAATTAGGTCATCACAGTTTCTTTTATGGCGATAATGCTTTGTGGTATTATTTTTAATTAAATACTTAAAAACTATAAAAACAGTTAGACACTTAGCGTTTTAACAAGCTTACTTCTACTACGGCAGCCAAATTTTCAGCGAATGACCCATTGGGACCAACGTATGCCTCTTTGACTATAGATCCCACCTCGGTAACGTTGGTGTCTGACAAGAGCTCTAGATCCCAAGGCGAGAGGCCGCTAGGATTCAGATCAAACAATGATCCTATGGCGGTGATTAGAGGTACTCCTAAACAATTCCAAAGCAAAATTACAGTATAGTATAGTTTCTTTTTTCAAGTGAACATATTCTCCATTAAATCACTGTTTTCTACAATTGGTTATGGGGGTTTCACGCCAGAAACCCCAAAATTCAACCAGCTAACAAGTCAGCGAGAGTCAGTCGTTTGTAAATCAAACTGCCTGGCTAAACTGAAAGCACCTGCTTATATATTGTTCAGAATGGAATTTTAGGTTAAGTTCTGAAAGAGAAAGAATGATATTGGCAAGACGTCAGCAAGTTTGTTCACTGTCACTGTCACTAGTCATCGAGAATATATTTATGGAAGCCTTTGAGAAGAAAGCTCTCTACACCTTTTAACTAAAACCAAAATTATGGAAACGCTACGTCGATAATGCATTTGTTATTTCGCTTCATGCTCAGGAATCCCTGGTATATTTTCTTAGTCATTTAAACTATATACACCCTGACATACGTTCTACCATTAAAATGAAAACAAGCAACAACCTTCCATTCTTAGATATTCTTATCAATAGAAAATCAGTCCTAACATTGGGTCATTGTGTTTACAGAAAACCTACGCACACAGACCGATACCTTAATGCCTTGTCACATCACCATCCGTCCCAAAAATCATCGGTTATCAACTCTCTTGTTTACAGAACCGTGAAACTATCTCAGCCAGAGTCATTGAACTCAAAATTGGAACACCTTACCTGTGCTCTTCTCTCTAATGATATCCGTTAAAGATATTAAGCGTTTTATCACAAAATACACTTCACCATAACCTTCCAATATCAATGAAACCGAAAGCAATCCCACACTTGCCACTGTTGTCATTCCTTATATTCAAAACATCACTGACCACATATCAAAAGTTCTAAAGAAATATAACCTCAAAACCAGATTTACCATTTGTCCGAAAATTTCTCAACATCTTCGGTCCGTCAAAAACAAAATTCCATTTGAGATGCCAGGAGTTTACAGCACTCCATGTGGGTTAGAAACGTATCCTTGCTTCACCACCATCTAACGGGTTGATTTGTTGGGGGTGTGGACTGTATTCTTGCGGGGCTGGTTTATTTTAAATGATAGCCGTTTAACGCAACACAAACTATACATAGTTAAGGCGTTTAACAAATCACTTTATTCAAAATAATCACAAACATACAAATTGCGTTAAAACAGAGATTAAATTTCCTCTAAAGAAATCGTTTGAGAGGCTAGTCCAAAGAGGACACCGACTTATAAAGAACTATAGTAATAGTGAAAGGGGTTTAAAGGGGGGTTTAGCGATAGGGCGATTTTCACATGCCTATTATCAAGGGCGGTCGCCGCCAACTAGCTGCTTAGTGCAACGCATGTTTGGAAAACAGGCGCCGTCGGGGCGGTCAGTGACGTCTATGCAGCGTGATCAAAGAAGGCGATAGACGTTGCCACGTCTAACGCAATATCAACGTTTCGAGGGCATTGGGTTGTTTTATCAACACCAGACCTGACGAAAAATTTCAAATAGGCTCAAAGAATATAAAAGAGACTTAAGAATAAGAAAAATAAACTCATCAGCAGTTGCCGAACACAATCACGAAACAGGTCATAAAATTTTATTAGATAAAACTAAAATTCTTGCATGTTATCGGTTCTTCTACCCACGAAAAATCCGAGAGTCTATAGAAATCTATGAACAGCTTAACAATCTTAACCGCTACTCAGGTCAAAACAAATAAGAACTAAAAGTTCGGATTTTCAAAAAATTACGTACAACAGGATGATTGGCGAAGCGTTAGCTAGTTCAACTCAACAAAAACCGACCCATTAGGAATCCAGAATTTTCATAAAAAGTATTACAGTAGCTTGTGCAAGTTTAAAGTAGCATCATTTAATTTGTAAAATCATAAAAAAATATTTTGAAGTAGTAATCTTCAATGCAAATTAAAACACCCAAACAAAAGTGGTCAGATTAAAATTGATTGTACCCACGACATTTCACAGAACTTTTTTTATTTCAGAGTCAATTGAAACGCAATGTTACAATTATGATTTCCAATTTTTTGTTCGTGTTATTCAACTTTTCCTATCAACTTACCGCCCATGAAAGCAAGAAAGGTGAGCGCCTCCGCCGAAGATGTGCCCAGTATTAGAGGAACTTGAACGAAATTTTCAGACTCCAATAAGGGAAAACTGCGGTTTGTGACGTAAGCATCTTCGTGTTCAATTTCAATGACTATACCTGTCTAAACGTTAATTTTATTGGTAGCGAGATACGAAGAAACGCAAGCAGCGAGATACATTAATTTAATTTTTGAAAATTTATTTTAAAAAGAAAATGATTTATGATTTCTGAACAAACAGAAATGTCGCCCTCAAAGAGGCGGCCTAGATTGTTATTGTACGACCAAAAATATAGTGCATTTATTACTTTGGAGTTTTAAGTATTTTACAGTACCTTAACCGCAGATCTTCGCAGGACCTTGCTAAAACCCATCCCAACGGATGTTTATTCTGCATTAACTAGGTCTTGCCTGAGATGGACCGTAACGAATATTTGTAGAAACTTGACATTTTTATTTGAAACGTAAATGGGCCGTTTTAAATTGGATTAAGCATTGATGCTGCGGCGTATTTTCGAATAAGTAGAAGCGTATTTTTTTAACATCAGGTGATACGTATCGTTCGTATGAGGACTGCCTTTTATATTCCTAAACTAGTCGTGCCATCTGGCGACTAACGCTTTTATAGGGAAGTTTGACATTTTGAGGTTAGGTTTACTCAGTAAGGTTTTGGCGAAAGACTATTGTTTGTGCTTTTTGTGATAAATTGTGACTGTTAAAAATGGAACTCAATGAGGAGCATTTTCGTGAAATAATTTTTTACAACTTTAGACGTGGAGTAACTCAACAACAATGCATCGATGAACTTAGTTCGACTTTTGGAGTTAAAGCACCATCTAGGACTACTGTTTGTAGCTATTTTTTCGACTTTAGTCTTGGTCGCACTTTTCTTAGGGATGAATTTCGTGAAGGTCGTCCAAAATCGGCGGTTGTCCAAGAAAACATTGATCCAGTGCGGAAACTAATTTTGCAGGACCGTTATGTGACTTACCATTTGACATCAGCTCAAAAAGAGACTCGTGTTGATTGGTCGAAGAAGATGCTAAACAAATGCGGTGAAGGCATGTGAACCTGAAAAGAAGCAGCAGCCGACTGTGAGAGTCTATCAGAATGAGATTCAGAATGAGATCGTGGAATAAAGCAGATATCCACATGTTAGAAGAAAACATGCAAACTAACGCAGAATTTGAAGACATAATGACATTTGTCTTCAGATGCTAAACAAATTGTTTTGAATGTTTACAATTTTATAAGAAATTCAAAAGGGAAAGTAGGATTAGCAATAAAAACAAGTGACATGACCAAAGTTTCAAAGTCAACGCAAGAAAAATTGTTGCAAATGGGTTAGCCAAGAGAAAATAGAGACAAGATACTGGTACTTCGCGCGAAATATTCGAGGACTGGTTGGAAAGACTGCTGCCAAAACTATCGCCAAATACCGTTATTATGTTTTATAATGCCTCGTATCATTCAGCTCAAATTTAAAAAAAATCCAAATACTTCTTCAAATAATGAAGAAAATAAACAATTTGATATTTTGAAGAGAGCTACACGAAAAACGACTTCTTTAATTATTCAAACTAAAACATTTTAATAAAGACTATTCAAGCGATTATTAGAAGACATTATCGATAGTGACGATTTTTTAAATGACTGATATTTTATTATTATTATATTTAATATTTTCTATATTAATAAAACATATTTATATCCTACTTGATAGTGTACGTAGATAAATTCCTAGGACGGTCCTGGCATGGTTACGGGTAAGGGTCTGTTCAATAGGGTGTCCTACAAGGGGCTGCGGTTTTGGAGTAATAAAGAGTAGGCAAAGTTAATCACGGGGTCGGTTGTAAAAGCACTATAATTCTGGTCGAAGTATATTTTCGACATCATGAACCGCCATGTCAGTAGTAGTAGTTCCATAAGCAGTGCCGCTCTATGGATATAAAATATTGTTAACGCTGCGACATTGCCATCTTCCGGTCCGTTAATAATAATAGTAATAACGTTTATTATTATGCATAAGTGTACGTAAACTAGGAAAACATGCAGCAAAAGGCTTGAAATAAATCGTAGCCACTCAGGCAAATCCCAGATACTCTTAAAGCCTCATTTAAAAAGAAAAATCATTGTTTCAGGTGACAAATAATAGGCCTTATATATAATTGGAAATCGTTATGATTTGCACAAATTTTTGAATTTACCAGGCAGAAGTGAAAGTCACCTTATACAGGGTGAAATGCACAATAAAATTACGACGATTTTGCGAAAGGTGAAATACAAATATTATTTCTTCTTTCAATTATTTCAAAACTTGTTACAATAAAAAAATATTTACTGCCGATTATCCTCGCCAAGAAATTTTTTAAACACATAAGTGGAATTTTGCTACGAACCTAAGAATTTTCTAGCTTAAGATTGCCACATAAGTGGAATTTTGTTACGAACTCAGGTTTCTAGGCCAATATCCAACTCTTGGTCAGTAGAGTTTTCCATTTAACCTAAGAGTTTTCTGGCTTAAGATTGCCAGATAAGTTTAATTTTGTTACAAACTCAGGTTCCTAGGCCAATATTCAACTCTTGGTCAGTAGGGTTTTCCAATTAACTTAGGAATGTTCTAGCTCAAGCTTGAGTGGAATTTTGCTACGTACTTACGTTCCTAGGCCATTATCCAACTCTTGGTCAATAGAGTTTTCCATTTAACCTAAGAATTTTCTAGCTTAAGATTGCCACATAAGTGGAATTTTGCTACGAACCCAAGTTCCTAGGCCAATATCCAACTCTTGAGCAGTAGAGTTTTCCATTCAACATAGGAATTTTCTAGCTTTCAAAAATATGCGGTTGTATAAATTTATTTCAAAAACTTATTAAAGACAAGAATTAAAATCAACATCAGAAATGGTAGGAATCTAATACTGAACGAGGTTAATAAATAGACTAAAGTTGTTACTTAATGTATGCGATAGACATGCAAGGTTATAAATAATTTTACTGTGTGTGTAATTCACGTCGGAGAAATTTATCGTTTTCCAAAAGAAATCCAACAGAGTTTTGATTTTGAATCTTTATATTTATTGATATATAAATTAAAAACATAAATTAAATCATTAAACTAAAACGAGAGAAAATGAAAAATTTCTTACTAGCAACAAATCAATCTATGTAATTACAGGGATTATTAAAAATGGTGGACAACCTATACCGTAAAGTGCACATAAATATAATCAATATTACATATTATTTATTCAGATGAAATATAGATATAGAGGTAAGGATATTATGAAAAAAGACAAATTGTAATAAAAATTATTGTACAACTTCTATTATACTAGTCACTTTTCGGTAAGTCAGACTAGAGAAATAATAGGAGGCTCTACAGTGTTTTCTAGATGTTATCAGCTTCCCACATTCTTGCTTCTACTCTTTTTCTTCAATCACATATTCAACACATTTCGTTTTTCACTTTTCACTGTTTTTATTTCGCCTTACAAGATGGTTGCGGCGTTTTTCATTTCAAAAGTAGAGTTATGTCTTAATTTTTCAAAGAAACTTCCCCAGGCTACTGTAATACTTTTTACAAAACTTCTGGATTCCTCCGGCGTCGGTTTTTGCTTGGTCTAAGTTGCTGACGTTTCGCCAATCATCCTGTTGGCTTCTTCAGTTTCAGTTTCAGTCAAGCTCTGAAAAAGCCAACAGGATGATTGGCGAAACGTCAGCAATTTCGACTAAGCAAAAACCGACGCAGGAGGAATCCAGAACTTTTGTAAAAAGCAGAGTTATGTCTTGCTTTCACATGCACCTATACCATTTTTTCAGCATCTCTCAGGTATGTGGACTGCTGAACACTTTTAAAGGAAAACTCTCCTATCTGCAAGACAGAGAATACTGACTCACGATATCATAATCTTGAATTAAATCTGTATAAATGGAAAACCATTGCCGAGGTTAATTGGACCATAAAATATGTATATCTTAACAACATCAGCAATATCAGGTTTTTGTGCAAAAATTAATTTTAAACTTGGTTTCACTTTTTATTTTTATAATTTGCCCCATATTTTACCATAAGCTGTGCTATCAAATTTGTTTAGTTCTATATCGACTTCAATATCACCATCGGTATCTTTATTTTTGTTTTCTTACTCTAGTTTCCTTCTTCCGAGCTGTTTCTTGACTCAGAACGCATCAGAACGAGCATCAGAAGTTCTCAATATTCAAAATAAAAAATTCTGGTCAGTATTTGGAAACAAAATTGATTCTCACCCGTTTTTGATGAATACTTGGTTGGTTGTAAATTTTTAGATGGCCAAACATTGACTCCCCTGTACATTTCATTGCGAAGTTATAATATAGCTTTTTGAATAAAATTTAATAAGTCCATAATAATATGGTCTTATGCAGATCTAGAGCAGTATCTGAAATGTTTTCAGTTTATTTTCCCCCTAAAACTATACTTTGGATTTTAATAATTAAAAGTATTATTACCCAATTCGAGTCCAAAGGCAATGTAATGAATAACTGCTAATGTTTAACTGAAAATGTCGATAACACACCAGAAGAAAGAGACAATAGAGATTTAAACATTTTACTGCATGTGGAGGAAAACAAAATGATTAGTAACAGGATTCTTGCGATAAATGCGATGAAGAACGTAGAGTAGCATTTTGTTTTGCAAAAAAAATTAAGGAAGTCCGACTAGAGAAACAGCTGGAATTTGGTTAGTTTAGTTTGAAAGAGTCTTTATAGCTTCCACTGGCATGTCAATATCACGATATTAATTTTTTTTACGAGTCGGTAGGAGGCACTTCATGTCAAAAACTGCTATTTGCATGGGTTTTTCGAAAATTTCAAATAACATTTTTAGCTAAGATATCATTTATCCCCTCTGAGATATAAATAAAAATTAATTTAAGAATACTTTTTTGGGTAGGTATAATAGAAGCAGAATTAGCCGTTACCATGGCAACCGCTAAGCCTACTTTGTTACTTTACCCTTTTCTTTTTATATTGACGATTTTTAACTATAATTTTTTAACTATAATTTTTGGCGATTATTATGGACAAATTAGGACAAAATCTAATTTAACTCTAGTAGAAAATATAAGCATTGCACGTTACGTCTTTCGTATCTGGTACTATTACTATGCCACTGTTGGAAAATATGTTTAATAAATACATTTTTATTTATATCTCAAAGGGAAAAAAAGATATTTCCATGCCGTTCCCACTTGTCAATGTATGCTCGCAGGGAGTATAAACAATGACGTAGAAATTCTTTAATAGTATGTTTAAATTTTCTATTGCTCATCTTTTTCACGGTACCTGGCAAAACATTATACAATTTCAGGTTCAATGAGTTGTTCTCAGACTTCCTCAGTTTAAACCTAGGCCGTCTAAGGAGATCCCCCGAACGAGTTGAATAGGCATGGCAATAGGAATTAGCGCTAAAGTTTCCTTTCGTTCTCTGTATCTCTAATAACTGGTAGTAGATATAGATGCAAGGAAGGGGCATCACTTTGAATTTTTTAAAATAAGGTTGACAATGGTCCCTATATCCTATATTAGCAACGACTCGAATGGCCCTTTTCTGCATTCCAAAAATCTCCACAGCAGCTGAGGAATCACCCCACAGTACCGTGCCATAGCATAAGTGTGAATGCAACAAAGAAAAATAAACCATAAGCAGAGTCCTTGTTCACCATTATATTTGAAATTTTCGAAATAATCATAAAAATAGCTGTTTTTGACATGAAGCGCCTCCTATCGATTCGTAAAAGAATTAATATCGTGTTATTGAATGCCAGTCGAATCTTCTACAAATACTCTTTAAAACTAAACTAAGTTCTTCGAAATCGGATTAGTCAAAAAAAGTTATTCAAGTTTTTCTAAACCAATATTTGACGCTTCCCCCACCCTTACACTGACGAGATAGAAAAAAGTAGTTAAAACAAAAAAGTTTCCTTATCTAGAGAATATTACGCTGAAACCAATTTTGATATAGGTTAATTTGGAATATTTATGAGAAAACCTTTTTTTTCTATTTTACAATAGATGTTACGTTCCCTAGCGGCCATATTATGTAGCATGTAGTCCAATTTAATTACAATGTTTTTTTCTAAGTTATAGTACTAATGGTATAATGGCATGAGAAATATTAAAACTTTTTGCAAAAATAGGGTTTTAAAAATTAAGATGGCAAATTTCGCTTCCTCATAGCCATTTTAGAACCCCGTAGAAAGGACCTTTAAGGTTTAATCTCCACCATTTTAAATACATGCCTTCACAGCTGCCTCAAGACGCACCTTGTATATGCAGTAAACAACTTTGTGATTCATTATGCGATATATGATCAAAGTCTTTTGGTCGATGTTCAAATGATAATTAAAAACCTGTACATAAAACCGTGGATTGTTAAAGTGCGTTTTCGCATACATCTAGCACCGAACAACCTTGTTCTTTTCGACCCGTGCATAGCCAAATAAGCAACTTGTTTTTTCAAAGGCACATAACTGCCATCGTCGCGAAAAACGTAACATGTTCACCGAAATTTTCTTTTTAGTTTTCTTCACTTGTTGTGAATCCTTCGCCGCTAATCTGCGTAAGTCTTTAGTAAAATAGAATTATCATTTCGAGGTGCTAATTGTGTTAATTACTGTCTCAAAAGCCGCCTCCAAAAACATTGAAAATCAAAATTATTAATAAATTAATTGTTATTCTTAGCATAGCTCCACATTGAACTGCCATGAACGTCAAATTCTGAGAAAATGTCATTGTTGTCGCAAGTTTTTCATTTGGCCAATGAAAGTTTATTCGGAATTGAATAATTTTAACAATAAATTTTTTAAGCTCATTTGTAAATTCATATTTTTTAGAAAAAAATTGAATAAACACTTGAGTACACAGGAGTCCTGGATATTCATCTTAAAAAATTCGAAATTACTCAAAAATAATTTCAAGAAATCATTTCCCAAAAAAATTCAAAATTTAAATCTTTCTTATAATAGATGAAATACATAAAAGACAAATAAGTGTAAAAACCAAACGGGCCAGAGATCTCACACATTTTTGCAGTACTTTTCGTAGATGAGGATTTAGACCAAGCATTGACAATGTTAATTAACATCATTATGTGCTTTTAAAAATCGTTTCAAACAATTTATTCTATCTCTGAGCCTCGAAGCAATAAATAACTTAACAAATACGAATGCATAACGAACAAGAATTGCAGGAAATTTTCAAAAAAATATGTATTTACAAGAAAAAATAACAAAAAAATCGTGGAGAAGATCAAGAATGAAGAGACCAAGATCTAATTTTAAGATTTGTTTGCTTTCAATATCAAATTTACAGCAATATTTATTTCTTTTAAAATGTTTATATTATGTAGGTTAGATTGTGTATTTTATAAGAATTATTTAGAAACTAATGCAAAATAATGATAAAACTAGAGAAGAATGAACCTTGCTTAAAATTGATACTTATAACAGACAACATTTTGATTAAGATCTATTTAATATGAGTTAAATGTTTGAAACATGTTAGACAATAGAGAATGTTTCACTTCTTACAAGAGATAATTATAGAGACTCGTGTACTTTTACTTTGTTCTTTGACGTTTGAATGTGATTTCTTTCGAAAGATCTTTCTCAATAGTAACACAGATATTAAAAATCAAAATTATTTAAAGTTTATTATGCTAGTATTTTAAATATGGATTTATATTTAAAATACACTTGGAAGGAAGTAAGTGCTTATTGAAAAAACTAGCAAAAACTTGAGCCAAGTTTTTCATTTGTTAAATAATTAATTCTATATGGGATTTAATCATTTTAACACTAAACTTTTTCCGAATGTCTGAAGACTATGTGACATGTGGTTGGATAACAATAGAGACTGATTTAAACCACTTATTATTATTATTATCTTTATCTGAAACAATACATGCGAAAAGTTTTAAACTTAATGAAGTTCATTTAATTAAATGGATCGTTTTAACGTAGAGAAGAATCAACCTTGCTTAAACTTGCAATTTAAATTATATAGACTCCCTCAGTGTGATAATTTTAGTGCGCACACACAACAAAAAAAATCATTCCTATCTCCAAGTAGTTATTCTCAAAATTAAAAAAAAATGTATGTTTTTTTAAATTATTTTCAAAATTTATAAAATTTGGTGTAGTTGATCTTAATACTTTTTCAGTTTGTGACCCAATAATGTAGTAGATAATTATAGGTAATTATTATAATTATAGGATATCTCCCTTTCTGCGAACGACCTTGTTTAATTAATTAATTTATAAGTTTATACTACTGTTTATTTGCCTTTGAGATGTTGTAATTAGGAGATGCTTTTTGGTACCATGTAGTGTTTGCACCTAAATTCAAGATAAATAAGCACAAGAATAATAAATAAAAAATAATTATAAATAGTAATAGTATAATAGTAAATATTAAATAGTATAAATATATGTAAATATGTATAACAACATTATTATAAAAACCTTGATAAATGTGTTTAATGGTAAAAAGGTATCGAATTAATAAAAAAAAAACTGCAAAAGTGTATATTGCTTCCATATCAAAAAGTTTCGACTATCATGATAACATGAACCTGCGACATGAAAAAGGGCTATGAGAAAAACTGATGCCATTATTGTATTAGACGACGCAGCTTTCCATTCAAGAGTTTTAAATAAACAACCCACCACACCTACTGTAATATAAATTTCCTAAAAATATTATGTAGCTAAACCAACAATTGGGGTTTATTAGTCAGTGACCTTTGGACCCGCACGACAAGACTGGATTTGCGGGTTGGAAAGAATTTTTTTTTCTATATCACATCTGCACAGTTTTCTTCATTGAGATCAATCATCAGTCTAAGGCAGCACGTTTAATTTTATCTTTAATTATCAGATTCCGCGTAGTCAGTTTGTAAATTACCCAAAGTAGTATTGATTTTACATAATGTTCGGTAAATTTCTCAGTTTGCAGAAAACTTCCACATTTCTCATGTTAAAGGCAACACCTTGGTATGCTAATAAAAACTAAAAATGAACAGGAATGTAAGTTGTGAGTTTAAAAGAAATGACATTTACTCTTTGCTCATTGTCGTGTAAATATGATTTCTTCTGAGAGGCCATACGCAACCAGTTCATCTATAAATGTCAAGCGGTTTAAATTTGCAGTGAAATGAGGAGTAGTCAAGGTCTAACGAAGCACTCTGTGTAACTCTACGCGGTGTGTTCAAAAAGCCAGGAAGATTTTAAGTTTTATCAAAAAGTATATATTTATTTATTAAGATTAACGTTGTCCCCTTCAAAGTTATCTTCTCCAGATATAATACATTTGTGCCAGCGTACACTTCTAGGCACATGTGTACCAGCATAGCAAAAAAAATATCGAAAATCGAATGTAGGTAGCCTGCCCAATTACAAAAGTCACCTTACCTCTTGAACTAACCTCGTATACTGCTATGGTTCCGTCTTCCAGCGCCCGAGATTCAGAAGTGCAAATTGGGTACTCCCGACTTCGAAGAATGCATGAAGAAAAGTATAGACTTCGCGGGACACTTTTTCAAGAATGGTATCGTATGGTAATCGTTGCTCGGATATCGAGGACTAACAGCCAATCCATTGCAGGTAGCGCAGAATTCGGATTACCCAGGATCGATCCTTTTTTTGTGGACAAAATGGAAATTCAAGGGGATCCGTCGAAATCGGTGCGCTTGAATCAGAAATTCGAGAATGTCGCGCTGACCGGTCTGCTGGATTCAAAAATCAAATATTTCAAGTAAGAAAATTGGGACAAGGGTGGGCCAAATTGAACACTTTTTAAAATATTTTTTTTACGACATAATTAAGGAGAGCACTAAATGTAATGTTGAAAATGCACTCCGAAATAATTGATTTCTTAAGTACGCGTGAAACCCGCCAATGGTATCGTTTCAGGGTTATAAGAAGTATTTTGAAAATTAAGGTCTTCGTCTCTTCCTACTGCCGCGAGGAGTCCATCTTAGAATTTGTTTCGATAGACTTTCATTACCCATTCTTTGTACATGGAAGTACCATTTGTGTTGTTTCGTTTTTATATCATCTATGATGTTGTGTGTGACTCCCATAATTTCCCGTATTCTTTCATTTCTAATTTATTCTTCAGAAGTTCATCTCTGTCACCTTTAGCATTCCGTCCTAATTCCTTTCTCTTAGCGACCAAGCTTCACTACCATATGCTCTTGACAATCGAGTTGTAAATTTTTTGTTTATTCTGTTTTTGCGATACTCTGATCCCATCATATGCTGTTTAATAATGACATAGCTCTCCTACCTTGGATACATCTTTCCGCGGTTGGTTCATCCACGTTTCCTTCTTCTGATTTAGTCTGTATAATACGCTGTTCTGTTCCAAGAATTAGGTTTTATTGTGTCTATGCATATGTATTCTGTTTTATTGATGTTCACTTGCAGCCCCATTATATTCTCAATTACCTTTCGTGGAATGTCCTCTATGTCATCAAAGTCTGGAACCAATTTTACTTGATCTTCCGCAAAACACAGTATGAAAAGATGATCCTCACCTTTTCAGGGATTGTTGCAAATATATTTTAAATAATGTTGGATAAATACTACACCCTTACCTCAGTCCTTTATTTACAGGAAATGCTGTAGAAGTGTTTCTCCCTACTTCCACTAATGCTTCGTTGTTGTTGTTGTTGTTTTCTAATGGCCGATTGATTGAGTGATTTTGATGTTTGAAAACTGCTTGTTAATTTGTATATTTTTGGGGGGCCCTTTTTTCAAAGAACTCATGTCTACATGAACTACATGTCAGGCACGATTTTAAAATGAAATGATTTGGCAACATTGGATAATATTAAATTTCTCTGCAAAGCATCAGAGTTTGCGCAGAATCGTCAATCAAGCGTTGTAAACTGCTTATGCGCAGTTTGGTTGTCTTGGGCGTCGTGCTACTGTGTTCGTGTTGCGTATTTCTAGTGTTCTAGAACGTATAAATATGGAAGGAAGACACTATGCGAACAATCCAAATAACTTTTGTCATATGTGTGGTAGTTATGTCGTAGTAAAGCAAAGACAAACTACAATTTATTTTGTGAAAAATGTATACTACGCTTGTTTTGGTGTAAAAATTGCTGATAAGTCCTAGGCTCCTCATACTGCCCGGTCCGTTTGCAATGAGGCCTTGAAAAACTGGCAAAAAGGAATTAAGAAATGTTTAAACTTTGGTGTACCAACTATGGCCAGAGCCTACGATTCACAGCGATTGTTATTTTTGTTCTTGCAATATTCAAGGATTCAACAGAAAAAATAAGAAACAAATTGTGTATCCCAATCTTGACTGTGCTATTCGACCGGTTTCGGGATCGCGAAAAAGAGGTATGTCTATATTTTACACTATTCAGAACCTGGTTTCAAAATTAGGATATGTGGCCGTATATAAAATAAAAATGGCGAATGTTTAGTACCTCAACTAAGAGTAGTTTAAAAGGCGTTTTACTGCACAATGGTAACGAACTGGCCTGGGTTCCCATGGTATATTCGATACATTTAAAAGGAACGTATAAAAGTTTGGGACTTCTTTTAATGAAAATAAACTACCATGAACATCAGTGGATGCTTTGTGGTGACCTGTGCAGGCTCCTAAGACAAATAAAAAAGATTTGCCTATTCATATCAAACTTGGCTTGATGAAGCAGTTTGTTAAAGCCCTATACAAAAATGGACAGTGTTTGAAATATTTGTGCCAGATTTTTCCAGCCATATCTGATGGAAAGACAAGAATTTTCAAAACACAATGGCCAAGGTCGAGAAAAACGCCTAGGTTTCATTTAAAGAAGCAATTGATAAGTTTCTTGGGAACTCTAATGGCAAAAACCAATAAAGTATTATTCAACACTTTCATCGTCTAGACTTCAATATGAGTTTGAAAGTGCAGTTCCATTTTTCACACTTGAACTATTTTCCTGAAAATCTTGGAGAACAGGGAGAGAGGTTTCACCAGGACGTTAAGGAAGTGGAACGGCGATACCAAGGCAGATAAAAAGATAATAAAAGATAATATAACAACCTAATGTCCGGACAATGCAGCTTTTTGGCAAAAAGACGAAGATTTCACTCAAAAAAGTCTGAATAAAGTTTTCTTCCCCTTTTTTTTTAACTAGGATTCCACTTTTTCATTGAATAAAACAAAATGAGTATCGTTTTTTTTTTCCTTTAATATCTGCGAAAAACCTTAGGTACGTGATACAAATAAATCAATAGAATTTTTGAAATCAGCCCACCAAAATTATATGAAATCAGTCGTCAAAATAAAAAAAGTTTGATTTTATAGACTTGTGCAATTAATGGAACTTTTTGTATTCCGATCGGTGTTGATTATTCGGATTTGCGTTCTTTAAAATTTCAGATATATTCCCGACGAGGGCAAATGCGTGTGGGAATTGGACGTATTCACTCCGGCGACCCACATGATAGCCGATTTCGAAATGACAGGCCAAATTCTCCTTTTTCCAATCAACGGGCACGGCAAGTGCACCGTGGATTTGTGTAAGTTTTCCTTCTAGCTAACGGTAGTTGGGTAGACTTTTTTCCAAATTTTTTTACCGGAGATCTCGGCAAAGGAGGCAAGGGGGCAAGGAGGCCCTCCTCAAAAATTCACCCAATTTTTTTTATTATAATTATAAATGATGGTTATTCGTACATTTTTAGAACTTTGCGTAATAGCAGGGGTCAAATGGAGCGCATAAAAATTAAAAAAAAAGCGTTTGCATATTATTATAACCGAATTATAATTAATTTATTGAAAGAGCTTTCGAAAATCTTACAAATACCAATAACAAATTTTTTAATAGATAGAAAAATAGTTACTAATCAGTTGCGTTATTTTTTTTTATTAAATACTTTTTAAAAAATAATTATAATTTTATTATATATTATATTATATAATTATATAAAATTTGGGTAAATTTACTTAAAAAGTTATTCAAAAATAAATAGACTGGATTGTTAAGTCACAAAAAATAATAAAAAGTTTAAGTGGTCCGCCTTTGTTTAGTTATAGCTATCTGGATAGTTGACTAACATTTTTTAATTAGAAAGTGAAATCAGTAGTTATTCTTTTATGATTACTAATAGTATTAGTATAAACGATAAAATGTACTTTAGAAAGTTTCGTTATACAATATACGATTCCTATGTTAATGAGTGAGAACTAGAATTTTGCATTAAGAGAGAAGGCGTAGTAAACGCGAATGGCTGCCTCGTCTGAATTTTTTCCTTTTGCAATATCCTTGGCTAACGATTTTAGCTCACGTTGATTGCAGATGTTCAAGTTTGATAAATTTTTAATTTAGGATTACGTATTTTTGCCAAAATACGTATTAAATGAAATGAGTCCAAGCATATAGTTGTTTTACGTTATCTCAAGTTTTTTTATATTTACTTTCTCTTTTAAGTACATGATTAGCACATCCTCTTCAACTGCTATCTGATATTAGTCACATTGTCAACAATTATACAGCTCACATAACTTAGCCTGGCTTTGTTTATCTAATCATTTTTATAAGATTTAAATCGCATAGAGGTACGAGGTTAACGCCAAAATATCCCTGCGTGACATAGGTGCAGCTCTAGTATCACGATAAAACTTATATGTATATATATATATATATATATATATATATATATATATATATATATATATATATATATATATATATATATATATATATATATATATATATCTTAGTAGGCTGCAAAAAAAAAATTGAAGTCTTGCGTCAAACAGTTTTTTATTGACAGCATTTTAAACAAGACGTGTCCGAAAAAATGTCGCAAATAATGCAAATTGAATATAGAGCAGTCATCAAGTTTTTGACAAAAGAAGGGTTAGCACCTAAAATTATTAAAGAAAGGCTGGATGGTGTGTACGGCCAAAGTTCTCCTTAGTATTCCTTGAATGGGACAGGAGTCCCTTGAAGATGATTCAAGAACTCGTCGACGAGTGGAGGTCATAGCGGAACATATTGTTGCGATTGTGGAAGAGGTGGTATTGAGCGATCGTTTAAAGGTCAAGGAAATCTCAGAAAGTACTAAGCTTTCTGATAAAAGTATTCGTCGAATCCAGCCTGATTATTTAGATATGCATAAGTTTAGTGCAAGATGGGTTCCTAAAAACCTTTCGGCTATTCAAAAACAACGCCGTGACGAGTGTGCGCGGTCTGTTTTGGAACTCTGTGGGTCGGAACCGAAGCCTGTGATAGAAACTATTGTGACGGGAGATGAAACCATGGTTCTCTATTATGACCCTCTATCGAAAAAAGAATCAATGGAGTGGCTTCGTAAGAGTGAAGCACCTCCACGACAATTCAGAGTCTGCCAGTCAACAAAAAAGGTGATGGCCACGATCTTTTTTGATTGTGAAGGAATTCTTTTGATAGATTTTAAAGAAACTAATACCACTGTCAATGGTAAATATTAAGCAACATTATTACATAAATTGCGAGACTACATACGTGTAAAACGTCTAGGAAAACTGACCAGAGGCGTCCGTCTTTTGCACAATAATACATCTGTCCATACTGCTGGTGTTGCACAAGCTGCCATTTTAGAGTGTGGGTTCCAACAGATAAATCATCCTCCCTATAGTCCAGATATGGTCCCCAGCGACTAATATTTGTTTGGATATTTAAAAAAGGACCTACGTTTACGGCGGTTTAACGACGAAGTTGAGTTAAAAGAGGCTGTTTTAGCTCATTTTGCAGACAAACCAAAATAATATTTCTTAAAGGGATTGAGTTCTTAATTAAGAGATGTAATAAGTGTATACTTTGTTTCTTTAATATTCAGGTCGGGAAATTTTGGCACTGCCCTTGTATATTATCGGATTTTTTTATGATTCATCATACGACTTGGTCCTTAGAACTGAAACTAGTTGTTTTTTTGTATTTTCAAAATAAAGATCATGTTGACTAAGGAACTCTTGCAATACCTCTTTTTTGCGTTATTATTGCGCTATGATAGCACTATCACAAACTATTACGCGGAATATTTGGAAGAAAAGAATTTTTTCCCCAATTTACTAAAAGTGTGCTTGTCACGTGGTGAAGGTAGTTTGGCCACCCAATTTCGAGCCACAGTGAAAAATAGATTTTCCTTTTTCCTGTAGATGCAGGTACCTCCAAAATGCAGTTAGATAAAGACTTCTGCAACCCTTTTCTTTCAGACAAATTTCCTCAGAAATTCTGCAGACATCTTTACATGTTACACATAGCTGTAATTCCAAATCAGTATGACCTCGGAATTATATCTTAGGACATTAACAAACATTTACACATTCAAATGTACATAGTTATACTAACCATACGTACATTACATTACCTACATAAATTTTTCATGTTTTGTCTCTACAATATTTTAATATATTTTTTAAAATCTGTGATTATTACCGCCTTTTGATATGTTATGAATGAACGAGTTGAATTTTTTAATACTTTTATTCATAGAATTATTCAGTCCTACATTATCTGTGATTCTGTTTGTTATTTAAAATTTCATAAATAAGTTTACTCTGTTATTGTTTGTGGTTGTGTGTTTTCATATACTAAACCCGCTGGTGTTTTATAATCGAGAAAAAATAAAATTTTTACCAGTTTATTTTGCAATTTTTACATTTTACCAAACAAGGTTATTCCATAGGCACCCAATGCGCGAAAGAATATGAGTTACGTATTTGATGCAATGAAGATTTATTTAAAAATTGTGTACATCTGAACAAGGCATGGGTACAATTTTATTTTTTACATGTTCAAATATGTCATAATTTAGTTTTTCGTCTAAGATGAGGCCTAGATATTTGGTATTCTGTATTCTTGATTAGAATATTTTTACATTGCTTTGCGAGTAGAATATAATGCAAATAGTTTTTATTGAAATACTTCAACGTAGGATCAATATTAACGAAGTACGCTATTGCATTATCATCAGCAAATACATGACAATACATTAGAATTCTATATTTCTTACATTCAAAGAACAGAGAGGACAAAGTATCGAGCGCTGAGGTCTCCACTTTTCTTTAGAGCTAGTAAAAGTGTAAAAGATTTTAGAAACATATGAGTATTACCCCTAATGGCCATTTTTTCGATTTTGCTCAAAAGTACCTGGTGGTCTACAACATCAAATGTTTTGCCAAAATCCATTCTCATCTAAATAATACACATTTCTTTTTTATAGTAGAAATTGATGAATTTCAAGGCAATATTTTTGTCTCCGTTCCACCAATCTTTGGGTCTCTTTAATGCGACTGGCACTAAATCGATTATTTTCTTTTAATTTCTGTTGCAATGATTGAAGTAATGGAATCCGATTGCTCTCATACTTTCACTCTTTCTATTTGCTATGTTAAAGCTTCAAGAATCTTCACTGATGCCTTCTCAAACAGTTTTTTAAAATTGAAATATACGGGCTATTCTGAGCCAAACTTATTTGAAATTTTAATTTTTAAGAGGAACCCATGTATTTAAATTTTATTGTCTTTTTAGTTATTTATATTTAACTTTACTGGATTAGTCGTTCAAAATGTCCACCCAGTTACTGTATACATAGTCTAGTTCTTCTCAGAGTTGAAGTGGTAGCTCTGCTAACGGTCTCTAAAAAGTAATCTAACTGATTAAGATCAGGTGAACCTGACGGTCAAGGAACTGGTGAAATTCTGTTAACTGTCGACTAAAGTGAGAATGTGAGGCCATATGTTGAATCCACATTAAGAACATCATTTAGCAATATCAATTATAATTGTACCAATGAGGCGGTCATCACTAATGCCAAATCGAATATTCACCGAAAATTTATCTTGAAAATGGGATTCCAGAGTTTGTCGTTGATTTTCAAGTGTCCCACAAAGTAAATTCCTGGTGTTATTGATAGCGTTACTCTTCTGTGGTCTACATTTTCTTCAACTCACGGTCTAAAGATAAACAATGAATCACTGAAACACCACTAATACCTTCCTGTACTTGTAAATCGATTTTTATTGAATTATTGAGTGTATTGGACATTGAGTTTATGATTGGCCAGTTGAGTTATGACCATTTATCGCGTGCCGAACTATACTAGCCCCATTTTTCTATATGTTGCTTCGGGGGCAGCGAGAAGGTTCCTTTATTACTTCTTTTTTATCCGCTCACGATTATTATTCTTTCGGAAAAGGGACAAATCTCCATCAATATCCATGTTTTTCTTTTTCCCGACTATTTGACTCCATAAAACGCGCTTAATTAGTGTCGATATGTGTTTCCAGTTAACGTCACCAACGAGCATCGGGCCCAGTGCGAGCACTATTCGAAGAAAGGCAAGACATTTCTGCGCCTAAAAAATTACTCGATGAAGATGCACGTCGGTAACTGTCGTTTCGTTTTCCCGAACCTGATGCCCGGAAACGAGCAGATATCCAAGGAAATCCAAAAAGTGATCGACGAAAATTCGTTGGAAATCTTTAACGACGTCAAGAGTGGCTTCGAGAAGCTACTGTCTTCGCTTCACGAGCGAGCGTCGAACGGCATGTTCTCGAGGGTTCCCGAAGACGAATTGTTCTTAATGTAGATTCATGTAAATAAAATGTGTTGACGTTGGAGGTGTTGTTCTATTTACTTTAATGTCTAAATTTGTTAGGATCAAGAGGAGTGAGAACATTATCATTTGAGCGACAACAAAAATCATTGTATGCTCCAAATAACCAAAATTCCCATATAATTCCAACTAGTTACAGTGCTGTTCCGATGCCCACATAAATTCTAACATTTCCCCACAATGCCCCCCAATTATTTTTCTAAACATATTAAAGTTGGCGAAATGGCAAAATTCAATAACAATTAAAATACAATACAATAAAATAATAATAAAATTCAAATAAAGAATGTTGTTGGTTGGTGCCGTTTTTACGCCCCTCATTTAGCTCTATTTTTGGAATCCATCTTGCAATGATAACATTATCGTCGAGAGAGTTTTAACTGGAACTATCACGATAAGATAACATGCACAATAGGTATGCTCTTGAAAACAAACAATGAACCGATAAACGCGTAGGAATCTATAGAGAGGATACTTATATAAATTATGAATCACTGATTTGGTACAAGCACTTGAATCAAATCTCGAAGCTACGCATCGATCAAAACAGGTGTATATTTATAAAAATGGTTCTTTCTGTCTCCTATGACAGCATACAGAATTTGTTTCAAATTCAAGTGAAGAAGTTGCAACGCATAACAGATTCATATAAAGTTTTTTCTTATAAACCTCTATATATTTGTTTATATACGAATTCTGTCCTTAATGGATATTTTGATATTTGCATTTCGCAAAATTGTATGAGTTATTGCAACTGCACTTATTGGGATGTCAAATGTTTGCATTGCATTCAGTTCTTTTCACGGAAGTTGCATGTATTTTTTTGCAACTCTGCTATATAGATCTCACTCACTCTAAATGAAAAATGTGACACACAACGTCTTTTACATACTTACTCTTTTCTTTCAATCTCACATACAACGTAATGAAAACAATGAAATTTAAATTCCAACCACATTATAACAAGGAATTTGGACAAAATGGCGACTATGTTTTCCGTTAAAAACACTTTTTTTGGTGAGACCTCGTATATGCCCACTTCTTTTTACATTTGCTCGAATAAATAACCGACGGCGAGAAACTTCGTTGCTAAATCTTTTGGAATGTTTTTGCTGTATGAAACAAGACGTAATATTTTCGTTGTTCTTTATTCATCACGAGAGGGATGAAAAATTTATCTCTGGTTAGTTAATTTGTCATTTATTTAAGTCACTTTGCACTGTAAGGAGTCAATTCTGTTAATGACTGCACGTAAAATGTTTTGTTGATATTTGAGCTTTGATGACGCAACTAAACATTTCCGAAAGCTCGGAGTAGTAGAAAATAGTTGTTTCTTTCACTCTAGCCCCTCACAGAAATGACGCAATAAGTTAAGACAGTTTCAATCAAGCTCTGAAGCCAACAGGATGATTGGCGAAACGTTAGCAAGTTCGAGTCAACAAAAAAAGTATTACAGTAGCCCGTGGAAGTTTCTTTGAAAAAAAAATTAGTCATTTTCTGCCCCATTAAATGGAAAGAGTTACAACCTGCAATGCTGAATCGATAAACTGCTAGTACCACTGCAGGTGCAAACCTTCTATTTTACAGAAAGAAAGTCCTTCAGTAAAAAGGCAAACATTGATTCTACAGGAAACAACAGAAAATGTTCAGACTCCGTCCGTTTATTTAGACAAAATATTTTTTACTAGTCCCCAGGAAGCCTTTGAAAACAAAAATAGTTTAAATATAGAAAATTGTAACAGATACAGCAAAACATCAATCTAAAATGGTCCGCTTTTCAGACGGCTTTAAATAAAGCCGCATTTCTGTCAAATATTTAACGCATTCTCGTCTTGTATCCCAGGATTGTTAACTTTCAGTCAATCAGCTAGGAACAGAAATGACCAAAATTACATGTTCCCATAAAACAGTTAAAAATTTTCCAATAACAACAATAATTACTGAAAAAGTATAGACTATTTCAAATCATCCTATTATTTTTTATAGAACCTCTGATCTCTTTTGATCACATACACGCGCAGATGAAGAACCTCTGTCTGAATTTTAACAATTAAAACTTATATTTTTATCCTCTTTCACCTATATCTGGTATCATGAACCAGGTTCAAGATGCAATATTCTGGTTATGCAAAAACCTTTGATGGATATTAGAGAGGACGAAAAACAAGATCTGCTGATTCCCAATTAATTTTTATAAGGTTGTTTAAAATAAGTCGGTAGTTCATTCAAAACTTATGGCACGTTACACCATACGCAATCTAACAGCGGTTGTTTATCCACTAATAATAAAACACAATGCTATTGTATTATTTATTAGATACTGATTTTGCTAGTTAGAGCTATGGACATTTATGTCGTAAATCGTGGGGTCATTAATTTTGGTTATTGAGAATCCATGAAAATTTGACTGATCTACGTTCAGTGTTACAACTTTTTTTGTTTCACCTCAGACCACTAATGACTATGACAGTGTCATCCGCAAAACAGACCATGTCTCCCAGTTCCTTGGATATTAAGCTAAATAGCTTAGATACTGAAGAGCACCGGGTCAAGCACTGAGCACTGAAGGCATTATTTATGTTGACTTTTAGTTCTATTTTTGATATGTAAGATTGGAAAAGCTAATTTGAACTTTTAGTTTTTCTATTTATATTAGCAAATTTATTAATTACTTTTTATAAAACTTCTGCTTTTTGACTCGAACTAGCTAACGTTTCGCCAATGATCCTGTTGACTTCTTCAGAGCTTGACTGAAACTGGCTCGTATTTTACTCTCTACCTGCTTTTATATTGTTTGCGGGCATAAACACCGTCTCGGATGACTGATTCCCATATTGGTGACAGGTAAAGACCTGAGTCGCGGTTAAGATTGTTAGGTTGCTTCTAGATTTCTATATACTCTCGGATTTTTCGTTAGTAGAAGAATTGATTACATGCAAGAATTTTAGTTTTATCGAATAACATACGTTTTACCATTAAAACCTATATAAAATCAGACCTAACATTGGGTCATTGTGTTTACAAAAAAACCTACGTACACATACCGATACCTTAATGCATCGTCACATCACCATCCGGTCCAAAAATCATCGGTTATCGACTCTCTTGTTTACAAAGCAGTAAAACTATCTCAGCTCGAGTCATTGGACCCAGAATTAATATACCTTACCTCGCTGACAATTTCCACATCAAAGATATTAAGCGTTCCATCACAAAATACACTTCACCACAACCTTCCGATAGCAATGAAGCCGAAAGTAATCCCACACTTGAAACTGTTGTCCTTGTTGAACTGAGGTGGCTTTTACTTGATGAAAATCCATTTATCAAAATAAATAAGAACTAAAAGTTCAGATTTTCACGAAATTATATATTATGACATGACAATTGTTTCCACAACACCGTGTCTTTATCAGATTTGATTACATTAAAAACATCACTGACCACATATCAAAAGTTCTAAAGCAATATAACAAGAAAACAAGATTTGCCACTCGTCGAAAAATCTTTCAACATCTTCGATCAGTCAAAGACAAAATTCCATTTGAGCAGTTTACAGCATTCCATGAGTACGCGGCAAAAACAACATTCTAAAGACCGAACAAAAGCTATCAATCAATCCTTCTACCAACGATAAATCCGAGAGTCTATAGAAAGTATTTATGCCCTTCATTTAGCTCCCCCCCTCAAATAATATATAAGCAGGTACAGAGTAAAATGCGAGCCAGTTTCAGTCAAGCTCTGAAGAAGCCAACAGAATGATTGGCGAAACGTCAGCAAGTGCGTCTCAGCAAAAACCGACGCAGGAGGAATCCAGAAGTTTTATAAAAGTTTTTGGTGATCCACTGTGTCAATGCTGCCAAGTCACTGGTCAGAAATATAAGGTTTTGCATGATAATTGCTTTTTTTGAAATATAAAATAAAAACAAAAAGATTAATATAAAATAAAAATATAACTGGCAACGTACTCGCTGATAAGATATATAAAATCAAAAGGTACTGTCGACAGCTGCAAAATCAATCATGCGTAGATTCCTGAGTGTACTATTTGTTTCAGCCACGGTGAGTCATACAATTTAGTGATTTCTAGGCAAGACCAAAAAACAAATCAAAATTCAGGAAATTCATTGATAGTTTCTCTGTTCCATTTATTATTTTTTAAGTTTTGGGATTGAAATACTTTATCTGACACACCAATCTTGCCGACTTTTTCTTCTGTGTTCTACGTTCATTAGAGTTGATTAGGTAGTGCCCTTATAAACATATTGCGAAGTATAGTCTTCTACAAGTTATATTTAAGGCCCTAGATCGGAAAATTGTGTTATTTGACTGTATCTAGTAGCAGTATTCGCTCTTTGCATGCTCTGTGCATGATATTTTTTGTCCACACCTTTCACTGTTCGTACGGAGAGAATGACGGGAATCTCTTGAAGCAGGATGTATGTATTGAAATTTCTGAAAGTGGTGCGAGCAATTGATATCCGAGATTTAATTCCTCATTCAGTAACTAGATGTAATAATTGTTACGCAATTATTTCGGTACCTAAACAATTATTTCTCCAAAATTTTTTCTGAAGAAAACCTGTACCTGTACTGCACTGTACTGTATCTATCTTTGGTTTGGCAGTTATATTTTAACGCACACTTTTTGTTTTCAGCTGGCGGCCGATCTAATCGTCGATCTTCCGGATGGCAGAATTCAAGGTACCATCATCACCAACCAAAACAAAAGTTACTACGCTTACAGAGGAATTCCATTTGCAACTCCGCCACTTGGCAAGCTGAGGTTCCAGGTAAACGTCTCTTTTAAAATAAACGATATTATTCAATCAATCAGTAAGACACGGAAACATTCATAGCATATTAAAGATAAATCCTTATTTACCTTTATTGATATACATGCAGATAGAAAGACATAGTAATTCCAGTATATACAGTGCGCCCTAAGTACCGGTTGGAGGTACAGCTTAGGTTAAATATGAAAAAAGTTGTATTCCCTGCAGCTTATGCCGTTTGGAAACTTGAAAAATGTTCAGATCACGCTAAGATATTTGGGAAAAACGGCAATAGCAATATCAACTTCAACAGCAACGAATTAAAAATTTTGAAATTATTCTTTGTGAAGATTTTTTGTCAAATCTGGGGGGATATCACTAACTGTTATAGATTTTTACTAGAAGTCTTTGGTGCTCCAATGAAGCATGGCAGAGTAACCAAATCTAATTTGCCTTGACTAACAGATAACCTTAAACCCACCCTGCAAACCCCTGAACTTGTCCTCAAAACGTTTCAAAGCACTAAATCGATTAATGAGTAGTATTGGTACCAGGAGCTTGGCAACCACATGGTATCTTAACATGCGCAATGCACAGACGTTTTGCTCAATTCACTTTATTTCTGTTTAAGATTGCAATAACGTTTTGCACAGCATGAAAAGCAAAGCTATATTTTTCTTTCAGGCTCCTGCACCTCCTCAACCGTGGGACGGTATCTTGGAAACAAAGGAATCGAAGGACTGCTGCATTTCCATGACCGACAATATCCTACAGAATGGCGCACAAAGTGAAGATTGTTTATACCTTAATGTTTATACTCCTGCAGAAGAGGTGAGTGATTTTCAAGAGTAAACTTTTAAGCATCACGGCCCAAGTTCTTATTATTATTATACAGCATTTATTGTAATGAAAAAAAGAGAGTTGGAGTTACAGTTTTCTTTCCACAAGAGTAACCTCGCAGGAATATTTCCCCAGAACCAAAAAAAAACTTGGAAAAGAAAAAACACTACTAATTATGGATTATTATTACGGAATAAATAAATACCTCTTTGATTACTAATTCATAAATAAATAAATAAACTAAAAAATAAAATAGAATGCCAGAAAAACGCCGAAGATCGGTTGACTATTTTACAAGTGAAACGGACCCTCTTAATAGGAGAAATTATAAAACTGTATATTCAAATTCTAATATCATAAATAACTAATAGAATATATAAGTAGAAAAATGCAACAATACTAATTACGAGGGCAGCGCCAAAATTTCCCTGCCTGAATATCAGTATTCGTAGTTAAACCGCCGTCCACGTAAGTCTTTTTTCAAATATCCAAACAAATAATAGTCGCTGGGGGCCATATCTGGACTATAGGGAGAATGATCTATCTCTTGGAACCCGCACTCTAAAATGGCAGCTTGTGCAACACCAGCAATATGGACAGGTGCATTATCGTGCAAAAGACGCACACCTCTGGTCAGTTTTCCTTGACGTTTTACACGTATGCAGTCTCGCAATTTATGTAATAATGTTGCGTAATATTTACCATTGACAGTAGTATTAGTTTCTTTAAAATCTATCACAAGAATTCCTTCACAATCCCAAAAGATCGTGGCCATTACCTTTTTTGTTGAATGGCAGACTCTGAATTTTCTTGGAGGTGCTTCACCATTACGACGCCACTCCATTGATTCTTTTTTCGATAGAGGGTCATAATAGAGAACCATAGTTTCATCTCCCGTCACAATAGTTTCAATCACAGGCTTCGGTTCAGACCCACAGGGTTCCAAAAAAGACCGCGCACACTTGACACGGCGTTGTTTTTAAATAAGGTTTTAAGGAAACCATCTTGCACTAACCTTATGCATACATAAATAATCAGGCAGGATTCGACGAATACTTTTATCAGAAAGCTTACTACTTTCTGAGATTTCCTTGACCTTTAAACGTCGATCACTCAATACCACCTCTTCCACAATCGCAACAATATGTTCCGTTATGACCTTCACTGGTTGACCAGTTCTTGAATCATCTTCAAGGGACTCCTGCAACATTCGAAAACGTTTTGCCCATTCTTTCACTACAGAATACTAAGGAGAACTTTGGCCGTACATACCATCCAGCCTTTCTTTAATAATTTTAGGTGCTAACCCTTCTTTTGTCAAAAACTTGATGACTGATCTATACTCAATTTGCGTTATTTGCTACATTTTTTCGGACACGTCTCGTTTAAAATGCTGTCAATAAAAAACTATTCGACGCAATACTTCGATTTTTTTTTTCGCAGCCTACTAAGATATATATTTAAAAAAAGACAAAGTTGTATCGCGATACTGGAGCTGCATCTATGTCAGCTCGGGAAATTTTGGCGCTAACCTGTACTGTTCTGATAAGGAGAATATTTCAAGGTTCTCTTGAACTGACCAAGTTTTCTGCTTGCGTGAATCACAATAGTTATTAATGTGAAACGAAAATGATCTTTTAAAAAAAATTGTTTATTGTTTTGGAATTCTGAACCTAATTTGCGGTTATTACTAGCCAAATCTTACTTCACAGATAGGTTGGCTTTTTGTTTAATGCGATTTTGTGAAACATACACGCTGAATGGAGGACCCTTCTCCTTTTCATATTCAACTACCTGATTTTACTATAAAAAAATTTATGAGAAATATGTCGTAATAACAAAAGACAGTTAGTTACGGTTAGTTTGCATTCCACAAGAGTTACCTCGCAGGTGGAAAAAAGACCATACATACTGAATACTTCACCAGAAAACTATGAGCTAAACTATAAACTACTTGGACAATTTAAAACTATATCAAATTCTAGCCTCGAAGTAATTTTTTTAAACCTTGGTAGAAACAAAAAAAAACTTTGAGAAGAAAAAACATTAATAATTATGGGTTTTGTCAATAATAAATAAATACCTCTTTGATTCGTTAATATTAGGATAAAGAGGTCTTTATTTTTCAGCACAATTCAACAAAATAAAAAAAATATATATATTGTTTTTACTAACTAAACTAAAAAATAAAATAGAATGCCAGAAAAACGCCGAAGATCAGTCGACTATTTTATGAGTGAAACAGGCCCTGTTTTTCAACTCAAGTGCAGAAAATATAAACTCTGTATTCAAGTTCTAAATATCTTAATTAACTAATAGAATGTATAAATATAATAATTATGAATTAAACAAATAAGTTTTATTTTTATTATAATTTATTTATTTTTTTAATTCTAATTAATGCTGTGATAAGTAGAGTATTTTAAGGTTCTTTAGAACTGTGACACTAGATGGCCGAATTCTGGACAACAATCAATAGCCAACGGCACCATTTATTACTCAGGAAGTGATGACACCCACCATAGATATGGAGTTGCGATGGTGGCATCCAGAGAAATCAATAAATCAGTAATAAACTTTACCCCTATATCAGACCGAGCCATGTTACTCCAACTTCAAACGTATCATTGTAAATTAAACATAATTCAAACATACTCCCCGACAGCAGATAAATCTGACGAAGACATTGAGGAATTCTACAACGAGATTAATAACATCATACAATCTCTAAAATCAAGGGACATAACACTAGTATTAGGAGACTTCAATGACAAGATTGGTAGAGGTAGATTTGACAAATATGTGGGAGAATATGGACTTGGTAGGAGAAACGAAAGAGGTGATAGACTGCTGCAATTTTGCCAAGAAAACGATTTTATTATATCGAATACGATCTTCAAACTTCCAAACCGCCGTTTGTACACCTGGAAATCTCCGCAAGACAACAAACAAAATATAGTCAGGAACCAAATTGACTACATCTTGATAGACCACAGATATGGGAATGTAATCAAATCAGTTAAAACCTACCCAGGGGCAGATGTCTCATCGGACCATAATCCACTAATAGCCCGTTTTTTAATAACACATAAAAAATAACGAGTAATACCAACAACAAATTGTATAGACGTATCGGGTCTAAAAATCCAAGAAACAAGACAAAGGCTACAAAATAAGATCAATGACAACCTCAGAACCCTCAAAAACAAACAAATAACAGCGGAAGAAGACACGGACAAACAATGGAAAGATTTAAAAAATGCATTAATTGAGCCGAGCAAGACCATTCTGACAAAACAGAAAATAGGGAAAAAACACGAACGACGTAGTGTAAAAGACAACAACGAAGCATATAAGAATATTCAGAAAGAAATACGATCACAGATAAGAGAAGCAAAAGAGATATTCTACAAAAGAAAATGCGACGAAATAGAAGCCCTTCAAGAAAAGCACGACAGCTTCAATGTCCACAAGAAAGTAAAAGAACTGGCAGGGGTACAGAAGAAAAGACAACCGTCAATACTCACTGACCAGAATGGCAAAATTATTATGGAAATGGAAGAAAAACTAAGAACATGGAAGAACTACATAACAGAATTATTCGCTGATGAGAGAGATATAAACAGAATAGTAACAGAACAAGAAAACAGTGGACCGGAAATAACTAAAGAAGAGGTCATCCATGCTATAAAAATCACAAAAGATGGAAAAGCTGCAGGGCCTGATGCGTTACCCCCTGCAATTCTTAAATTGATAGAAGAGGAAAACATACACAGTCTAACAGATCTGTTCAACGCCATATACAAAACAGGTATTATACCCAGGGAATGGTTGCTATCAGCGTTCGTCACTATCCCAAAAAAACATAATGCAAGGCAATGCACAGACTTTCGAACAATCAGTCAAATGAGTCCTACGCTAAAAATATTTCTGAAAGTGATACATCACAGGATATACAAAACATTAGAACAAGATATCAGCGAGACTCAATTCGGTTTCCGAGGTGGCTTAGGCACAAGAGAAGCAATATTTTCCTTGAACGTTCTCGCCCAACGATGTATGGATATGAATCAGGATCTTTATATATGTTTCATTGATTAGAACAAAGCCTTCGATAGGGTCCGACACGAACAACTTATCCAGCTTCTGAAAGAGAAGAACTTAGACGCCAGAGATATAAAAATTATTACGAATCTTTATTTTAATCAAAAAGCAGTGGTAAAAATAGAAGGGAATAACTCCGAAGAAATAGAAATCCGTCGAGGCGTTAGGCAGGGGTGCGTGCTATCACCGATGTTATTTAACCTTTACTCAGAGGAAATAATGAAACGAGCATTGGACGATGAAACGAAAGGACTAAAAATTAACGGAGTGCCTATCAACAATATAAGATATGCGGATGATACGATCCTGATAGCTACCAACCTAAACGAATTACAGATTACAGTAGACAAAGTTAATACATCGAGTGAAGAGTTCGGACTGTCACTAAACGTAAACAAGACAAAATTTATGATAATATCAAAAACAGCACAAAACAATTCACAAATTCATATAAATAAACACTCCATAGAAAAAGTTGACAGTTATAAATACTTAGGTACAATTGTAAATAAAAATAACGACTGCTCTGAAGAAATCAAAACTAGAATAGAACAGGCGAGAACAACATTTGTGAAAATGAAAAGAGTGCTCTGTGGCAGCGATCTCAGCTTGGATTTAAAAATCAGAATGGTGCGATACTTTGTTTTGTCGGTACTGTACTATGGTGTAGAGGCTTGGACTCTGAAGAAACTGGACATAAGGAAACTGGAGGCGTTCGAAATGTGGTTGTACCGTAGAATACTTAAGGTAAAATGGACCGATAAAGTGACCAACATGGAAATCCTGAAAAGAATAAAAAAGGAAGAAGAAATTATCATTACGGTAAAAAAGCTTAAACTTCAGTACCTTGGACACATCATGATAGGAGAAAAGTACCAACTACTCCAACTGATATTACAAGGAAAAATTCAAGGAAAGAGAAGTGTAGGAAGAAGGCGTCACTCATGGATGAAAAACTTACGTGACTGGTTTGGGTGCACCAAAAACCAACTATTTCGGTCGGCTGTGTCACGAATACGAATAGCACTGATGATTGCCAACCTTCGCAACGAAGACGGCACTTAAAGAAGAAGAAGAACTGTGACAAAGTTTTCTGCTTGGGTGAATCACAGTAGTTGCTAATTTAGAAGGAAAAATATCTTTAAAAATTACGTTTTCCGTTTAGGAATTCTGAACCCAATTGGCGGGTACTATTAGGCAAAATCTTGTTACACAGATAAGTTGGCGTTTCGCTTAATAATATTGTGTGAAACAAACATGAAAGAAAAGCTTGATTTTACTATAAGATAATTTATGAGAAACATGTTGTAATTAAAAAAGGAAGTTAGAGTTACAGTTTTCATTCCGGAGTAAGAGTAACTTCGAAGGTTGAAAAAGATGGTGAATGCTTCCCCAGAATACCATGAGCTAAACTGTAAACCACTCGGACCACTTAAAATTATAGCAAATTCGAGCCCTGAAGATATTTTTTTGTAAACCCTGGTGGAGCCAAAAAAAAACTTTTCAAAGTAAAAAAGTCAATAATTATGGATTTTGTCAATAATAAATTAATAATACCTCTTTGATTAGATTACAAATTTATAAATGAAAAAATAAATAACTTTAATAACAAAACTAAAAAATATAATAGAATGCCAGAAAAACGCCGAAGATCAGTTGACACTATTTATTCAAATTTTAATATCTTAAACTAATTAATTAACTAATAGAACATGTAAATAGAAAAATATAATAATTATGAATTAAGCAAATAAGTTTGCTTTTAAGTTTTATTTTTATTTAGTAATTTTTTTTAATACTAATTACTGGAGGAGAACCCTTCTCGTTGCGTAGTTTTTTATCGTTCTTTGCTCCAAAGATCATTAACTAGTTGTTTTCACATTTATCTTGACTAATTAACCTCGAAAGCACGCAGAGTAAATATAAATGCAAATACTAGGAAAGATTCATAATCAAATAATGAATAAGTGGTTCAAATTAATAATTAGGATTTTTAAGGGACATTTCTTGCTTTAGGTCACCGAGAAGTTGCCTGTAATGCTATGGATATATGGAGGTGGGTTCCTTAGTGGGTGTGCAGAAGACGACACAGCTGGACCCTACCGTTTAATAGATGAAGGCGTGATAGTCGTCTTAGCCAACTATAGACTGGGATTGTACGGCTTCTTGTCCACCGAAGACGACGTCGTTTTGGGCAATGCAGGGCTGAAGGATCAGCTCCTGGTCATGAAATGGATCAAAAACAATATCGGTTTGCTGGGCGGAGATCCCGACAAACTGACCATATTCGGAGGAAGTGCAGGTGGGATTTCGGTAGGGGCTCACATCGTCAACGCGAAAGCTGCGGGCCTATTCCGAGCGGCGATTTGCGAGAGTGGCTGTTCATTGTTTTATGAAGGAAGTATAAATCAAGCCAACGCGAGACAAGCCGCTTACGACTACGCGAAGTACGTAGATCCCACGATTTCGGAGAAAAATACCTCCAGGGAGCTTCTGGAATTTCTACAAAGCGTGCCTGCGGAATTGTTGACTCCCGCTTTTAACGTAAACAAACAAGTAAGTGCAGAAATGCGAAAATAAAAACCTGTGATTTAGTTGAAATTCTAACCAAGTCCTACGAAACCTTTCCTTAAAATTATACTAGGGTAAACTTTTAACTCTACATTGAATGTTAAAGGTATTCCTAATACTATATAATTTATTACAAAATTCCAACCTAATTTTGATTAGAAAATTTTTGGTAATAAATAAAATAACTTTTACAAGTGGATTTAAATATTTGATGAAAGCGGTTTGAGGCGTCATGGCTATTGTAGCTCAAATGAGCTTTTGTAACTATAGCCCGTCGGCATATAAATCAAAACATTCTAGCGTAGAAGCAACGAATTAAATTACAACAAAAAATGTTCAGATTTTCGCAGTTCATTCTTGCTATATACCGCTTGATCAAAAAGTTCCAGGAATTTATTCAGAAAATTAAAAATACAAGTTTATTCATCTAAATCTATATTACTTATGTCAGTGTATGATCCAAGCATCAAAACATTTTTTATATTCGGTTTTCGGTATATCCGTCAGTGTCGTGTTCCCCCTGGTGTCAGAAGTCACAGGGAGCCAAATTAGGTGAATTGGATAGTATTTGTTGCATTTTTTAAACAAGGGGGTATATAAACAGGTACTAAAAGATTCCTAATTGCCTTTGTAGGGTTATAAATTTAAATTTCACAACGGCGGTTGGCCTATTTAAATCCAATTGAACATTAAGTATTAAGTATATAAATACAGCTTTTTGTTTTTGATTGTTTACGTAAAATATCCAAACGATCTTGAATATTTCTGAATTTAAATGAATTACATAGTTAGAAAACGAACTTTTAGTTTTATTCGCTCTTGTATTAATGCGTTTTTTAAATGTTCTATCTGTTTGTTCGATATAATATTTGGGATAAGACCTACACATCAACTCCTGATTTTTGAGATTTTAGTGATTTAGTTTTATTGTTTTTTAAAAATATTTCCAAGGGGTGTTCAGTTTCAATAAAATCTTGAGAAAAAATTTAGATTGATGTTTCGAAACTTTCTTGCTAGGTTCTCCAAAGTATTTTATTGTTTTATCAATTTTGGGTTCGTTGTTTTATATGGGACTTCAGCTGAAAGCGGTTTCTAGTTATAATCTCATTTATCACAAAGGAGGTTGTAACCATTACAAGAATAGCATTAACAAACATAAAAGCGACTATGAAAATAAAATTTGGGATTCCAACTACGCCATTCATTTAAATTCAGAAATGCACGATAATTTTGATATTTTACATATTGAATTCCTAGTTTAATAGTATTGAAGCAATTCACACAAAACCTATTAATACATTCTGATATTTTGCATATGGCATAATTGTAACTATATAGAACATAAATATGTATTAAATAAAATTAGACGTCTAATTATGTGCTATCACTCTTATCCAATGATATATTTAGTGATTTTACGTTGTCCCAAGTTTTTATAATTATTTTCTCTTTTAAATACATGATTAACACATTTTCTCCAACTGCTCTGGGGTATTCACAATGAATTTTAATTACACTAGCATTACTACGAGGGCTACTTTTATATTTAGAACACTGGGCACGCGGACTCTGTTTATATCCTTTATGTCACGATGTGTTTGGAAGCACCGCGATCGTTTTTTTGTTAGCATTTCCTTCGACCAATCAATAGGAGCCGTTTTTTGAGCTGATGTCAAGTTGTATGGAATCAAACGCGAACAATTTTTTTAGAGGCCAAATGTTCATGCAAAATTGTATATATGCTAGTCCCACTAATTCCCAAAGATACCTCAATCTCATGGTAAGTCACATGACGATCCTGCAAAATCAGTTTCCGCACTGCATCAATGTTTTCTTGGACACCCACGAAATTTATCCTTACTACTTTATCCCAATGGTAATGTCATTAACAATTTTCAATGTTTCTTACTATAAGTAGGAAAGCGTTTGGTACAAAACGCAAAATTGATGAATTTGAATTAATTGTTTTTGTTTCTATTCCACCAATTATAATATTATAAAATCTAAATGCGATGTTGACATGACAATGACATAAATCGACGATTTTCTTTTAATTTCTGTTGCCATTATCGAGGAATCGACACAAGGTTGGCCTTGGAATGCCAGTTAATTCCATTGTTATCAGAAGACCTGCAGCCAAGTTGAAAAAAATTAATATTAGCCGATTTTTTAATTTTCTATTTCATGTGCATTTGTCTGATGATAAAAATAAAAGAATGATTTTTTTAAAGAATTTCATTTAGAAAAATAACAGTATAACAATATTGCTTCTTATAGACAGGTCTCGTCGTCGAGGTCGAACACGAAGATGCCTACATCACAAATCTTAGTTTTCCTCTACTCGAGTCTGGGAATTTCAATCGGGTTCCATTAATACTTGGCACCGCGTCAGCTGAAGCGCTAACTTTCTTCGCTTTTCTGGGTGGTAAGTTACTAAATTTCATATGTCGCAAACAATATCCCGCAATTTGTTTGCAATTCCCCAACAGAAACAAAGTTATAGTCTATTTCAGAAAGATGCAGAGTAGTAAAACCTCATATGGGGCCACCTAACGAATACTTAAGTAACTTTTGCTGCTTGGTATTGATTTTGTTGCACAATTTTTGGATTTTGCCTAAAAGTCATCTCGATAGGATATTAGTAAAAAGGGAAGAATATGATTTAATAAAAATTAGGTATTCTATTCTCTTTTTATGTTTATGATCTCTTTGGAGCCTTTCTCTATCAGATAACACACGAAATAGTTCTTCAAGAGTCCCACCACTCTCTGGTATATTGCCAGGACAACTTTTTCTGCCCGATCCAACTTTCCACATCTTAATTATATGTCCAAAGCATCCTCTTTATAGCAAATGCCGTTCGGCGTCTATTATTATTATGGGTATTGAAGTGTGCTGGAGCCACTCTATTTTTAGAATCCCGCAATAGCATCACATTTTAATTGCGACCTGCAGAGTCAACGTTTCGCAACCATACAGCAGGACAAACGACACACATCAGAACTGCTTTTATGGAGAAGCATTGAGAAATTTTTATTCTATGGAACTACTTTCCATGTTAATTTTTCAAAGAAACTTCCACAGGCTACTGTAATACTGCAACTAGCTAGTTCGAGTCAACAAAAACCGACACAGGAGAAATACAGAAGTTTTGTAAAAAGTACTTTCCATGTTGTAAAAGAATTGCGAGTTATTTCGAACGGTGTTGTTATCTTTCAACCACTTACTTGTTTGGAGGTATTTCTCCGCGGATTATCATTTTGTCATTGTCAGTGTCATCCAATTCTTCCCTGAATTTTTCTTCTGAGTATATATTGAAGTGATGAGACACAGTCTTGTCAAATTTCACGTGTAGGTATTTTAATAGCGTCATAATTATCTAGCCCTGCTGTGTCCACCTATTTAAAGCGTTGTTCTGTTGTTCTCGATCAAAAGCTTTTTCGTAGTCAATGACACAAATGAAGATGTTCTTTCGAAAGTCACAACCTCACTTCACAAGTCACTTCTAAATACAAATTGTTTGTTACTCATTACTGATTTTGTAAATTTATCATTCTCTACATTGTTACTCTTCCTTTTTATGATTTTATTGGTATCACCGTATTTGACACTGTCTCAAGTTTGGTTGTGGGCTATCGGAGTTCAGCTTGAATATATCTTTAAGACTTTCTAAAAAAGAAAAGTGCGTTTCTCTAAACCAAGTACAACACAACCCAAATAATAAGTCCTTCTATAAAACATGTTCAACCACTGAAGTTCTTTAATTTTAGGTGTTATATGACTCGATTTTCTTGGCTTAAGTATCAAACGGCAGCAACAATTAAAATAAGAGAATACTAATGCCTCGCACAACGTAACTTTAATTTTGGTTTTTGGAAAATAAAGATTGGAGTAAAAATATTTAAGCGTTCTTCCAAGGTTATGTCCGGTCTCCTTAAATGTTAAATTGTGGTCTTCAATACTGATGCCCAAATTTGACATTTCTGTCTTCTTACCAAATAGTCGTAATTTGGGTTTGGGGTCCTTTACTTTTAGCAAGTGTTGCTCATAAAGATCCTTTAGTAAATTTAAATCAGAACATGCTGGCTATAATGCGCAGATCGTTTAGGGTTGTTGGTGTTTTGGTTTTGGATTGTGCAATACAGCTGTTTATGATAATAATGAGGTAGGAGTCAATGAATGGGCCGCCGTATTTGAACCCCATCTATACCACAGGTATTGGTCTGACTCACTCCTATTTTAAAAGAGCTTCGAAAATTATTTGGAGAACTAACACGACCGATGTTGTCATTAATGTTTCATTGGGTAGTCGCTTTTAAAAGTGCACGAGAATGTGAAAATGTGCATTATAAAAAAATCGCTGTTACTTTTCTGACATGGACAGTTTTGAGTACTTATAAAACAATGTTCTAAGCTCCTTTTTAGGTAGCAGAACTTTATAACATTCTATAGTTCGGACCTATGACATCGACTATGAAGAAGTCAATATTGTGTTTTTTTAGGCGAACTTATGATCAGGTTAATGGCCGAAGCATACGACTCCAATTCTGCTGGTATCTTACCCGGCGATCTGGTACTTCTGCCCGGTACTAACGTGACGGAGGTCGTTTTGATGGTCAAGGAAGCTTACGTAGGGCCGAATGGGAAATTTAGTGAAAATTTGGCTGCAGTGGTAGACGTAAGTGAGATAAAAGTGGTGATTTCGAATTCGAACCTAAACAACACATCCTACATGTGAATGTTTGCTATTATTAAAGCAATCCAAATAATAATAATAATAATGTCTTTATTTGGGAACATAAATTTTACAATTTTGAATAGCGAGAAGTAACTAAACAAATTTTCAAAAAATGGCGAAGTTCAGATGAGAAACTCACAGGAGTAACTCGCTGATCCACTTAACCAAATAAGAAATTGAAGTGTACCTATAATATATAAAAAAAAGCTGAAAGTGATATAAGCAAGTAAATTAGAAAAACTTATGTAAATGAATAAATAAATAAAAAGCTCTATATATTACAGAAAACAAACTAGAAGCTACTCTCAAACATTGCCATCCTATGAAATGGTGAAGTGATCTTTCCCCTAAACCTGATATTTAAGTTGTGCGCATGTGTTCTGAATACAATGCGACTGTATAAGTACGTAGGGCATTTGAAGTTTGTTATTTTATACAAAAAAGCAAGCCGAAAGTAATTCTCTTCTCCTCTCCATGCTAAGTCACCCTGTTTCAAAAGAGTTTGTGTGAAATTCAATAAGAACAGTATGAGGAAGTCGCAAAGTAAAGGCTTTACCTTTTTTGATATAAAGTGACGATTACTATATACATGTTTTATTCTGACATAAGCTTTTCGACAGCAACTGTTTATATGAAATATTACGCCGAGATTACGCATAGTCTCCTTTATGGACATCTCAGTATCCCCGATTTCAACCCTTATATTGTCCTTTGCAATATCTAATTTACGTCCTAATAATAATAAGCAGCATTTTTGGGGATTAAGAAGGAGAAAGTGCTTTAAAAACAATTCTTTCAGTGCATTCAGCTGCCTACTCAATATTCTACAGCACAGCAACACTTTTTTAGTGCCTTTGGAAGACCCGATGTATAGGCAGCATAGAGCAGCTGGGAAATAATTGATCCTTGCGGAACACCCCGAAGGAGGTCCAGTGAGTCTGATAATACAGATACTATTCTGGGATCTACTTGATAAAAAGTTAAAAAAAAATTATCGATGTGTTACTAAGGCATAGTGCAGAATTGTCAGAAGCAATTTATGGTCTATCATATCGAATGCTTTCGAGAAATCCAACAAAGCCAGCATCGTAAGATTACCCTCGTCTGCTGCCCTCTATATATCGTCTGTTACATTAGCCAGTGCTGTAGCGCAACTATGAGATTTTCTGAAGCCTGATTGAGTTTTAGAAGGAATGTTGTTATTTTCAATCTGATCGAATAATTGCATGTTATGCATTTCTCCAGTATCTTTGACAAGCACGGTAAAACACTAATTGGACGTAAATCTTTGTAACTTTTGGGGTTGGCAATTTTTGGCAATGGCGATACTAGACCTCTTTTCCAGAATTCCGAAAGGACTGAGTTTACAATATAAAAATTAATAATATGAGTGAGGAAAGGTAGAATGAATGGACAGCAATGCTGTAAAGCCATTATTCCAGCACCGTCAGCACCCTCCGCTCTGGACTTCATTGCTGTAATAATATTGAGTATCTGAGTTTCATTAATTTCCTTGAACGTTAAAATAGATGGTAGGGCTTCAGAAATGTTTTGACTATAGAAGTTCGGAAGTTCATCACTAATGGGTAATTGAACATCCACACTATTTACAAAAAAGTTATTGATCTCATTCGGGTTGCTGAGACTTCTAGGAAGTTCGACCTTTGGTTTAAAGTTACAGATTTAAAACTCCCACATATATCGGCCAATATCGAAAGTTATTTGAGCTTGTTTCAATTGACCGAGATGGCAAGTGGTCTTGAATTGTTTCATTCGACTCTTGTTTAGAACAAAAGGTAAACCAGACCATCCGTTCCGTTTTAAGTTAGTGGATCCTTTCACGTATACTACCGAGTTTATTTCGCTTCACTTTATTTAACTACTAAAGGAACTAACTGACACTCACCAGAAACTGATTTTTCGATAATTGAATTGCTTTTTTTCAACGATATTTGGAAATAAAGTTTCTGTTATCGATTTAGAGTAAAAGGTTGTGTACAGAGTGTTTTTTAGGTATTTAGATATGTTAATGACATCTCTCACGTTTGTATTATGAATTATGTATTTTATGTTATTTTTTGGCAGATACATTAAAATAGAAATTATTCTTATAATCTACAATCATTTCTAAAGAAATTTAATTTCTGGATTTTTTTTAATTCCATTTACGGTTTTCGCTTAAATATAAATATCGTTAATGTAGAGAATTATCATCATTATTATTTCTTACTTAAATAACTGATACTCTGAGAAACATTTTTAAAATCTTCATAAGAATTATTAATTCTGTTGCTAGGGAGATTGTTTCATTGTTGTTTGATATCAGTTTTTAAATTCAGTTCCTCGCGTCCTATTAATTTGGTTTTTAAAATATTCTAGCACTGTTGTTTTGAAAAAGAATGGTTGAGTTTACTAATGAGGAGTTGCTAGATATAACTGCAAGAACTCTAGAAATTAAAGAAGCAGTTTTAAGTTCTATTGCGAAAAATCTTGAACTTAGTACTGAAAAAATTGGAAATAACCTGAATACCTCTCACGTCTTGGTTTGGAAATTTTTGCCCGAATTTCTATTGCACCCAGATCATATTCCACCAGAAATTCAATCAGAAATTTCCATAATAACCAAATCTGGGCTGATGAAAACTCCCATGCAGTTTTAGAACTTAAATATGAAGAAAAATTTTCGATAACAAGTTCAAAGCTTGTGTTAGGATGTTATGTTAACATCCTCTGATTTTTTTTCCGAATCACAGACAAGATTACTAAAAACTAGATATTTTGTCTTATATTGATAGTTCACTTTTTAAAAAAAAGTTGTCTATATCACCGTGGCGACCTATCTAACCAAAATATTAATTTTTCAATAACAGTAATAATATTTGCAATTTTTATAAGCTATTTTCTCTGCATACAGTCATATTGATGATATGATCATGCAGAGAATTTTTTTTTATTTTTTTAAGCAAAAAAAAATTACAAAAATAATTTCTTCAGAAAGGATTGGAGAAGAGTTTTCATTTTAAGAGAAATCAGTGGGTTACCATCAATGTCTGCAAAATAGACAGGTGAAATTCTACCACTGGTGTATTTAAAAAAAAAAAGGTACATTGCCAAATTTTATTAAAATATCTAAATATAACAAGTATTGAAAAATATTTTTTATTTTTGAAAACTTTTCCAAAATTAAGACGTTTAGGACATATGTTTATATAAAATTTTAAAATGGCCCCTTAAGTATTAAGATTCGATTAGAAAACAGTCTGTATAGTAACACAAGTAAAACAGTTTATTATGGATCCCCGAAAATATGACCATGTCTGCGTATAAAAGGAGCTCTAAATAGAATTGCCATCCATACTGCAAACGTAAGGTACAGACACAAACTAACGTTGCCACAGAGTGCTTTGTTTCAGAGATGCGATAGATCCAATGCGATTCTACGATTCTATATCATAGGGATTCGTTAACTGAAATTTAAATGCATTTTGAAAAATATACAAAGATCGTCTGGTAGAAATACAATTTTCATAAAATATGTTTCTTTTCTCTTCCGATTTTATACGTATTTTTCATTGTTCCAGTAATACACTAATATAAACTTTAATGTTAATGGTTAATACTGTAAAAAAAAATGTTGTTTCGTTTTTTTAATAAAAGCTATTTATTATTTGTTGCCAAAGTCAAATAATGAATGAAAGAATTATGAATAATTTATATTTAACCATTATTCATTCATTTGAAGAATACACATTTTAATTTTTTAATTTTTAACCTGATGTCAATTAGTGAGGTTAATTAAGCATTATCTAAGTGATCTAAGTGACATCTTTTCCTTTCTATCTACATATCGTACTTCCCGGGCAACGGAATATATGGAAATGCGTTTTCAGATAAACACCGACATCTTGTTCTTGAAATCAACGTTGAAGCAGGCGGAAATTCAGTCCAAATTTAGTCCCGTGTACCACTATATATTTTCTTTCGAGGGATATGAAAGTCCATTATTTCCAAAGATCGAAGGTAAGCTTATAGATCCGATATCTGAATATTTCTGTGATTGAAATTGTACGTTTCAGGGGCGGGAAAAGCGGGTCACGGAGAAGAAGGGCCGTACCTTTTTAGCCCAGACCCATTCGTCGAGGACAGAGATATTTTGATGAGCAAACAGATTGTCAGGCTTTGGGCTAATTTTGCAAAAACATTGTAAGTACCAATTCTTAAACCACATCTGTGCAATTCGAAGGCGCTGAGTCCTTATACAAGGTGTTGTATAAGGCATTAGTACAAATGTGACCCATATGTAAATTTTTTTTACCAAAAATTGCTTTCTGGGAAAAAGCCTTTTAAAAATATTAGCCTCAAATTATTAGAATTAGAATATTTATACTAATTAAACTAATTAGAATAATAGAATATTTAGCATAATTAGAAAATAATTAATGACAATGTCAATATTATGTTTTAAAACAGTGTCCCGTGGGGGCACATCAGGGCTTTTTCCTATAATATTCATTGGCCAACTTTTTCTCTAAATACGAAAAAAATTCAAAGGGAAAATTGTCATTTGCATTTAATCTTTGGAATACATGCATCTAAATGAACAAAAAATGCAAATAGGCATTTTGTTATATAAAACATTTTGAACATTAATTTTATTTTAAATATTATAATATATAATATTAATTATTTTAAATGAACAAATCTGGTTACACTTAAGTTGTTATTTTTCCAATTGTTTGGATGCAATGGGTTAGGATCTACAATAATCATAGGATCCATTGGTTTCCACTAAGACATCAATCAATCTATGCGCAATATATCTCCCAGTTGTTTCATCGTCCACAAGATAAAAATAATTTTCACCCACTTTTTTTTTTAATATTATTAACAGTTGGCTTGTAAATGACATCAACACAACCTTCACGTACAGCTGGCATGTCTGATCTTAAACTGAGGTTGTCCAGTTTTTGGAAGTGTTAAATTAGCTCCGATGAATGCTTTACATAAGTCCTCACAAACAGGCTTGTGTTGAAGATGTTTGAATATTTAATATGTCATGACATCTTCGCTTCAATATTTTCAACCCCTGACATATAATTTTGTTGCAATTTTCACATACTTGTATGCGTTGAACGTAATTTGTTTAACTATCTAGAGAAATAACGATTTGATTTGGTTAATACTGGCGTTTGGAGCTCTATGGTCTAGAAACGTTTTTAACAGGAGGTTTCGGCTAGTTAAAAATCTTACTTTCTATTTCATTACCGCTAGTGATATTTTACCAACGATTTTATAGTTTGTTACGCAACAAGTGCGATAAACGGCATTTGACTCACGAGTTCATTTGTCACGAGCGGAGCGAGTGTTTAATAGCTTGGGAAATATCTCCGAAAACATCCGATTACTCCCCAAACCAGCCCGGAAACACCTTGTTTTGTGTTATATGTGTCATCGCACCAACTCAGTTCTTGCCGCTAATGAAATTCGACTTGAAGCATCAAAAATCCTTAAAAAATCAGAACTTTTGAACCCTGAAATCTAAAATCACAAAAATCTATTTCCGACATCGTAATTCTAAAAGCAGCTCTCTCTAATCCACATTAGAGATATTAAGCTTTTCATCACAACATCACTTCACCACATATTTACTGAAGGGTACCCCAGACACTTGCTACTGTTATTCTTCCTTACATTTAAAACATCACTGACCACATACCAAAAGTTCTCAGGAAGTATACTCTTCAAAACCAGATTTGCCACTTGTGCAGAAATTCCTCGACATCTTCGATCTATCAAATTCAAAATTCCGTTTGAGATACCAGATACGGCAAAGAACACATTGGATGAAAAATATCGACTATCAACAAAGAAGATGAAACAAGACAAATAAACTCAATATAAACGCAAATTTTAACCAGACAATAATGCACGACCAGCTTTCAATATAGTTCGGAAAAGATATCCGCTACTAGATGATAGTCCATTATACGTCCAGAAAGTGTTTTGGACTGCATGGCTAATATATGGACCAATTTGAAATCTGAAATAAAAATATAAAATTTCACCATAAACGCTAAACTCTGCTGTGCAAATATATTAAAACTAGATTCATTTAGGTTTTTATTTCATCAAATGACACAGTCGCTTGCGCGTTTTTTTTTCAGCATCCTGTTTGTCTTTTTGTCTTTTCGTAAATCAGGTTAATATTTTCAGAAACCCCACCCCTGACCCAACGGATCCGCTGTTCAACCTCACGTGGCCGCAAGTTACGCCGACAAATATTCAGTATTTCGATTTCGACGATCAAATCGCAGTGAGGCCGAACAAAAAGGAAAAGGAAATGGCTATGTGGAACAAAGTTTATTATACGTATGGTCAGCAACCGTTTATCGGGTTCTGATTTTCAATATAAAAAATATACGAATTGAAGTAAACATTCTCTTATTGCTTCCCGAATCACGTAAATCAGATAGGAGTAAGAACGTAAAAAATAATTGTTTTATTAAAAGTATGCCTTGTTCATTTTGGTAAACAGGGAGCATATAATCCAAAAGGAAAAAGAAACATTGAGTAAACAAGCAGGTTATTTATTTGCTTGCCTTTTTCTTACTTATTATGAGTCTTTTAGCTGAATAGTCTCGTAAGAGTATCTAACCCCACTTACTTAGCACTAAGTCCTTTGCGGCTTACCCTTACGAGTTAGAGAAAAACTAATAAGCACTTTTTGAAATAATTGAAAATAATCCGCCTTATAACAGATTATTATTTTTTTATTAGTATTCTTGGGTCCTACAATAGCAACAATTGACAGAATGAAGGAAGTCTTTGCTGGGATTGTTGAGCGGTGAAAAGTGACGATGGTTCTCAATTCTTTGAGGAATTTGAAGAATTTGCTAATAAATGCAATTTTAATCCAACGGAAAAGTCGAGTCTACAATCAAAATTTCAAAAAATATTGTTAAAAAAAACTTTTTTTTAGAAATAAAGGTAAGTAAATATGTGAACTCATTGCTGGTCATGGTGTCTCTAATGCGGACCTAAAAATCTAAGATAAAATCCTTAAAAAAGATAAGCCCACAAATCGATGACATCTTGACGTCAAAGTTTGTGTTTCATCGCAGCTCAAAAATGAAGCCATTATTGTCTAAGGTTGATGTCTTATTTAATTAATGGAGTTGAAAAGGGTGCAAAGTAAATTTTCAATCCACTTGTAGCAAGAGGTCACGACATTCAAAATGAAAGTTACTGTTATTGAAAATCTGACACCAGAAACACACAGAAAAGCAGGTCACCATGTCATTAAAGAAACGGATTTTTTCTTTTTCAGTGTCAGTGGATGGATATAATAAAATCTTGAAATTGATCTAAACCCATGTGGTGTGACCTGAATCCAATAAAAAGGAAAATAACTGCAATTAGGTGTTCGTTGGATCACTTTGTAGTCCGTTTGGATACCTTCTTCTTCTTCTTCTTCCAGTGTCATTGACAACTGCCACGTTCACGATATCTCTATATCTTTCCCGATCTTGCACTATATGGAGTAACTCATCTTGTTGTTTTTGGTTTGTTTGTTGCTAATTCTTTTTTGCAGAATGTGTAGAAGTAGTTTAATCATGTGACTCATTAAACTGAGAAGCCTATGAACATTTTTTTTGGGTACTGGGATGAATACAGATTTTAGTCAGTCTGGTGGGATAATATCAGCATCGTATATCTGGTTTCCATCGATACGTGATTTCCGCAATTCACTATGTATTTGATCTGTTCCACTCGCCTCATTGTCTTTGGGTTGATTTATAGCTTTTCCCACTTCAGATTTTAGAATAGATGGCTCTGTTTTGCCTTCAAGTTAGTCATGGCTGCTCTGTCATCTTCAAATAGGTATTTGATGTACTTTTCCCATCCTCTACTTCTGATACTGATAGCGCATGTCGTTCGTTATCACAAGAGTGCCGTTTTTATTTTCACTTTAATTGGCTTCCTTGATTTTTCGATATATTTGTTGTTGGATCATTTTATATTCAGTTTTACTCTTGTTTTCTTCTTTGTTCCATTAATTCAATTATTTCATCCGTCATCAATTGTTGTTTCTTGTTATTACTGTAGGTAAGAATTTGCGTCATTGTGTTAGTGACACCATTCTCACTGTTGTTCACACATTAGATGTTTGTGTGATGTTCTCTCGTATTTTGTGGTTCATCATTTGTGTGAGTTTGTTTCCTACATTTTATCTGCTTGACATTAAATAATTTTCTGATGACTTTTTTGTACGTTTTAATTTAAGTTGTATTTTAGAAGCAATCAGATTATGGTCGGTGGCTGTATCATCACTCGGATAAAGTTTTGTACCTCTACATGAATTTCGTAACCTATATGATGATGATATAGTCCGTTCCCTATCGTTTCAACCTAACCGTCACGTTGTGACAGAATTCAAACAATCTCATTCGTCTCTCTGAACCCAAATCTTCTAGTTACTGATATTTTCTCTCCTACTTTGACGTTAAAATCTTGCATTAAGATATTAAGCTAGTTTTTTTGTATTTTTCATTATTTCATAATCATAATTCGATTTGAGAAGGGAATAAATTTATCGATTTAATTATCTAGATGCACGTCTTTGAGTATTCCAGATTTATTATAATTTACTTTACACATGGGGATTTTTCGCAACCCTGTCCGATTCAAATGACGCCAGGAACTCGATGCTGTAGTTTCTATTATGTCTAGCACGGAGTTTTTCTTGGGAAATATAGTGCAGTAATTTCCATTTCCATCAGCAGATCTCTGGATCGGGCCCAATCACGTGACGTGGACGCTGGGAGTTAACTATGTGGGTTCAGAGACTCCGGGCCCCTTGATACCACTAGCAAAGGCTTATACACCTTTCTGAAATAGGCTATAAAAACCTTATAAATCCGGTTGTTACAATGTTACACCTACAGAGCATTCTCAAAGGTTGATTTTCCTTTCCTTAAACTGCGGCGTAGACAACTTTTACGAGGATTACAATGATAGTTAATATACTAAGAAATATTTTTTATTGAATTTATGAGTAATATGCCTTAATAATATAATATACGTTAACAAGGTATAAAATCCACCATAAAATAACACTCGTGTTCCATATGCTCTTCAAAACAAACAATAAACTGATATTGGAATCTATAGAGAAGATAAAAATTAACTAACGATCGTTTTTGTGTTATCGAGAGATGTTTTTATGGGAAGATCTTGCAGAAAAATAAAATCCAGGAATATCGGCAAATTAAAATGTGAGTTTCACTGTCTGCAAGATCCTATCACGCATTAGAACGTGTTTCTATAGGCAACGCTGTCGGTTATCTTATCTAAATTATCGAGAACTCATCAAATTGATACAAGCACTTCAATGAAATGATTCATGCTACTTGCGAATTTCGAAGCTAATCATCGATCAAAACAAAAGTGGATATTTACAAAAATGAGTCTTTTCTGTCTCCTTTGATTGCGTCGTGCATCGAAAAGGGCATTGCATACGGCTGTCAAAACAACAACTAATACTTTTAACTTTAGCTGGCATTCATTGTAAACGAAGTTTCTAAATGTAAATTTGACGTAAAAATTTAAACAACTTCCCCTAATTGTTCTCGCATCTTGTTAGAAAAAAAAGTTTTTTTTTAAACTATAAGTTGAAATATTTTGGCGTAAAAATGAAATATTTAATTTCACAAAGCATACTTAAAAGTTATCCACGAAATATTGACAATATTATATACAGGGGAAAAAGTGTACTTTTAAAAGAAATATAGTAATAAAGGTTTCCATAAATATATTCGCGATTACTGGCGATAATGGAGAAGCCATAACTGTTCCCGACGCTTGTTTGGCCGTTATAGAAATGGAAACAAATAGAACTTTATTTACTAGGAACTTTTAATATTAATGTGTTAATAAATTGTGAATATCACAGGCTGTATATTATTTTCAAGACAGAGACACAACAAGATGAATGTAAAACAATTTACTAGAAACACATACACGTATAAATACAGAATACAGGAAAACGTTAATACGCCTTCATCATTTTTGTAGAAAACAAAATTTCTCTCTAGGTATTCCTGAAGCAAATAGAAGCAATGAGTAAGCAGATATTTTTTCATTGCTCTCGACAATGTGTGACCTTAGCAAGGCCTTCGACTGTATCTCGCACGATCTTCTCAAACAGAAGCTGTTTAGGTGTGGATTTCGCGGCGGAACCCTTAAGCTAACAGAATCTTATTTACTAGACAGGGAACAGTTTGTGGGCGATGACAGACGTAAAGCCTCTTTGGTGAAGGTCTCCAGTGGCGTCCCCCAAGGGTCCGTACTCGGCGCTGTATTTATTATACTGTATTTTGCTGATCTATGCCGTTTTTTGGGGTCTGTCAAATGTGCTTTATTTGCGGACGATGCCAGTTTTACCTTATATGGTCCGAATTGGAATGACCTGCACAACATTATTGGGGAACTGGAGAGCAATGCTCACAATTGGTTTAAAAACAATTATTTCAAACTGAATACGGACAAAACTAAAAAAATATTCTTTTCGCTAGATAAATACAACAACGGCGAACAGCAGTCGGCTAAATTACTTGGCTTTATACTTTATAGTAGACTTGACTAGAGAGATCATATTTTATCTCTTAAGCGAAAACTATCTTCCAGCTTATTCGTCCTTAGAAAAATTAATGAGAGCCTAGACCAAAATGCCCTAATGACAGTGTATTATACTTTATTTCATTCCCACATATCATATGGCACAATATTATGGGGAAACTCTGTCAATGCTGTTCAAATATTCAGGATGCACAAAAAGGGCTATAAGGATTCTTGCTGGGGCTAAGCACAATGAACACTGTACTCCATATTTTAAAAAATATGAGATAATGACACTGCCCTGTATCTATATCCTCCACACTCTTTTAGAACTTAACAAACATACTAATATATTTGAAGGTGCGTCTCATAGTTATCCAACACGTGCAAAAAATCTTATAAGAGTTCCAGACGTCAGATAAAAATTCTTTAAACATTAACTTGTACAATATGCTGCCAGATAAGTACAGACATAAGGCTTTTGAGGTGTTCAACACTAACATTGAAGTGTTGCTTATTGAAAATTGTTTCGATAGTGTGTACGAGGACTCCATCAAATTAAGAAAACTAAATTAAAATCCTTGGCTTACTGAAATGTGTAAAGATCATAGCATACTATCTTTTTTTTATATTCCGTGTTAGTGTTGTTGATCTTTACATTTGTTATTGTCCACTACTGTGTTATTTATAAAATACGTTTTTTTTTACATTTTTATACTTTTTAAATTTTGTTTTTGTATTTTACCTTATATTGACAGGCTGTAATTGTACTATTATTGTAAAATATGTGGTTAATAAAATTCTTCTTCTTTTACATTTTTTTTAGAGAGGATTTTAACAGATGTCGGCTGTTTATTGTATAGTAATTAAATCATTCCTAAAATTCTAAGAGTGATTTTCACTTGGACATCGAAAATAACACGTGCTAAGGGTGTCGAATTTATAAAGACTCGATAAAACTTTAGAGACTTCATCTGTATGGTGTAACCACGATGATTTTTCGTCTATAATGGATAGATGGGATAGAGTTAAATCACACAAAGTTCCTATGTTGCCATATAATTATTCAAAAACATTCACATACACGATAAACAATAGCGGACCCAAAATTGAGCCTTGCAGTACTCTAAATTTTAGTTCGTTTTTAGGCGTTTGAAAGTTCGTCGTCGAAGAAAACCAGTTGAGATCTATTTTTCAGATTCCATGGTGTTCTAATTATTTTAACAAAATATGGGACACGTAATCAAAGGCCTTGGACAAATCGCATAGTACTGCGAAGCCCTCGCCCTCACACTCTAAGATCCTCAATAGGGCAAATAAAGGAACTAATAGAACGGCAATTGTCAGCATTGTTGGGATCTCCTTTCCCCAAAACGGTAACACTCTGCTAGTTTTAAATTTAGAAGGAAAAAGTGAAAAAGCTCTAATTATTCAATGAAATTAACGGAGTGATCAACAGGTCAATATACTTGCTAAGATTTTGAAATTCATATCAGAAATACCAATCGATGGTGAATTATTAAAAGAGAAAAACCAGAGAAAATTGGAGATGATATCGCTGAAAGGGAAGTGTCCCTAAATGCAATTTCATAATCGCTTCCTCGGCAACGTTTACAAAAAACAAATTAAGATGCTCTGCAGAGACAACAGATTCATTATCATATTTTTATTTATTAGTCTTCACATTACCTTGGCTTTACTTTTTGCCTCCAGTAAATGGGCATTCCATGCTAGTTTTTTGATTCTAGTTTATTTTGTATAATGTTTAGATAGCAGTTTAATGAACTCTTTATACCGGAGCATTCAATGCTTTTATTAAAAAGTTAAATCGTTTCCTTACCAAAACCTTTTTTTTAGTCGGTTATCTACGATTCTAAATTATATAAACAGGTCAAAATATTGTCAATAAAATATTTTTTCTTGTTTGTATGAAAAGGGTTTGTTTAATTTCAAAAGAGCCTATTATGTTTGTTTATAAGTTTTTTATGGTGGATTGAAATGAAAATTAAAGTCACCCAAAATGATTACATTTTTTGTCTTAAATCTGTTATAACAGGAGTTAAGAAGAGCTTCCAAACACTATGCGATTGGTCCAAGGCGTTACGTGTCCCATATTTTGTTAAAATAATTAGAACTCTGTGGAATAAGGGGCATGCCTTTGAAACTTATCGAAAGTAATCTGAAAAATAGATCTCAACTGGTTTTCTTCAACAACTAACTTTCAAACGCCTAGGAATTAAAAGATGGGGTACCGCAAGGCGCAATTTTGGGTCCGCTATTGTTCATCGTATATGTGAATGTTTTTGAGTAATTATAGGGCAGCATTGAAACTTTGCCTGCTTTAGATCTACCCGAAAGATTGTTCGCTGCCAATAATCTGCTCCAATTTTAAATGAAAAATCATCGTGGTCACACCATACAGAAGAAGACTGGCTTTCTCCATAAATTCGACACAGAACGGGTTACTTTCATTGTTCAAACACTCTTACATTTTTAGAGATGATTTAATCACTACACAATAGACTACCGACATCTGTTAAAATCCTCTCTAAAAAAAATGTAAAAGAGCAATGAAAAAATATCTGGTTGCTCATTTCTTCTATTCGGTTCAGGAATACCTTGAGAGTAATTTTATTTTCTGCAAAAATGATGAAGGCGTATTAACGTTTTTCTTTTTGATTGAAGTGTTTGTATCAATTTAATAAGTTCTCGATAATGTAACTAAGATAATTAACAAGCTTGCTTATAGAAGGACGTTTTTTTGCGTGACAGGATCTTGCAGACAGTAAAACTCAGACTTTAATTTCCCGCCGTTCCTGGATTTTATTACCTGCAAGATCCTAAAGCCCATAAAAACATGGCTCGATTAAACAAAAACGAATTTTTATCTTCTGTAGAGATTCCAATATCAGTTTATTGTTTGTTTTGAAGAGTATACGGAACACGTATGTTGATTTTATGGTTTGTTAAGATTCATATTATACATAAATTGAATTGAAATATATTTCTTAGTATATTACTACCAGAATGAAGACAGGCTTTAAAAGTGGATGAATACCAACTTGACTAAAATAAATTACTAAAATATAACTAAATTAGTATTAGTTCTATTTGAGCAACTGCTAGACATGTAGATACAAATAAATAATAATGTACCCAACTACATGCCACAAAATCACAATCATATATATATATATATATATATATATATATATATATATATATATATATATATATATATATATATATATATATATATATATATATATAGGAATTAAGTATGAGCCTCTCAGTTTTCTCTGTAAACTGTAGCCTGTTGAGTTTTGAAAAATTAGTGGAAGTTGAAATGCAAAAAAGAATCATTTCGGGTAGAACCGGAAACACTGATAAAGCGAAAATATTTTTAAAATTTCAAAACAATATCTATGTATGTATATTTTTAAAAGAAGTATGGCACAGTTAACAATCTGTGTTTAATAAAATTGTCAACGTGCTCGCTGATAAGATGATTTGAAGTGTGCATCCACGTCCAATATATAACACCGGTAACTATCGTCGACAACTGCAAAATCAATTATGCGTAGATTGCTGACTGTTCTATTTGTTTCAGTCGCGGTAAGTCACACAAATTTTATAGTTCGGTATGTGATGGCTTTTCGCAATTAATGATGATCGTGAAATTATGACGAACCGAATGTTTGTAACGAAACCTAACCAAAACTAACTAATTTTAAAGCTTTCCGCTATTAGCGGAACCAAATCCTTCTAGTCCTTTTTTTCTAGCTGGTTATCTACTATTACAAAATATATATGATAGATAATAAATCTCTATGGCGTTAAACTTATTGATTGCACAAAAATTAAACAGTAAAAAGGGGTTATTTGACGTAAATAGAGAACAAAATACAAAACAACAGCTTATGCCATGCACACACAGTGAATGCCCGTAGGGTGACAGGCTTCAGCGAGCGTTGTGCGTGCACGGTGGCACCCTCTCACCGATCGTCGCTGGTTACTTGCCGAACTACGGTCCAGAATCGCGCTGCCCATTATGGAAACGGCCAGGAGCGCGAGTGTTGACCGACTGGTGATGCTAACACTATTAATCGGTCAAAATATTATTACTAAAATATTTTTTCCTGTTTGCATGAAAATGGTTTCTTTAATACAAAAACATTGTGTTTAAAAGTTTTGAGAGATCGGTTGATGGTTGATTGAAATGAAAATTAATGTCACTCAAAATTCAAGTGGGATATTTTTTATTTGTTTGTCTTGGCTATTTATCGACAATGTTGTTTGATGGAGAAGCGACTATTATTTACGCCTGCTGCTTCGTTATTGTTTTGACCCTGCGCTTTTCGTTTTCAGCTGGCGGCAGATCTAATCGTCGATCTTCCCGATGGCAGAATTCAAGGTACCGTGATCACCAACGAGAACAAGAGCTACTACGCTTACAGAGGAATTCCGTTCGCAACTCCTCCACTTGGCAAGCTGAGGTTCCAGGTAATCATCTTTTTCTACTCCCGTATGTAAAATACCTAATTACACACCGATCTAGCATGCGGGAAGCGTCACTTTACCACGTCAGTTTCGTTTCCCACGAACCCGAACCACTTCGGACATTTACAGGTGTTTCCGAAGATATTTCCCACGCTTTGAATTTTGACGTTTGTCAATTCTGACGGTCATGTCAGTGAATGTATTCATGTTGTTTTGCGAAAATGTACCCAAAACCTATCGCTCGTAGAAAAAGTATAGTATGCAAAACGTTCGGTAAACTTTTTAACTCCCTCGTTTATTAAACACTCGCTCGCTCCGCTCGTGTCAGAAGAACTCGTGAGTCAAATGCCGTTTACCGCACTTGTGGCATAATATACTAATTTTCTACTCCCGTCTATAAAATGCCTAATTACACAACGATCTAGCGTGCTGGAAGCGCCACTTTTCCACGTTAGTTCCGTTTCCCACGAATCCGAACCACTTCGGACATTTCCGGGAGCAATCGGATATTTTTGGAGATTTTACAGCACGCTTTGAATTTTGATGTTTGTCAATTCTGACGGTCATGTCAGTGAATGTATTCGTGTTGTTTGTACCCAAAAACTAATACACCGAAAAATGTTATGCAATATATCAGACAATTTAAATACTACGTGCTATAAGCTATAATTAAAATATAGTGTACTAGTCAGTAAGTAAAGTGACATTGGTAATTTAAGTTTCGGACAGAAATTTTACATACCCTTCGCATGAACTTTAATGGTTTTTACAGTTTTTATATGTACATCTTTCCGAGACCATTTGTACAATTTGAAGGTTAGGACCTGCTTTCTCTTGCTTGCTCTATCCTTGGATGATTTTTCTTCCAATTACAGTCTTTTTCTTTAAATAAACTACTTAATGATCATCAAACTCTTGACTGGAACCTTCGGCACTGTACTAACACACAATAACGCGTTTTACCACAAACCGAAACTCAATTTTACGTACTCGACGCGCGTTTCGCCAACCAAGTTGGCATCTTCTCAGTTTAAAACTGAGTTTTAATCTTCTTCTGAAGATGCCAACTTGGTTGGCGAAACGCGCGTCGAGTACGTCAAATTGAGTTTCGGTTTGTGGTAAAACGCGTTATTGTGTGTTACTTAATGATCAATTGTAAAAGTTAAATAAACAACATAACGTTTTATTTAATCCGTTGTTTTTATGACATATCCAATAGTACATCTCTCTCTGTCTAACGTACACAGTTACAGTTATAAGGATTAAACAATAGCAGAATCGATAAACGAATAGGTTTAATGGCCACTAGTAAATATTTTGTTTGAATGGTAAGAAATTTAGTGATCCGATAATCTGTTATTATTTTTAATTTGTTAAATTGTGATTTTTTCGTGACGGTTGTAGAAAAAGTATAGTACGCAACATGTTTGGTAAACTCTTTAACTCACTCGTTTATTAAGCACTTGCTCCACTCGTGCCAAATAAACTAGTGAGTCAAGTGCCGTTTACCGCACTTGTATAATGTATTGTTACCACTCTAATTGATTTGCAAGTAGTAGTAACGTGAGATTTTCACCCCTAAATTCTGCCATTATTCTTTATAGTTATACTTATACTGTAATTGCAGTAAGAAAGCAGTAATCCAAAAAAAAAAACAACGTAGCCACTTTGCCTTTAACAGAAAATATTAATTAAACTCAACAATAATTATGTTAGCGGCGCAGAACGTTATTTCGAGATATATAAAAACTGCAGGAATAATTTGGAAGACCGGGTGAATAAGAAAGGAAGTTTATAAAATCGTTTCATCGTTTATATTACTCCATTCACTTATTTTTAAGAAAATGTCAAACGACAATAGCCTTCAATTTGACTTATATAACATACTAAGATTCTTAAAAGACAAATATTTTAAGAGTTATTGAGTAGTTCGCTGCTCATACTCTACTGTTGAATTTAAAAATATAATTAATAATAAATAGTTTAATGTTTGTTTGTAGTTTTGACGTTTTCGTTATTCGACACCTGTTTGTTTAATGTTAGACAGCATTCATATTAATGTACTACCTTTCTGGAATGACGTCATTCTTCGTTATTTTTGTTTAAGCTGACGAAGTAAAAAAGCTTTTAGAAAAAAATCATTGCCGTTTCTTTATAACAGTCAATGTCGGTTTTGGTTATGTATCTTTCAGAACATGTTCTTCAAAATTGCCATTGATTTGTTGTGACTCTTTATAAACTTTTGCGAGATGCCCCGAAGATATAATCAGCAATCACAGTGACCTTCCATTTACGATGTAAAATTAGTGTATGGCTGTAGCAGTTTGAACAGGTCGAAAGACAAACTGAATATAATCCAGAAAAGCGACAAGTGAAAGAAATAAATAGTGTCGGGAAAACGTAAATTAACGAAATTTTTGAAAAGTAAGGATTAAAAAAATTGATTGAGAGTGTTAACCAAGAAGTTTCATGAAGGAGAAATTTTAAATTTAGGTAAATTTGCTTCTGTTGATAGTGATTTGTTCAGGAACTGCGCAATAATGATGAAGATGAAAACTCTGTTGACAGTGGTATGGACGAATGTGAGAGATAAACAAAAACAAAGAAATTTTTATTGATATATCTCATATTTTACTTACATGTGATGCCGAAAGTTTTTAAATCCAAGCAGAAAAATTTTTAGCAAACAACTATTGCAACACATTTTAAGCTTCTATTTTATATGAATATTTTGCAATATTTATGTGATATGTATAAATAATAAACCTATATATATCAAGTAATGTTGTAATATCTCTTCAATGTCAATATTTATTTTCATATGTATATTGTTTGTTAAAATTGACTGTCACTGCCTGTATTGTTTCATTTACTGTATTTCTATTTTTTCATCCGCTAGCGAAATAATTAATAAGTATTGGTTTTAAGTGGAAGAAATCGCCATTCCAGGAAGGTAATACGCCAACTTCTTTCTATACAATTTGTGAATTTTTGACTTGTTATTAAAACATGGAAGTACCCAGAGTTTACCAAAATAGAAAAACCATAAATGATACTAATACGAATGTACGCATATGAAAGAATATTAAAAGCATGTAGAAATAATATCAATTATAATGATTTTTTATAAAAGGACTCCTATATTGGGTACAGGTTTCCGGTTAAACGAGTGTGATATTGTTAATAAAGGTAGACACTCTGCAGATAAATGCTTCATAATTAATCAAAACGTCCAATCGTTAGAGAACGCACTTGACAGCATAAATAATATGCTACAAACTAATACGTGTAAATTAGTGTTCGTAACAGAACACTGGAAAACTCTCAAAGAATTAAAAACGTTAGTAATAAAGGACTTCGTCCTGGTAAGTGCCTTTTGTCGAGAACAAAATTTATTGCTCAAAAAATTGGATTTATACGGTGTAAGAGGCAATGTGCTAAAATTGTTTGAAACATATTTACTGGGAAGGAAACAACAAGTAAAAATAACCGAAAATGGTCGGTTGTTAAGAAAAATAGTATGGGCATAGCACAAGATAGTATTTTGTAACAAAGTCAGATGAAGAGAGAGAAGACGAGAGCTATGCGGATGACACCAACCTGCTTGTAGGTGGAAATTGAGGTTAGTGATGAAGGTAACGATATTATTGCAGGGGCTTACGACTAGTTCTTGAAATAAATTGATATTCAACAAAGAATAAACAACTTTAATCAGGTATAGGTGAAACACCACTTGGCATAAGGATGAGTAAATATGAATAATGTGAAGAGCACTAATTTCTTAGGTTTACAAATTACCGAATTTCTTGATTGGTCTGAACAAATTGATTATTTTCTAAATAAATTAAATTCAGGTTGTTGTACAATTAAAATTGTCACAAGATATATGAATATGAATACAATAAAAATGATCTAATTTGCAAACTTTCAGTCGCGCATGAGGGTTGGAATTATTTTTTGCGGAGGTAGTGGTCAACTACAGAAAATTTTCGAAGTTCAAAAGAGGGCTCTTCGTACTTTTAAAAAAACGCAATATAGAGAGAGTTGCAGAGTGTTCAAAGCCGAATAGAAAGGACTTCGAGCTGCAGATAGTTCACGGATATATCACCAGAACCTTGAATGTAAATCACCCTATTCACCGTTCAACCTTAACTGAAAGGAGCCCCTATTACATGTGCCTGAGATTGTATAATAAATTGCTAAATAATGTAAAAGCAATTTCAAATTTAAAACTCTTTAAGTTCACTATAAAAAAAGTTACTAACAGATTTAGAACCTTACTCTTTAGAAGACCTTTTTTTGCTGTAGTCCTTAATTACTGATTAATTATGTAAATGAAATTTGTGTTTGGTATGTTATTTTTATGTAATGTATGTGTAACTCAATGTGAAATATGGTTTATTATTATTATTATTAATACTAACCTATATTAGATATCAATATTGGTTTACATAGGATTATTATTTTTATTATTTTTCAAAAATCGCAACCTCAAAAAATAAATTTTGTGCTCCATTATATTCCACTTGTCATATTTTGATCAAGGATTGGTGGGTAATAAACGCATTTTATTCAGGTTTCTGACCCCTTCAATTAATGTACATTTTTGTTCTCAGGCTCCCCTACCTCCTCAACCGTGGGACGGCATCTTGGAAACGAAGGAATCAAAAGACTGCTGCATTTCCATGACCGAAAACATCCTACAAAACGGCGCGCAGAGTGAAGATTGTTTATACCTTAATGTTTATACTCCTGCGAGAGAGGCAAGTGATTTTAAGTAGTAAATTTTAGGCATTTCTTCTTGTAAGTTTAGAAAACAGCCCAAGTTATCCAAAAGTATGTTCTTCGCGATTATCTTTTCTCTTCTCTTCTTCGTGAAAGGTGAAGTGAAAAGTACCTTTTGGCTAGGGCATAGAGACATCAAGATCACTTACATCAAGCTTACATAAAAGAAGAAAAAAAAATTTATTGGTCTAAAAAACAAATTAAAAACAATGATGGGCAGATAAGTTTATTGGGAAATGATTTTGCTCCCAAACTATAATTTGAAGCTTATATCGACATGACTGCCAAAAAATTATAAACACTATAGTCCATATTTCGTCAAAGGAACTCTTAACAAACCATAGGGCCAAACGCGTATGCTTTTAAAGCTTCACTCTTGTATTTTTCAAGCAATATTACAGAAGCGTAATAAAAAATAGAGCAACTAAGTTGCTACTGCAAATAAGACCTGTCATGAACCATACCAATTTAAAACTAGAATTAAGGACTCAACCCGAAGATGTCCTCAACTATTTGTTGATATACGATTAAACTTATAGTTTAATTTTTTAAATAGTTAGAAAAAGTACACACTGGTCAATTTAAGGTGCTCCTATGCTTTATCTCAATAACTGCGACACTGAGTAAAAAAAAATAATTTCAAAAAGTCTAAGTATACATTTTATTTATAATATTTTTATGTATACAAGGTGTTCCAATAAAATAGAACACTATTTTATTGGATTTGGAATTTAAATTTGTACCATCTCATAGCTTTTATTACAAAAGTCGATATTTTTTCTGCAACAATTCGTATATTTTATTTTTAATCAAGCCAAACCTAAATATTATCCTTTTCGAAATAAGTTTTTTAAGCATTGATTACGTAAATTCGATATAAAATCTACAGAAACAGGGTCGGATAAGTGTTTATATGTGGTGTGGCATTATACTTGATCGAATAATAGGCCCAGTATTTTATGACTTTGTTCTGAATGGTGAGAGATATTTAAATTTTCACGAAATTTCCATTAATTCATAATCTGCCATCTAATATTAAAGGATATTATATAAGTTTTCTTAGATTTATAATAAAATACAAGAGTTGGTGCAGAAAGTTGGCCATAATTTCAAATTTTTGTTATAAAAACTGTATATATGAAATGGTACAGAATTAAATCCCAAACTCAATATAAGTGCTAAAAACACGACGATCCATATTTAAACAATGATTTTTTTTATTGGAAAAAAAAACATTTTTTGATGGTCATTTGTGATCACCGTAGGTCAAAGCATTAAATATTAGCCACGTCCATGCATCCATAACAAAAATTCCTAGTTTTAGTTTTCAAGTGTACAAAAACACATTTTTCCAAACACCTGTTTTTCCACAAAAGTTTTTTTTTCAAAAACTACTCAAAATTTCGTATAATGTGTAGAGACAAAAAATATTCGAAATAAAGTCAATAATTAGTAATTTAAAAAATATTCTTAGCATTGAAGTTGGCATATTAAAACACCCTGAAATACATGAAAATATTTGTATTAATTTTTTTTCCTCAGTGCTGCACTTATTAAGGTAAGGTATGGGAGCATCTTAAATGCATCACCTTGTACAATAATCTCATCGAACATCAAAGTACTTCTCTATTTTTACCAATTTAAATGCGACTAATGGGTATTGGCATAGCTTTGCATAGCTTTAAATTAATATATATATATATATATATATATATATATATATATATATATATATATATATATATATATATATATATATATGATGACACTATACTCCGGGATATCATCCGTTCGCTCGTTGAACTCCGACTGGAATCCTGCATCCGACTGGAATCCTGCAAATCCTGCATCCGACTGGAATCCTGCAGACGTTTCGCCAAAATCTCACTTGGCATCTTCAATGCTTCGAACACGGAGCGCGAGCATTGAAGATGCCAAGTGAGATTTTGGCGAAACGTCTGCAGGATTCCAGTCGGATGCAGGATTTGCAGGATTCCAGTCGGATGCAGGATTCCAGTCGGAGTTCAACGAGCGAACGGATGATATCCCGGAGTATAGTGTCATCACATTTTTCCATCCGTGAATCAATACGTGAGAATATATATATATATATATATATATATATATATATATATATATATATATATATATATATATATATATATATATATATATATATATATATATATATATATATATATATATATATATATATATATATATATATATATATATATATATATATATATATATATATATATATATATATATTTTTTTTTTTTTTTTTTTTTTTGGTATATTGGAAACACCAATATAGTTTGACTTAAGCATATTGATCTTACTTTGCGATTAGGACTAGGTAACGTTTTCTCAACTCTTTTTAGATCTCTGAAAAATTGCCCGTAATGCTCTGGATATACGGAGGTGGGTTCCTTAGTGGGTGCGCAGAGGACGACACAACTGGACCCTACCGTTTCTTAGACGAAGACGTCATAATCGTCTTTGCCAACTATAGACTGGGATTGTACGGCTTCTTGTCCACCGAAGACGACGTCGTTTTGGGCAATGCAGGACTGAAGGATCAGCTCCTGGTCATGAAATGGATCAAAAACAATATCGGTTTGCTGGGCGGAGATCCCGACAAACTGACCATATTTGGGACTAGCGCTGGTGGGATTTCAGTAGGGGCGCACGTCGTAAACACCAAAGCTGCGGGTCTCTTTAGCGGGGCCATTTGTCAGAGTGGCTGTTCGTTGTTTTACGAAGGAAGTATAAATCAAGTTAACGCGAGACAAGCCGCTTACGAATACGCGAAGTACGTAGACCCTACAATTTCTGAGAAAAACACCTCTACAGAGATTCTGGAGTTTTTGCAAAGCGTTCCGGCGGAAGTGTTGACGCCTGCTTTTAACGTAAACAAGCAGGTAAGTGCAGGTATAGAATAATCAAGCAGTCTAAAGTCACGTAAAAATATAAACAATATCTAGGCACATTACTCAAAGCAAAGCATATAAATCTTCTGAATTCCTCTTACTTCGGGTGTTTATAAATAAAACTCACTGACGTTTCGCGAATCATCCTGTTGGCTTCTCCAGAGCTAAACTGAGACTGTCTCACATTCTATTATATATGGAAACGCTACGTTGATGATACTTTTGATATTTGGCATTCTTAAATATTCTATGTGAAGAAAACCTCTACGCGCAGGCCGATACCTTAATGCATTGTCACATCACCATCCAACCCAAAAATCATCGGTTATCAACTCTTTTGTTTACAGAGCCATAAAACCCAGAATTAAAACACCTTACCTCCGCTCTTCTCTCTAATAATTTCCACATTGGAGATATTAAGCTTTCCATTACAAAATACACTTCATATTTGGTACTGTTGTCCTTCTTTAAGAAATGTGACTTCATTCAGATATGACAAAGGACATTGATGTGTGTGTTTCACGTGTTTGTGGTGCTCCCAATAAGTTCGTATATTTGTACTGGTCTAGGGGTTCTATCCAGATGAATTTTTGTAAGTGGTCGTATATGCAAAGGGTGAGCGATAATATTACGCTATAGTTGAAGTAGTAATGGTAGAAATTTAGTTTCATTATCGTCGATATCGCATACAAGGCGATAAAGAGACTTAGACCAACGGTTGTTCGAATAGAGCAAAACTAAACTTCAGAGATATGATTGATACAATTGATCACGAATTTAAAAAAGAATTGTTTGATTTAATATCTAAAGCTAACGAGAAACAAACAGAGGATATCAAAAGGGACATAAAAGCGGAGATAGAAACTTATATAGATGAAGTCAACGCGAAGATCGATAACTTAAATGACGAGACCGAAAAAGTGAAAGTGGGAAAACTTGAAAGAAAAATAGGAAAAATTAATGTCTTTGGCCAAAATGAGAACCTCTTGGCAAGTACAGTCGCTAAGCTAAATTTGTTATTACAAACTGAAAGAGATATAAATAATATTTAGCAAAAGTGAACGAGCACCAATATTTATCGAATTTCTTTCTTTTTTACGAAAGACTCTGTTGTTTAAACACGCTACAACACTGAAGGGTACTGGGGTATCCATCGGGAACGACCCTTCATCTGAAGATCGCGCCGAGCAAAACACTTTGGTGAAGTCAAACTCTTGACTGGAACCTTCGGCACTGTACTAACACTAACCCAAGTTTCGGTTTGTGGTAAAACGCGTTATTGTGATTTTGGTGAAGTATTTGTAATTAGCCAAACAGCTAAAATCAAAGAATTTCAACTGGTTGTTGCCGAAAGCACGTTTACAGCAAACGAACTGGAAGATATTGAGAATTGAAGATTCTGAAGACGACGACTTACCCAGGGGAGGAAAAAGCCTCTGGAAATTCAAAAAATCGAACAGGCTACGAGGTCGACGATGAGAAGAAGACAATTTATTCGCCATTTAAGGTTGCCTTACGGTTAGATTACATCTGGAAAGGAAGTTAAGATAGGAAGCTACGCTCCTACTTGGCCTTATGATGGATGGGCTCTCCCTCCCTCGGACCAGGGAGCTGCTTAGACTGACCAGAAGGGAATGTAGAGCACTAACAAGGGCTTAGGAGACATGGTTGCTTGCTAGGCATTGGAGACAACCAATAGTGCAGGTGGTGCATGGAAGGGGAGGAGACTCCGTATCATATTTTCACCGAGTGCTCTGCTTTGACATGGGCAAGATTTGCCTTCGGAACGGCCCTGATCGATCCGGACTCAGTGCACGGTATTGGGCTAAAAGAGTTATTCTATAGGAGGAGCGGCATTCTGGACGCCTAGCGCGGTCTGGGGGCACAACCAATAACAATACCAATACCACTACCTACTTGGCCTTTTGTAAATTTACATCGAAATAGAGTCGTTATTATTATTATCAATATATAATGGTATAAGGGATAATACATATTATTATCTACCGAAACGGTTTAGATACGAGGCGTATACAAACCGTATCGTTGACAAAGTGGTCCATGTTATAATAGAGTTGTTCCTAGGCTTCACTCATTCGGTCTTACAAGGTTTCATACATACGGGATTTTTGAGTACGCAGGAAATGTTCAGCACTCAACTTAGTATTGGTACGTTGTGAACGATGTGAACGTTAATTTTCGTATGTAAAGTAAAGTAAGGTAATTGGGCAGGCTTCGTAAATTTGATCTTCCATATGTTTTTTTGGTATATTGGTACACATGTCCCTAACGTATGTTCACAGTTTCACAACTTTTTTTTTTTTGAGACAGAAGTGTGACTTTCTGTTATCGAAAAAGAATGGAACAAAGAATACAAAACACTTGAAATGTTGCTAACGGCATCCGGTGAATTCATTTTGAGTAAAAAAAAAAATGTTTATAAGTGGAACAAGCTGTTTTAAGATGGCTGAGAGGACCTCGAAGACACCCCACACAATAACTGATGAAAGCATTGAAGAAATGGCTCGTGCCATGCAATTTTTTCCGAAGTTTTGGACATGAAACGTGTAGCAGCAAAATTTGTTCCGAAACTGCATCCCAAGAGCTGTTAAACGACATCAATGATGATTCTGATATGCTCAAAAAGGTGATAACTGGTGACGAATCATGGGTATATGGTTATGACATCAAAACCAAAGCCCCGTTGTCCGAATGGAAGAAACCAAAATGGCAAAGACCGAAAAAAGCACGTCAAGTGCGATCAAATGCTTACTGTTTTCATTAATTATCTTGGCTTAGTATATCAAGAATTCTTACCACAAGATCGTACGGTCAATAAAGAGTATTAGTTTGAAGATATGGGCCGTTTAGGAGAAGCAATACGAAGAAAACTTCCTGAATTGTGGGAGAATAATTCATGGATTTTGCATCACGTTGTTTGTGTCTAACTGTTTGGTCAAAAGCAATACCAGAATCATACCGCATCCACCATATCCACCGGGTATGGCTCACTGCGACTTTTTCCTGTTCCCAAATCCGAAGAAACCCATCAAAGTAAGGAGGTTCGGAACGATTGAAGAGATAAAGAAAAAATTGCTCTAAGAAATCAAGGCTATACGAGAAAGTGCTTACCAGAATTGCTTCGAAGATTAAAAAAAAAACGTTGACACATCTGGGAGAGAGCGGGATTACTTTGAAGGAGACTACATTAATTTTGATAAATAAATAAATACTTTCCGATTACACCTCGTACTCGTATCAAATATGTTATACAAAATGTGCTTAGAATTGTCAGTAGTCAGTCAGTTCCGTAAAAAAAAACTTGGCCTTCTGACACTATACACTATACTTCCTCGTATTATTAAAAATATTAGCTATTTTTTAGTGTTTTCTATTTATTAAAAGGAATAACCTGTTTCATCTTATAGACAGGATTGGTCGTCGAGGTCGAACACGAAGATGCCTACATCACAAATCTTAGTTTTCCCGTACTGGAGTCTGGGAATTTCAATCAGGTTCCTTTGATACTGGGCACTTCTTCAGCGGAATCTCTTACATTCTTTGCCGTTTTAGGAGGTAAGTTTTTTTGAAGTCTTCGTTGGTTCCAAATTTTGTATAATCTATATATCCATATATATCCAAAAAAACACCAGCGTTTAAGCAATCACTCACTGATCGAAGTGAAATTTACAGCTAACGCTAAACACAATACTTTAGTTCTTAAATGCTAATTTTTGAAACTGATTTTGTGGAAGTGGAAGTACGTAAGTCAATTTTATTTTTTTTTGAGTATTCGCTAAACTACACATTCTGAAATAGGGTTCTCAGTTGAAACTGCAATTGAAAATGCTACTAGAGATAAAAAAAATCAATATCATATTGAATAAATACAAAAAAGAACGTTACTGCAGATTTCTACCTTCTTGATTCTAGTGTTTCATAACGAAATTTTTAAAGTACTGTTTAATATGACTGTCAAAATTGACAATCGTCGAAATTCAAGAGGTGCGGTAATATCTAAGAAAATAATTAACATATGCGTTCCTCGTACTGGTTTAATTCGAATATAATATACAATATAAAAAAGAAAGCTGCATATCACAAAAGGTTCAGAAGTACGGGTAATCCCTCAGGATCGCAAAATTTTAAATGCATTGGGTGGAAGATCTGAAATTAGGGACTGCTATAAAAGCTATCTACTAAAAAAGATCCTAAAAATTTTTGGTCTGGAGAGAAATCTCAGGTGTACCGAGTTATATGAACTTTAACGGCACTATGTTACATACTCGGCAACATATACTCAACTCTGTTGTTGTTTTCGACAGTCATTTTCTCAACAATTTTAATGGTATTAGTAATTCACACCACTCTGAAAATATAGACATAAAGATGCTCTCCGGATGTCAGGTCAAAAAAGCTCTTAAATTAATTAACCGTAAATTTACACTGAGTCCAGATTTAATTTTAGCAATCCTTATACACTGCAGGCTTATACAAGACTCGCGTTTTGTTCTGGCTAGACCACTGGTAATACTTTTTAATCTCTTGAATCGACCAAAATAATAGCGCTATTTCCCTTATCTGCAATTTCTGTAATGTTTTGGAATCTCCCAAATATTTTATGTCTCTAACTAACCAAATAGTACATCAATAATATGGTTTTTTTAAAGCAAAATCCACCATTACCGATTTAATGATTATGGTCTCAGTTATTTCTGAGGCTGTTGATGGAGGTTTCCAAATGGACGTCATGTCATATATCTCGATTTTTCAAAATCGCTTGATTGCCTAGATTAGGTAATTGAATTGGTCCTTAGATAATAACTTGCAACCTAATACAGCCAAGCGTAATGTAGTCTCTTTTACCACCATGAGTGCAGCTGTGGAATATGATAAAACTCTCTCCCGTTCTAACACTTTTTGTTACTTGGGAGTACTATTCGACTTGAAATTATCCTTTGTTTCTCATGTTTTTTTCTCCTGAGTAAAAATATCATATTATTAGCCTGGAAAACATTCAGCGTAGTTTTTGATGTATGGTATAAGTTGGACGGACTATTTCCCCCACGAGGGTTTTCACATACAATATTAAAATTTTAAATAAAAACTTGTATGATTGCTCTGACCTATTACGTAGAATAAATTTTCTAGTATCTCAGTTTTCTCAATGTGCTCCAAGTACGATGATCGACACGATTTGGACTTTTCTTGGCAATCTATTACTGCCTCATAAATTATAATTATTAATCTCAGTCTTTTCCCATTCTCTTGTTTTTTATTAGAGTTAATGTTTATGTTAGGCTAGAATTTAGGTTACGTTGCGTCATGTCATCATTACTTGTCGAGAGAGAAATCTGTAACTATTAAATACTTTGTAGCACAACCTTGTTACTTGATCTTCATGTCTGTTAGGTAGACTTCTTTAAATAAATAAATAAATAAGTAAATAAATAAATAAATGTCAATACTTTGTCATTTTAGGTGAATTACTCATCAGGGCAATGGCGGCAGCCTACGATGAAAATTCTGTTGCCATCTTACCAGCCGATTTGGTACTACTGCCAGGTACTAACGCGACGGAGGTCGTTTTGATGATGAAGGAAGCGTACGTTGGTCCAAATGGAACATTCAGTGAAAATTTAGCTGCCGTTGTAGACGTAAGTAAGATTGGACTAACTTTTCAGCAGACTAATTTATTTATGACTTAAACTCGTTAGAATTAGAAGACGCTCAAAATTTTCGCCTTAAGTCAGAAACAGTTCTTTTAAACGATTCCGTATAATTGGAAAATCTTTTAAGTCTGAGTAAATTTTTATGAGAACTTAATGACGTTATGATAGGCGATGCAATGGTGCAAGATAAGGAAAGAGCTGAAAAAATTGAATAACGGAAAAACTTCGGGACCGAAAGACATTCCCATCGGGTTGACGAAACAGGGACCAGAAATGGTGATCATGTAATAATTATAAAAGGAGAAATATAACTAACTCTTTGGGAAAGTTGAGAAGGAGGATAGAAGCGGGATATTCGGATATTCGGATATTCGGATATTGAGGAACAGGACGGCTTCCCAGCGGGAAGGTCTCGTACAGGCAATATCTTCACTCTCCAGTAAATGCAAGAAAAACGAAAAACTCGAAACCTGCCAACGCATCTGGTTTTTGTACTAGACAGTACCGTTCTATTGACACCCTCAATAAGTCTGATATCAGCAAGACATAAATTAAGTGTTCATCATTTGTAACTTTGTTATAAGTGGTGATACAAAGCCAGATAAATTAGCAACGTAGTAGCATTTTTTCACTGATTACGAATATAGGGTTTCATATTTTTATATTTTTTACTTGTTCTTAAATCACCAACAGAACAAAAAAGGGCATATTACTCAATATTAGCCCAAAATTGAAAATAACTAAACCTTTCGTTTTTAGATGGCTATGAGTGGTTGTGAAATGCAACTCCATTTTTCTTTTATTGTCTTATCTGAGCGTAAGAAAGATGAAAATAGGAAAATAGAAAAAGAACTATTAACATCCTTTAAATAACCCCACAGAAGAAATCAAATGGGGTTATGTCTGATGACCTAGGAGGCCAAGGAATAGGTCCATTTCTAGCCATTTAATTAATGTTGAAAATGTTTCTCAAAAGTTACTTATTAGGTCAAGCTTATCCAGTAAACAATATAACATTTCATTAATAATTGCAATGTACCGCTCCCCACCAACTAACAATGCGAGAACCAATTATTCCCCACCAAACATTAATGCGGAAACGTTTACCTCGGCGATGTACTAGCAAGAAAATTTCTCTTGACCAATGATGGTGATTTTTTTGGATTATAAATTCCAGAATTTGAATATTTTGATTAGGCAGTTCGCAAAATACACCGTAAATTATGCATGTCTTCTCTCTGCATCTCCTGCAAAAAGCAGCTGAGATGGTCGGAATTTATTCACAGTTTCCTTCAAATTATGCACCTCTTCAGTTATAATTGTTTTTTCATTTACTTATAAATAGCATTCTAAAATGTCACACTTTTCTTCATGTTTAAAAACCATTTTTGGAAAAGTGATAGAGTAAAATTAATTTAAATAATCAAGAGTTTTCTATTTGGCATGACTGTCATTATCAAATTTTTTGAACAATTTTTTCTGCGCCTTTATCGAATCGAATAGGAGACGAAAAAAAATTATAATAAATGAGGACGTGGAAATTGGTGTTATCATTATTGTTTCTCACCCCCAAATAAAACAATAAAGCTCATAGCCAACTAGTTCCAAAGAGAAATGTGCTAATATTGGGTATGACCTTTTTTTTTCCTAAGCACTACATTCGATTGTTTTCACCATGCCACTAGTTCGCTAACATTTCGTTTAGATCAGCCGGTATACATTATTCAAAATGTACATTCAAGAAGCTTTCTGCAATGGGCGATAAAAATGGGAACCCTATTTTTCGCAGATTACCAGGCAAAATTGCAGGGCAAAAATGGAGTATAGGTGAAGGATGGAAATCAGACGACTACAGAAACGTGAAGAGTAAAAATATGTGGGAAGTAAAACAGTCAACGACATAAAAACAAAATACAACAAGTTTAGACAACTGTTCAGATTCCCTTTAAAAACACAAAACAATATACATCCCAACTTATTGTTCGGAGTGTAAATGACAAAGAAAAAAATAGATACAGGTGAAATGGACTATCATTTGGAAAGGCATTAAGCACTATTTTACTGTTCTTATATATATATATATATATATATATATATATATATATATATATATATATATATATATATATATATATATATATATATATATATATATATATATATATATATATATATATATATATATATATATATATATATATATATATATATATATATATATATATATATATATATAGACAAATCAAAACTAACCAGATTATAAAGTTCCATTAGGGTGCTACTAACAAAATCACAATAAAAGACAGTAAAATAGTGCAAAGTAGGCCCTGACGGGAACAGACACTGTAAAGTACCTGCAAAATATTTCAAAGTGGGCTTTGACTAAAACAAATGCGATAAAGGCGCTTAGGTTTCGGTGAATTTCTTTGCTGTTTGTCAGTATCTTGGGCGTGTTTAAAAAGTTTTGGTTACTTTTACGACAATGCCGAGGCATAACTTGTTTTCTGTCATCTGGACCAACGTACGTTTCGTTACTTAGAGACTCTTCCATTTTGCCATGTATGGGACACCTAGTATAAATCTTTTCCGAACTGGAGCCAAAATTTTTTAGCGTGAGCGAGCTAGATAAAAATAATATTTCGAGGAAACAAAAAATAAAAAAGAATAACGTTGGAAAGTATTAAGCAAAAATGATTTGAAACATTGAATATAAAAAATAAAATAAATCTATAAGTTCTGCATTTTTTTAATTATATCTCCCAAAATGTGTTTTCAGTTATCCACCGACATTTTGTTCATGAAGTCAACTTTGAAACAGGCGGAAATGCAATCGAAATTTAGCCCCGTATACCATTATATATTTTCTTTCGAAGGATTCGAAAGTCCGTTATTTCCAAAGATCGAAGGTAAGCGTATAGGCCGAAACTTTTTTTGTACAATTTCGGTAATTGAATTGTTACGCTTCAGGGGCGGGAAAAGCGGGACACGGAGAAGAAGGTCCGTATCTTTTTAACTCAAATCCATTGGTCGAGGATCGAGATATTTTGCTCAGCAAGCAGATTGTCAGACTATGGAGTAATTTTGCAAAAACATTGTAAGTATCGATTCTTGTTTTGTTTGTTTCTGTTAGTGGAAACTTTTTTTACACAAATTACTTTATATGAAAGCTATTAGTGCGACTGAAAATTTATTTTTTAACAGCTATTTTCCAATTGGGCATAGTTTATTATAAAACGCAGATGAATCGATAGTAATTGAATATTTTACTGTTATTAAAATTGCTCTTTTATTTAGATTGCGCTAAAACGGTTTTATTGATAACGACAACTTGTTAATAAATGTTTAATACATCTACTCACTGGAAAAAAAACATCAATATGTTTAATCATATGTTTAATTTAAATATTAACATTTTGAATTGAAATGGGGTGGCTTTTACTTGATGAAAATTTATTTAACACAAAAAATACTCAGATTATGACAGTAATTTATTGGTTTGTTGGTTGTTGTTCATGACAGCCGTTTCGGCAACACCTTTATCATATTATGACAATATTCCGACAATATTTAATTTTATTTATTTATTTCAAATTAACAACGGAGACACATTTAAATCGAATTGGTCAATAAATAATGGATTGGAATATCTTATTTTGTTCATCTCTATAGCTTCCGACAAATTTAGTTTTTTTTGCTTTTTGATTTCATAATAATTGAAATCACTCTCTTCAATACAAAGTGGCTACCTTTTAACCTTTTATCCACAGACTACTTACTATACAAGTTTCCATAAAAAGAAAACGAAAAATAATTAAATATTATAAAATAAAATGGCTAGAATCCTTCTTTGATAGATAAAATTATAACTAAAAAACAGATAAACAAATAACTCTGAACTCTATCTATCCCATATGAAACACCGAACACAGAATTTATTTGACATTAAATACAAGAACCTAGCAAGAAAATTTCGAAACATCTATCTAAATTTGGTCTTCATTGGGAAATATTTTAAAAAACTAAATCACAAAAAACTCAAAAATCCAGAGTCTACAAGAAATGAGGATATTGACTAATAATTTATATCGGACAAACAGGTAGATCATTTAAGAAACGCAAAAGCGAACATAAAAGAACGTATAAAAATATAAGTTCGGATACCATTCATTTAAATTCGGAAATGCACAAGTTTGACAGTAATTTTGATATTTAACATATTGAATCAAAAAGCAAAAAACTATTACTTAATGACCAATTGGAGTGAAAGGGATCTCAACTGTTAAATTTAAATTTATATATTTTATATATACAATCATATTTTCTATTCGATAAATGTCGAAACAGGTGCCATAAAACAATAAATAGCTGTGAAAATCTGTTTGTCCTAATTTAATTGTCCTATGTAATATGTATTTAATGTATGGATTCTAAAGTTTACAAATCATCTTTAATAATATGCATGGTGATTTAACCACGCATTTCATAAACTCCATCAAACTTGTTGCATAAATTGTATAGTATGCACCACAAACTCTTTTCCGTTTCATCAAATGAGGAAATTGTTCACAACGGTATCTCAAAGTCTAGATGCTGAACTAACCACCAAAGCTGACCGAAGGGGTATTTATTTATTTTCTTTTTCATTTCATTAAACGACAGAATCGCTTGCGCGTTTTTTTTTTTCGGCATCTCGTTTATCCTCGGGACCTTTTCGTAAATCAGGTTAATATTTTCAGAAACCCCACCCCTGACCCAACGGATCCGCTGTTCAACCTCACGTGGCCGCAAGTTACGCCGACAAATATTCAGTATTTCGATTTCGACGATCAAATCGCAGTGAGGCCGAACAAAAAAGAGAAGGAAATGGCCATGTGGAACAAAGTTTATTATACGTATGGTCAGCAACCGTTTATCGGGTTTTGATTTTTTCGAAAAATATACGAACTGAATTAAACATTGGCTTATCGAATGCCGGAAATGTAAAATCCCACACTCGTTTACCCAGAATGGAAGAAAAAAAAACATTGAGCAAACAAGCCATTTATATATGAGGCTTAAGGCCATTTTCATCTTTTATCAAGATGACACTTGTGACATTTATCATTTATGCTGAACTGTCAAAAAAATAAATCGGTATTTAAATATGTTTGGAACATTCGAAAATTTTGTATCACATACATTTTCAAAATAATATAAATATTGAAAATCCTAATTTTGAAAGTAACCTAAGTCCACTTTTTATTGACGATGTGGAAAGTGTCCAAAGCAGTGATGAAGGTAGTTTAAATTACGTTTTGATATTAAACTGAAATTTAAAAAATAATATTTAATTTTTGTTAAACAGAGGAAGAAGGAGTAATTGAGAATGAGAATTTACAAAAAAGCACTTTCAAAGAAGGATTCCGCGAACACAGAAGTGTTCAGAAAATTCGTAAAATTTTGCGGAATTCGGGGAAATAATACGATACACAATCGGGAAAAATTATTCCTGCGAAAGTTTTTCAAAGTGAAGATTGCCAACGCCGAAAAGACTGCTTGAAAAATTTAAATGAAACAGAAAGAAAACGTATTTTCGAAATGTTTTGGAAGTAAGGAGACTTTAATAGATAAAATATATTGCTATAGGAAGTGACGCAGTGTTGTAAAAGACGCCAGAGAAACGGAAAAGGTTCATGTAGAAATGAGAGTATTACGTATTGGTTAAATTCTAAAACAGGCAAAGTTGCTGTTCATAAAAAATTCTTTTTGGGTACTTTTCAAATAAGCGAAGGATAATCGAAACGTGTATTAAAATCTAAACACGTTGGCAACGATTTCCATGGGCGTTTGCCTGGATCGTTGAGAAAAATATGTGATTAAGAAAATATGATTTTTCAAAACCATATTAATAGTTTCCCGAAATTTGAATCCCATTCATTCTGAACTTTTTTGTTCTATCACACACAATTCTAGTAGCTAAACTTAAGCAATGTGAAATGTAAGAAAGTTATGAAAAGTGTGATATCGTAAAACACAGGGGCAGCCAATGAACTTTATTTCGATACCTGCCACTAAATCAAGAAGCTTTTAGTCATTTAGTATAGAATTTTATTGTGTCATCTTAAAGAAATCTGGCATTCAAATTATTCTATACATTCTCACATATTATATTGTATCACAATTTGCTGACCTGCTCTGCCCCAACAGGAAAAGAGAAGTCATTGCATAACGTGCAAAATCTTTGTTTGAGATTTGCATACAATTTATGGAAATGTAAATATATAAGCCTTTACAGATTCGAAATGGTTGAAAAGTCAAGAGACATTCATTTCTGTTGTTCGTTATAGAAAATTTTCAAATACCTACCCGCCAGCCTTGATAATTGTTCTTAAAGGTGCACGAAGATATTATTATTATTATTATTATTATTATTATTATTATTATTATATGACGTTTGACAGCAGTCGCCGGTTGTTGATGTTTAGAGAGAAAGAAACTTTTTGGCTTCTTTAAGTTCAGCCGGCAGAGACTACTATCAACTTATTAGCGTAGTATTGTCCATGCGATTTTAAAAGTTCCTGATGAATATATTTGAAGATCTGGTCATGTCGTTGGACATATATAGAGTGGTCGAAAATCGAAAACTAACCAAAACTATTAGTGCTTCAGTTTCACCTTTTATCCGTCCATAGGTTGCAGTTTACTTAGTGTCGGTCTGGCAATTCCTTATTTATTTATCATCTAAAGGCTTGTCCATGCCCACCATTTCCAAAATTTTATCTGTTTGTTGGCTTACGGACACACTTCTCTTTCGTTGCCTATCGGAGGCTAAAATCATTTGAGTGTTAGATTGTCTATTATGCTTAAAGGTGGTTATAGCGGAGAGTCAAGATGGCGATTCATTCTTATCTTATTGCATTTGTATTGAAAGCGCACATACTAAACAGTAAGCGGCGAGTTGCCGCCGAGAGGCATCTCGAACGGGTAGTGTGATATTATTTTGGGATTTGACGATGATACGATTTGACTAAATTTCAAGCTGAAGCTGGAAAAACTATAAACTATAAACTCTGTACTACATATAACGGCAATATGGAATCAGTCACACCCTGACCACAGACATCGGCATATTTTAGATAGATTGTGGGCAGAAGAATGCCAATCGTCAGGTAGGTCAAAGTCACAAAGTATATTGTAAAGTCTACACGTTTAAAAGTAATTTAAAAATTAGTCGGTCTATAAAAAAAGAATCGTCCATTTTTTCTGTAAAAGTTCATCTGTGGATAGTCTATGAGCTAAACTAACAAGATCTTATTCAACATATTTGTAGCTGTACAAGTAAACACGAAAAGAGTTTGAGAACTTTTATTATTAGAAATGTAAATGATAATTTACCAACAATACATGTTTTTTATTAATTGTAATGAAAATGTCCTTAAAAGTGTCCCTTACGAATTTTCCATTTATTGATACACGACGTCGTATTTTCTAATACCTTTTAAATACCGTTCAAATCCTTTCTTATCAATAATCACATTTTGTAAAACACATTAGGGTATAAAATACCACAAGTTGATTAAAATAGATACATTCTATATTCAATTCATTTCTGCTACAGGGTTTTAGAAAACATATTTGAAGAGTGTATGCTTCATCTGCTATAAAAACAAAAGGCATTTTGATATTTGTGTTTGGAATTTGAGCTTTGAAATGTTCCTCCGTGGCTGTGTCGACAACAGCCCTCAATGCCTATCATTGTGAATCTGTATTTGGCATCACATACTCCTTGAAGTGCTATGGAATGATACTGTTTATAGTTGTAGTACATGCTACCAGAGTGGCTGGGACTTTTTGTTTTCACATGTTTGCCATCTAATGACCTTAAAGTATTCTTTGCTAATATTTATAAATATTCTGGAGTCGGCATGTGTTCAGGTTTTAATACTTTCCATAGTATATCCACAGTTTCTTTAACAATTTTTCCAACTGTCGATGCACCCATGCGAAATGTGAAGGACAAACTCTTGAAGGATTCACAATCTCAGAGGAATTTGCCCGACGCAGAAGATGCCGTCAACGGAACTGATTATAGTAGTTTATAGGAAAATGAACTTTCTAGTAAGCCACACTCTCAACTGGCAGATAAAGAATATTTCACACAAACTGAGTCGGTAGACCAGTCTCTTCCTCCAACGCCTTCTTGTAGTGCCACAGATGAGCCCCGCATGATTCTAGGAAGTAGATCTAGGAAACGACAAGTTGTTTTTTGAGAGTCTCTTGCCGCATGTAAAGAAAATTAAAAACTGTAACAAATTACAATTCAGGAGTGAAGTACAAACATTAGTTCAAAAATATGCAAATAAGCTACCGCCCCACTAACGTTCGAAAATGTATTCTAAAATTAAGAATGATAATAATCATGCTTTTTTTATTAAGTTTTCACAAGGAAGTTATTTTATGTTTCCTGTTTACTCAGTTTCTATTACTTTAGGTTTGCTTCAATAGAAATAAAAATGACTTCAGTTCATTAACAGTGTTCTTAACGCGCCTAAAAGTAACAACCAGTCTATCTTCTTGTTGTATTCTTTATTCATTTCTTCGTTAAATGGCTAATAACTTTTTCTAGTATAGAATTAAAGGTGGATGAGCTCATATGTACATACTCAAAAAATTTGTCCTGATAATTTTTTAATTTCAGGAACAGATTGTGATTGTCCCACCATATTTCTTCTTCTATTGATTGCATGCAGATTATATTGCCTACTGCTTGCCAATAGTATGGGAAGTGCTGCATTATCAAACAAAATTTCGCCGCCACTGTCTGAAAAGTAGTATTTTACCCTGCTTTAAGATCTTTCTGGATTTGCGATCGAGATCTTTTATATCTTTAACAGTGCCAGTAATAATACCGGAAATCTACCCTATAACAAGAACCACTAGACTACGAATTGCGTGGATTTTATTTCTGCCTGGGAGGTGGGCGCCTAATACTAATACAAAAGACTCTTTTTTAGTTTTACCTTTCATTTGTTGTTGTACTCCGTCTTTTTCCTGTACCGCGAGATATTTATAGAGCCGTTCTATGTATAGGAGTAAAGTCTTCTAATACCATTTTTTTTCCCTGAAGCTTCCGTTTTCGAAAGATAGCTTTACCATATTTGTCTAGTCCGTTATTATTATTATTAGTATTATTAAAATATTTGGAACAGGTACATTTTGAAGCTATTACGTATGTCAAATATTCAAAAATATACTGGTTTATATCAACCCCACTGGTAAAAGGATTCTCTTGCATCAAATATTCAAATGACTTTTTGATTAGTTTGCTTCTTTTCTCTTCCATTATCCAAATGGTACTTGTAAATCGGCTTTAATTGGCAAATTACTTTCAAAAATATTTCATATAAAATCCAAAATAGGATACTACCAGTAGTGTGGTTAAGATCATTTTTTTTTCAATTAAATCACCGGGATAGCGCGCACGCAGTCCCGACTACCAAAAATTACGCGCCCGAGTTATCCGCATTAGGGATAATCGCGGGGGTCAGCCCGACCTCAGTGCAATGGAAGGGCCTCGCCCTGGGGGAACCGCCTTCATGATCACGGTAACCCCTGCGCCAGGTAAGTATGCTGGTACAAGTTTTGCTTGAGCTCTTATAATCGGCTTGCTGTGATGTGTCGGTAGGGTGAAGGGCTTAAGCGACCATTGTTGGGCCAAAGTGAAATCTGCCGACAGAAACTGTAACTAATACAAAGGGTGCATTCTTTGCCTTCCCCTCGATAATAAAAATAATTTAGTTTTACCTGGAACAAGAATAAATCGATTCAGTTGCTAAGACTGTATGGCATTAAAAGTATTCCAAGTTTTTAAAACTGTTTGTTCTGAGAAATATGTATGGCTTTATATTTATTTTATAGATTTGAAATCTACAGAGGAGAGTCAAAAAAATATGAGACCATAATTCCAGCAAATTG